TAGTGACTATCGCCGTGAAGTTGAGCGCTATAAGACCTCGCAGCATAACCGATCCAAAGATTCTGTAGACAAAATTTCTTTTGACAAGGAACTGAATGAGCAAATTGAAGCCATCCAATGGGCCTCGTTGAATGCAATGGCTTCCCTTCTATATGGACCGTGTTTTGATGACAATGCAAGGAAAATGAGTGGCCGTGTGATATCATGGATAAATAGTTTGTTTATCGAGCCTGCTCCCAGGGTCCCTTTTGGTTACTCGCCTGCTGATCCGAGAACTCCATCATACTCCAAATACACAGGAGAAGGTGGACGAGGGACAGCAGGCCGTGATAGGCATAGAGGTGGTCATCAACGTGTTGCGTTGGCAAAATTGGCTTTGAAGAATCTTCTACTAACAAACCTGGATCTCTTCCCTGCTTGCATTGATCAGGTAAAGTTCTCTCAGACCGAATGTATGGAAGTTGTGTTCAGTAATTTTTTTGGTGGCAATTACAATATTAATGTATGATATTATTTTGTTCAATGATGAAAGCTTATCCAGGCAATGATGATTTTTTTTTTTTTTTTTAATTTTAAGCTCCAGTTTCAGCACCGGAGTTTTCTTGATAAGCTTTTTTTACTTCCATGCCGTGCTCATTCGTGTGACTTCATCGTTAATTGGACTCTTTTAAACTACATGGACTAATACATCTGTGCTTTTCCCAGTGTTACTACTCTGATGCGGCTATAGCTGATGGATACTTCAGTGTGTTGGCCGAGGTCTACATGCGACAAGAAATACCAAAATGTGAAATTCAGAGGCTCTTGAGTCTAATTCTCTACAAGGTAGTCGATCCATCTAGACAAATTCGTGATGATGCTCTTCAAATGCTTGAGACACTTTCTATGCGTGAATGGGCTGAGGATGGTATAGAAGGTTCAGGAGGCTATAGAGCAGCGGTTGTAGGTAATCTTCCGGATTCTTATCAACAGTTCCAGTACAAGCTCTCCTGCAAACTCGCCAAGGATCATCCTGAGTTAAGCCAGCTCCTTTGTGAAGAAATCATGCAGCGGCAGCTTGATGCTGTTGATATAATTGCTCAGCATCAGGTCTTGACCTGTATGGCTCCATGGATTGAGAACCTTAATTTCTGGAAACTCAAGGATTCGGGTTGGAGTGAAAGATTACTAAAAAGTCTTTATTATGTCACATGGCGACATGGAGATCAGTTCCCTGATGAGATTGAAAAACTTTGGAGTACTATTGCTAGTAAGCCCAGAAACATCAGCCCTGTATTGGATTTCTTGATCACAAAGGGCATTGAGGACTGTGATTCAAATGCCTCTGCCGAAATAACTGGTGCATTTGCTACATATTTTTCAGTTGCTAAACGTGTAAGTTTGTACCTCGCACGGATATGTCCTCAGCGTACTATTGATCACCTGGTTTACCAACTGTCACAGCGGATGCTCGAAGACAGTATTGAACCCATTGGTTATGGTGCAAACCGGGGTGATTCCAATGGAAATTTTGTGCTGGAGTTCTCTCAGGGACCTGCCACAGCACCTCAAGTTGCTTCAGTTGCCGACAACCAGCCACACATGTCACCACTTCTTGTCCGAGGCTCCCTTGATGGTCCCCTAAGAAATACAAGTGGGAGCCTAAGCTGGAGAACAGCAGGCGTGACTGGGCGAAGTGCTTCTGGACCTTTAAGTCCAATGCCTCCTGAGTTGAACATTGTTCCTGTAGCTACTGGTCGTTCTGGTCAGCTCCTGCCATCATTGGTGAATGCATCAGGACCGTTAATGGGAGTTAGGAGCTCTACAGGAAGTTTGAGGAGTCGCCATGTCTCACGTGATAGTGGAGATTATCTCATTGATACACCAAATTCTGGGGAAGATGTGTTGCATTCTGGGATCGCAATGCATGGTGTCAATGCAAAGGAACTCCAATCAGCCTTGCAGGGACATCAGCAGCACTCACTCACTCATGCCGATATAGCTCTGATTTTACTTGCAGAAATCGCATATGAGAATGATGAAGATTTTAGGGAGCATCTGCCTTTGCTTTTCCATGTCACTTTTGTTTCGATGGACAGCTCTGAAGACATTGTGCTAGAGCATTGTCAACATTTGCTTGTGAATTTATTGTACTCACTTGCGGGTCGCCATTTGGAGCTATATGAGGTGGAAAACAGCGATGGAGAAAACAAGCAACAGGTTGTGAGTTTAATTAAGTATGTGCAATCAAAACGAGGGAGCATGATGTGGGAGAGTGAAGATCCAACGGTTGTGAGAACAGATCTTCCTAGTGCTGCTCTTTTGTCTGCACTTGTTCAGAGTATGGTTGATGCTATATTCTTCCAAGGAGATCTTCGAGAAACTTGGGGAACTGAAGCTCTCAAATGGGCTATGGAATGCACTTCAAGGCATCTAGCCTGTCGGTCACACCAAATATACCGTGCGCTACGGCCAAGTGTGACAAGTGATGCATGTGTCTCCCTTCTACGGTGTCTTCATCGATGTCTTAGCAATCCCATCCCTCCAGTTTTGGGTTTTATTATGGAAATCCTTCTGACGCTACAGGTGATGGTAGAGAATATGGAACCAGAGAAAGTCATACTATACCCACAACTCTTCTGGGGCTGTGTCGCCATGATGCACACAGACTTTGTCCATGTGTACTGCCAGGTTCTTGAGCTCTTCTCCCGAATTATTGACCGTCTATCATTCCGTGACAAAACAACTGAAAACGTTCTCTTGTCGAGTATGCCTCGGGATGAATTCAACACTCACGGTTTGGGGGAATTCCAAAGGACAGAATCTAGAGGTTACGAGATGCCACCGTCAAATGGAACTCTGCCAAAGTTCGAAGGTGTACAACCTCTTGTCCTCAAAGGATTGATGTCTACTGTTAGCCACGAGTTCTCGATTGAGGTCCTATCAAGGATTACAGTGCCTTCATGTGACTCTATATTTGGTGACGCCGAGACAAGACTCCTTATGCATATCACAGGTCTACTGCCTTGGCTTTGCTTGCAGCTGAGCCAAGACCAAGTCATGGTTTCGGCGTTACCACTCCAGCAGCAGTACCAGAAGGCATGTTCTGTAGCAGCTAACGTTGCTACATGGTGTCGGGCGAAATCGCTTAATGAACTAGCTACGGTTTTTGTTGCTTATGCTCGAGGCGAGATTAAACGAGTTGATAATCTCCTTGCATGCGTCTCTCCTCTGCTTTGCAACAAATGGTTCCCTAAACACTCAGCTTTAGCTTTCGGTCACTTGTTAAGACTGCTGAAGAAAGGACCAGTGGACTACCAACGAGTAATATTACTTATGCTCAAGGCATTGCTCCAACACACTCCCATGGATGCTTCACAGAGTCCCCACATGTACACCATCGTTTCACAGCTAGTCGAAAGCACTCTGTGTTGGGAAGCATTGAGTGTTCTCGAAGCCCTTCTTCAGAGCTGTAGCCCGGTACAAGGCGGTAGCGGTGGGTCCCACCCTCAGGATTCCGGTTACTCGGAGAACGGAAATGATGAGAAAACAATTGTACCTCAGACTTCATTCAAAGCTCGAAGCGGACCTCTCCAGTACACGATGATGGCGGCAACAATGTCGCAAGCTTTCCCTCTCGGTGCAGCAGCAGCAGCAGCAGCAGAATCAGGGATACCTCCGAGAGATGTGGCTTTGCAGAACACAAGGCTAATATTGGGTCGAGTTCTCGATAACTGTGCTCTAGGAAGAAGGGATTACAGAAGATTGGTGCCTTTTGTCACAACGATCGCAAACATGTAAGTTTCTCCAGTAAATTTTTGCAATTATTTTGGCTACTTGTACGTTTTTCAAGAAGCAATGTGTTTGTGTGTGAATAGTTTGGTGTTATAGAGACTAACTTGTATGCTCACGCTTAGTGGAGTCCAATGCATTTCAGACATTTAGTAACGAAAGTTTTTTATTTTCTTACTACTACTCTATAGATGATGGGGGTTTTTATTTTCTAGTGATGACAAAAATGTAATATATATATTATCTTTTCCATTGATATTTCATCGATAAATTGTACGTACTTATTTATGAAGTGAAACCAAAATTGTAGTAGCTACCAGTTGTATATATACACACATTATTCTAATGTACAAGAGGAATCGATTGAGAATATCTATCAGTGGGTCGACAGGGCAACGACACCAGAGGTCTGTCTTTCGAATTGTTCTCGGTTATCTTCTTTATGCGGAGACTTCTTTCCCATGATCGCTCGGTCTTTATTTGGAAACCCTAGCTAGATTTTTTAAGTAGGAAAATAAAGACGCATCGGGTTTAGCAAGCCCATAGTATGGTTATTGGGCTTGCCCATCTAATTAACCCAAGTTGGAAAGCGGATCTTGCCTTGCCTAACCGGGTCTAGAGTCTTGCAAAACTCTGATGTTTTTTTTTTTATTACTTCTTCTGTTTTCCTAAAAAGTATTATTCCGACATATTTCACACTATCACACCAATTAAGAAACTCATAAAATGAAAAAAATACACCTCTAATTAATATATCAATAATTAAATGTAATTGATTTAAATTCAAAATTTATAATTTGTAAATATAGGATTAAACAGAAATTGATGTAAAAAGTTACATTAAAAAATGTAAAGTGAAATTTTAAAAAAAAATAATAATAAGTCCAAAATAACATTTTTTGTGAAACAAATGGAGTAATTGAGAATTAAGATAAATTACTGAGAAGAAATTACTCAAGGTAAACCCTAAAGAAAAAAACTTTTGCTATTGAACCGAAGAGAAAAATTAAACATAAATAGAACCACGAATCCACAACCGGTGGACTGTCATATTGATGATGAAGATGACAAACTACGTACTCAAAAGTGTAAACCAGGAAACCTCAATTTAAAAGTTAAAAGAAAAGATCATTTGATCTAGTACACTGCTCAAGCTTTGCCAAGACTATATATATAATCAACGGGGAAAAAAATATATTGATATTATGAGATATCATAAACTGTATCTCTTACAAAAACCAAAGACTCTCAACGTAACCCGAAAAAACAATTCCTCGCGGACAAGGACACCTAAAGTCATTGTCTGTGTTCACTTCAACCTTAATTTTTCTAAGGGTATCCGTGTTGGGGTTGTAATAGACAACATAAACATCATCAGATTTGTAGGACGTTGGTGTCAAAATAAACTCACCCGTCTGAGTAATGCCTCTGATGCGTATCATCTGATTATATTGAAATAAAATTTTCCAAGTTTCAATACCCAAAGATATTTTCATTAACGTCCATTCATGTTTTTCATCATTCGGATCCATAATCCACACATCAAATTCATATGCATATGAAGCTTGGATGGGTATTGCTACTTTCCCCTCGTAGGTTAAAACAAAAAGGGTCTTCCAGCTGGTGTAAACTACAATGCCTGTGTTTGCGGGTACTCCAGTAACAAGACCAAACTTTTCAGACCTCAAGTCAAAACTCATTAAGCTAACTTGCGACAAATCATTGCCCGTCTTGGAAAGATAATAAACAACACCATCTATGCACACACCGTTAGAGCAAGGACGGTGAGGAAGGCTACATTCTATCAATCTCCATGCTTTTTGTTTTTGTTTTTCTATATCGCCGCCCAAATTGTATATTTGATGTTGAGACGATGGCTTTTTAGGAAGACCATGCAGTTTTTCAGTCATGCACAATACTTTATACTCATCATTAACTGGATCATATCCGAAGAAACTTTTTGCAAACCTTCTCCTGGTTTTGACTCTAGGTAAAGCTATGGACTTACCGGTTGTAGGGTTAACTATGAACTGTTGTTGACCATATCCGAAGCTTAGTAAGCCATTAACATAATGCGAATGGTACTCTATTTCCTCAGGGTTTGGGAGCGGACATGTCACATTCGAACGCGACAGAAAATTGGATGATGACAAAGTCGACGAGAAGAAGTTCCAGTTTTGCATTCTTGGATCCCATCTCCTAGCATCGTGACGTCCAAAACGTCCTTCTGGACTGTCTAAACCACCGAAAGCTATTAGGAGTCGAGGCTGGGACGAAGAACACGACCTAAACGGGAAGGACGTGATGAAGTCTCTACTTCGGATGATCTTTTCCCATAACTTGGACACTAGAAGAAACCTAGCTACGGATTTCGCAGGCAGTCTCCCCATAACCTCCCTCACCAGGTCCACAGGGATTACATCAAAGTTTGCTTCCTCTTTTGAGGTTTGTGGATTGGCGTTCACGCTGGTTTTGCTCTTTTTGCTGCGTGTGATCATGATTGTTTCGAAACCCTTATAAATCTTTTTCTCTCTTTTACGGCGAGAGAGTAGTACAATATATAAGCAGGGAGCCAATCAATCGTTTAAAAACAGAGAGTATAAATAGCTCTAGCTAGATGATCATGGTTCAAAACCCTAGTTAGTCTCCTCTAGCTAAAAAAAAGGGCGGCAGGCCCACATTATAGTGAATGGGCTTTCCCATCTAATTATCTGACTGGGAAAGTTGATGATCTTGTCTGCAAGATTATGGAAAGAAATCTTGTTCACTAAATCTTTCTTCAACCAAGCATTGTTTTTAGCGTACTGGTCCATAACCCACACTTCAAATGTGTATGGTAGAGTTTTAATGGGCATGGCTTCTTTCCATGGGATCGTGATGACGTAAACGTTTAAAGTCTGTGGATAAACTAGTAGTAACAAGCTAGTAATGGTAAAGATTAATTACTGACAAGAAAATAGTAATGGTAAAGGCTTTTATTAATAAAACAAAAGAAGAAAAAGTGTGTGAGAATCGCAAGAAAAAAAAAAAAACATAAATAGAACTACAAATCCACCATGATTTATAAATAAACCAGACCTGTGGCAATGAGAAAGTATTGATAATGATAAACAACTACAAGAAAGCACATAAAATGATAATTTGAGCTAAAACAACCAAAACTGTGGTGGTTTTTTTTTTCTTGGCTCAGGTACTGCTCAAGCTTTGCCATTGGCTGCTGCAGCAGTTGGCGGGTTAAGCTCATCCCAAGCTTCAATCCATGTGACCATGGCGTCTGCAAGCTTGTCAAAGTATGGGTCTAAGGAGCTCAGCTTCTCCTTCACCATCTTCGAGAGCTCAATGTAGCATTGTTGAACAGTTACTGCTTCTTTTGATAGCTTCGCATTCTGGAAGAAAGGAATGATCTCCTCCTGCCAGAAGATTCCCTTGTACTCCTTCTTCAGGTTCACAAACGGGTTGCTAGCTTTGCTGTGGTAAATGTATGGCAAACCGGTCTTCACTCCCAAGCCCAAGTGGTCACAGATCACCTGTACAAAAAAAGATTCATCCCAAAAAAGGATATCGCTGAGTACAGGGCATGTGCTGAACATAACATTAAAGCTGCTTTGAGTTATATACTAATGGAAAAAGTGACTACCTTGATGCACCAACCAGCCCACATGTCGTCGTAGCGACCAATAGGCTGACCATCCCCCATGAGACCAAAGTACATAGCTGGGCCGATCAAATCACGGTCGAAAGCCAAGTTCATACCGCACATTGGGAAAAGTGTTCCCTTTGGGATGGTCATCACAGCATCCACATACCTGACACATTACCAAATGTTTAGAGAAAGAATGACATTTGAATTTCCTGACATAGAACCGGCTAACAACAATAAATTCTCACCTAGTGTTCCTCTCCTTAGGTTTCACGAGTTGGGTCGGGGCATCGTAGTCCGGGATGTTGAGCCAGAGACCATGGGAAACAGCAGTGGAAACACCTTCACGAAGGCTAAAAGGGTATCCACGGACGAAATCAGCGCCTTCACGGTAAGGATCATACAAGGTGTTGAAGAAAAATGGAGACGATGGACACAGAAGGTTCTTGATGTGTTGCTCAAGAGCGTTTACTGCTTTCCCAGATGGATCCTTGGCAACCTATACACAACACACATCAAAGAACAAGTATGAATGAGACAAGTGGCTAAAATACAGATCCTTGGTAAACTAAAACTAAAGAGAGCGTAATTGAGACTCATCCTTGAATATACGCCTCAAATCACAAAAGGTAAACAAAAGAAAAAAAAGTGAAGAACAATGACGTTCAAACAAAAACCGTAAAGGTATCTGTTTTTTCACAGAGAGATCAGCCCGACAACAATGACACCAGCTTATAAAGTAGAGAAGTGAACACATCAGAAACCATGGCTAGTGAAACCAGATCGAGACTCATCAAGCGGGTATATGGATCGAGCTGGTACAAAACATTGACTTGCCTAATCGACCTAGCTAATCGAACAAGGATTATCAACAAACCTAAGATCCATCGAATTTAGTCAACCAGTATATTAACCTCACATCAAATCTACGAAATTCAAGCAATGAGCTTAAACAAATCCACACAGGGGAAAACAATAAGCCAAAAACAAACAGATCTAGAACCAAAATTCGACAAACTTACGAAGCAATCGTCATCAATGGTGAAGATATACTTCTTCTTCGACACCATGTACCCAAAGCAACGACAAGCGGAGTCCTTGAACGAAATGCAAGAAGCTTTGGGTCCGAGGATTCGATTGATGTCGTTCCTGTTGTAGAGCTCGTAATCGTAACCTTCAGGGACATGAATCTTCTTCGACGGATCTCCGTCCTGGACGATGATCAGGTGGTAAGGCTGAAGAAAAGGCCTCCACATCTCGAGGAAATCGAGGTTTCGGATGGTCGGGATCACGATGTCGAGCTCATCTTTCAGCAACGGCGTCGGGTTCACCGCGATGCCAACGGTATTCGCCGGCTCAACCATGATTTCAGGGGAGAGGGATGAGATCGGATCTCGTCGGTGGATTTTTTTTTTTTTTGGCTGATGAGATAGATATTTTGGTGTTTTATTTTTATTTATTTTTTTATGTTTTGAAACTTAGATGAAACCCGTCGCTTTGATTTATACAGATCTGGCACGTGCTTTAGTGACGGCACGTGCTGGCTTTGACACGTGTTTGATGAAGACTCGTTCAAGATGTCCAATCGGAAAAACTGTATGGTTGGAAAGTGAGTTTCTTCTATTCTGTCTTTTGCTGCCCGTACAATTCGGGGTTGTAATAATCTTAATTAATTATAATTTATTATAAAATGGAAAACTTGTGATGATATTGATAGCACCGAATATTTCAAGAGTTTTAGGCTGATAAAAATTAATTCATGGTTAACAAAAAAAAGTATCAGGTGTGTTTAATACTTTTTAATCCATCTTATTTCAGTCTTAAAGTCCTATTTTGCTTTTCTTTTTAAAACATCTTCATATTTCAATTAAAGGCATGAGAAATCCTCATGAAGTTCTATAGCAATACATCTCGGAACATAATGATGAAATACAAATTGGTTTTGAATAAACATAATATTTTGCTTTTTTTTCAGTTTGACTTGATTTGGATTTAATTATCTTTCAAACGGTGAAGAATGTATAATTAATTCGTATGCACATACAATTTTGTTTTAATGTACTTCTTATTTTTTAATTACAATTTACCGTATGAATCATATGAACGTAGATCTAAGAAACTAAATAATTAATAATTGTTGACTGGAATGTAATACAGTATTAGGTTGCGAAAGAAGGTTTCATTCCTTTACCGCTTTACCTTAAAGAAAAACTGGAAAGAAAAAATAATGAATTTGTAACAACTCAATAAATGCTCTGTTTTACTTTACTACTTAACAAAGTTATAGTGCATGTGGATGTGGGGATCAGTGGTAGTGTCTTAAATTTTACAACATTTAACTTCCATTTGAGTTAAAGTTCGTATATTAAAAATAAAAGCCGTTATTCAAATAATTAATTTTTGTTATCAGAAAAAAAAATCGTTAGTTTACTCTAGCTAATATACACATCGTATTGTACAAGGTAAACAAGTACAACGTATATAAAAACAGAGAATCATAATTGTCGACAAAAAAAGGACAAATCATAATTCTATAATGATTCGTATTAGATACGAAACATTTGATAAAATACTCTGATATTTGTATTTTTCAAACAAATTTAGTCATTCTTTTTTTTCTAAATAATTACCAGTCATTCATTCTAAACATATAGAATTTTAAAGTTATAAAATTTGAAGCGTAATCCTTACGACGTGGACCGTAATCCTTACGTCGTGATCGTGGACCGCTCGTAGACGCACGTCGTCTATGATTATTGCATAAATCATGTAACTATCATATAAAAGAGAATACATGCACGTAGGTGATGGACACTGTATAGCTATTTCATAAATATTAAATAATTATCTAAAAAGTCTGCCGAAAATAATTAAAAGCTTCCATGTTCAAGTTACTACCGAGTATCGATGACACATTAGTATATTTGATTCTATTCCGATTTGTTTTTTAGATTAAAGAAAAAAAAAATCACAAGAAAAGTAGGAGATTTCAGAGAATTAAGTACACGAATATTCTAGTTTTCTCGTATACATTAGTGTTTATCTTGAATTTTCCCGTATCTAAAATATTTTTACTTAACTAATTTTATATCACCATGAGAATATACTTAAAAAAAAATCACCATGAGAATATATATATATATAAGTGTCACGAAAAAACCATGAGATATATGTCGATAGGCTTTTGTTGGCCCAGATATAAGTAATCCAAAATCTTAAAAAGCAGAGCAACATGTTAAAGTATTTGGGCTGAATATAGCCCAGTAAGCGTTCTTATGGTTTGCCTTAGTTGCCTATGGTTGCTACTTCTCTAGTTTGATAATGATGATGATTGTATATAAAATTAATATTTTTGTATACAAAATTAATATTTGTGATTAGGTAAAAGATTGAACCCAACTGAATAACCAAATGGGAACAGATATAACAAAATCATTTGTCCAGGCGGAGATTGAGGATAGTTTTGTGAAGACAGTGATCCAATTGAGAAGTCATTTCAAGCAAAACTAACTCAATTCTGGATGTTATGACAACACATATACTATACATATGATTATAAGATTTGGTGAACTGTTTGCAAAATGGAATTTCAAAAACCACTTATACTCATAGTGCTATTTCCAAGTTTTGAAGCTTTGTAACTCACAGAAGCTAATAAAGCAGAAGACCATGATCTAGGAATTTCTTCTGCTGTAAGAATACACTCCAATACGCAAAGTTGAAAGAATGATTACAATAACGGAACTCAAACTTCAAAGTTGAAAGAATGGCCCAATTGTTAAAAAAGAGGAAGCTCCCAATAACCAAGATTTGAATCGGGTTTATGCGTCTATTCGAGTTAGTCGACGGAGAAAAACCAACGAACAGTAGTGAGGGTGGCCTTTCCTAATCTTCTATTGCACACAGGCGCTCTGGAAAAACAATCAAGCATGAAATGAATATGCCAGAGAAGGAAGAAGTAAGCAGCTCAAAAGAAGGATCTTGACTGTCTTGGGAAATGGCTCAAAGAGAGTATAAAAGGAAAGATTCTTACTTAGGTATTCGTAAGTCAATATCATTGAGGTACCCCAAGCCGACATGCTGAAGAATCTTGGACCCAAACCCCTATAGAATCCTTTCCAACCATCTTGTGCTATCAGATCCTTCACCACTTGTTTCGCTGAAGGTCTATTTTCTTGGTGTCCCATGACCTGAATATAGATTTATGGTTTGATTATTCTTGTTTTCATATATGTAGCAATACCCGTAGTTCTCTGATTGAGAACTAGTACATCAGACCCGAGAGCTTGATTAAATTCATGAGAGCTAAACAATTTCAATATAAAATATCAAGTTTTTTTGTATTATGAAGGGGAATAGTTAATACCTGCAGTCGCGTTTTGATTGTGTCTAAGGGTGTTGTGATTGAGGATGCAGTTGCACCGGCGATAATTCCTCCAATAGCTTGGACAAGAACAATTTTTGACTGACTAGGAGCAGTAGTAACCTCTGAGTCACCACCATAGCCTAAGAATCTGCCCAACAGTAGCAGATATTGGATCAGTGAAAAAAGGATCCAGAGAAACGAGAGTTCTCGCAGTCAAACTAAAATGAAAACTATCATCAATATATCACACCATTCATGTCTTACTTCCAGATAACACGCTGACTTGATCCATAGCTAGCCCACCAAGCAGCACTTGAAGGGGAATAGGTCATAACAGACAAGCCAAATCCCCTGTATAATCCCCTTAGGCCATATGACTTAATGATTTTTGTGGCAACATCAATACCACCAGTATATGTAGCATGACCGGAGTATCCTTGCACCATCAACTTTTGGCTAACCTGCAGCAAATAGGAGACATGGGGTTAACAATCACAACATGAGCCGCTTTTCTTACAAACCATAAGTGGTGTAATAATACATACAACATCAATTGGGACAAACACGGCCTGTGAGAAAAGAGATGCCGTCATCCCTGCAATTCCATTCGCAATGGCGGCTTGTGTAGGTTCATTTAACTCGAAAGGTGCAACCAGCTTAAAAGCAGAAATCTTTGTGGTCTCCAGAGCAGTTAGAAAGATGATCCTTGCAGGTACTGCACCTGTAATTACAGTACCAAAACCTCGATACAGACCAGGTACACCATCGTTCTTCAGTATTCCTTTAATCACGGAGAAAGCACTTCTCTCAGCAATTTCTTTAGAAGCAACTTGAAGCCTTGTTTTCACAACGGAGACAGGGTACAGAGCTACTGTAACACCAGTGAAGAGACCAGCTCCAACAACGTAAAACCTCTTTTTGTCAAGCCTGCAAGTAAAGGGAAAGAGAGAATGAAAAATTCAAGCAACTTCTCTGTAAGATAACTAATGATAAAGAAGAACTATTATCTGTTGTATGATTCTTCCAGTAACACTTGAAGTTTAACAGCCACTTTGGTATTGGTTTTAAGTTTTGTGGCTCCTTACACGTTTCCAAGAAACTTAGACGCACAAATTCAGATTATACCATAAGAATTAAGAGCCTTAAAAATCTTAGGCCTCTCAGATCTTTCAACAAAACAAAGATTTTGATTCAAAACCAGAGAACAAATAGGTAAATGGCTGAGAATCTGAAATCGAGCTGCTCAACTTGAGCAATGAGCCCTAGGAACATATCATTTCCTATAAATTTCAGAAATCTTTGAACTATCATTTGTTTCATTTCCACTGGCCAAGGGAATCCGAAAAAACCAAAATCCACCAAAGAACCAATCACAGAATCACGAAAAACTGGATCGAAGCAATAAACAATTCGGAGTAACAACGCCTAGAAGAACAAATCAAAACAAAAAACAGAGTCGGATCAATCAATGGAAAACGGAAAGGTACTTGTCCCAGTTGATCTCCGTCTGTCCAAAAGATGCGACTCGAGAACTCGGCGGCGTGGTCATGACTCTCAAATGCGGCGAGACTGAGTTGGAGGCGAAATTACCAAATCTCCCGAAGACTCAGGAAGGCATCTGCATCAAGCGAAGACCAGCAGAAGAAGACGACGATGACGGCGAGATGAAACTTCTAATTGCAGATTTCTTGGAGGCAAATTCAACAAAACTAATGGGATTCGTCAGGAGAAGAAATGTACTTTCACACACACAAAGAAGAGAATTTAAAAACGCAGACGCGTTTTTTAACCGAACGTCAGCGTTTGGTTAGCTGCATAGTTTTCAATCCTATATTCAGATTCCGATCAAAAGGCGTTGTTTTATTTCACAGATATAAGTATATGCCAAGAATTGTTATTCATTTCACAATTTATTTGTATAACAAAATTATGACACTTAACAGTTTTTATGTTTGCTGCATCAAAGTTCAACTTTTTCACATACATCAATTTACATGTAAAATAAATTCATTTGTTTCTCCTTACCGTATTTTAGCATTATTTTGTGTAAATATAAATATTTTGCAAAACCGTACTTGTTTAGCTCGTTGATACTCATTGGCGTTAAACAGTTAATTTTAAAATAACTAGAACTATCCGCTATAAATTCATATTCAATCAGAGGACTCATTATATAGGTTTTTCTTAAAATACTCTTTCAGACATTGAAAAAAAATTTGTAGACTGAACAAATGATAGACTGGCGACCAAAAAAAATGATATTTATTCTTTTATAGAGCCATTTCGAGAAAATATCTTCCAACAAAAGGCGTCTCCCAAAACAAAACGCCGTTTTTGACCTTCCGCCTTTTCGGACCAACGAAATTTATACATATGCGAATATAATAGAAACACGTAAATATCAATAATAAAGTAAGGAGGCCTAACTTTTTACCGAAAAAAAAACTTTGGGCCGATAGTATAATGCGCGTATATATATGGCCCAAATAAAAAAGTGCTTTGACTATTATAGCCTTTCGTTCTTTCTCAGTCAATGTTTCAAAGGATGGCTGCTTCCAAGCCCACCTCCTGGTTGCTGTTTCCATTTGGTTGTTTTTTTCTCGTTGTTGATAGAAACTTTACTAAAAATACGTTTAATTTGAAGAATAGAAACTTATCAAAATTAATCACTCCTATGCCAAGAACCAGATTTGAACTGGTGACACGAGGATTTTCAGTCCTCTGCTCTACCAACTGAGCTATCCCGGCCATTACCGATTTGAACTGGTGACACGAGGATTTTGAGTCCTAGATGGTCGAGGCATTTCGAATTGTTTGTTGACACGGACAAAGTCAGGGAAAACCTCTGAAATTATTTCAATATTGAACCTTGGACATATAAGAGTTCCGAATCGAATCTCTTTTGAAAGAAGATCTCACTGCGTATGCTCTCTTCTCTCACTGCGAATGATGCCAAAAAGAGTTCAGCTCGCAAGCGGAGTCTCATTGGCGGGAACCTGTGGCTGGATTGAATCCTTCCCGATGGAAATGCACTCGACTCAAAGGCGCGTAGCGGGCGCGGGTCACAACAAAATACAATCGTTCCATTTGACTGGATTTCCATCTTTCATTAATGGAAATTTTTTTGATGTAGTGAGTAATAGCTCTGGTTGTTCGCTGTTCAAGAATTCTTGTTTAGGCAGTTCATACCATCCATACATAGTGTTTTGATCTAAGATTTCAATTCTTCCATGTTTCAGTAGTAGCATATTGTTCCATGGAGCTAAGTGGAAGAAACAGGTGTTTCTACAACAAAAGCAAATTGGCTTTGAATCGATCAAGAAGTACAGATTACAGAACCATTCAATCAATGGCTGTGATCAAGATTTAAAAGAAAAAAACTTAGACATCTCTAATCATTTTCTGTTACAAAAACTCGTAAAACTCTGTTTCTGGTACTGTTTCTGAAACCCAGAAGGATCAGATTGAGATTAATAGAAGAAGAAGAATCGTGAGTGACAGTGTCGAGAGAGAAGCGAAGTTTCCTCGTGCAGAGTTTGGCAGAAAAGGGTATGAATCTGGTGGAGGTAACATACATTCATCGCCATTAAAGTAAACTTTTCTCGGAAAAGCCCAACCTTGCTTGAAAGTGAAAGTCTTTTGATCTTTCTGTAGCAAAACCTCTGATTGAACATTCCCTGAAGGCCCAGCTTCCATTAAAAGATCGTTGTAGAATTTCGTTCCATAGAACATTCCAGTGTCATCTGCATAAAAAAGATTTAATAAATTAGTCGTGCAATGTTTGGGTTTCAAAAGGTTTAAAAGTTGTAGTGAGAGAGAGATACTTACTTATGGATCCATAAGGAGCAACTGATTTGTAATCAAAGCTGAAAACTTGAGTCACATTGTTGAGGTTTGGGTGCTGAATTGCTAAAGTCCATAGTGTATGATTCATCCGGTAATTGAAATTTGTGATGGCTATCTTCACGCGCCAATAGTCTTTATAGTTCACTTTAACATGCCAGTGAACTCTAACCGGGCACATATGATGTGTGCATTGTAGCAAAGGAGCGTTGTCTTTTCTCGGTGTGTTGAGACCTTTCTTGGTTAGAATCTTAGAATCAGCCCTGCCAGAAAAAAAAATAATAATGTCGTTTCAGTTTAGGAGATAAGAAAGAGTTTTCTGAATTTAATTGACTTGTGCTTTTCTTTTTGCTCACTTTACGCAGCTCTTTTTGTTCTCGCAACCACAGGCACAAGACGGGCAAGGAGTTATGGTGTCGTTGTAGAAAGAAGAGAAGGAGACGCAACAGCTTGGATGCTTTCTGGCTAGAAACTGTGAGTATGTGCAGGTAACGTTCCATGTCACTGCAGAAGCATAAGTTTGGATCAATGATGTATATAGACGAAGGAATCATAATGAAAATTGATGGTTTTTAAATGGATTGGATCAAGTTAAGATTTTTCTTTCTTCTTGATTTACCCTTTTAAGTTTACTTACTCAAAGCTTGTGTTTTTCGCCGTTTGTCAGTCGTGAGAAAAACGGTAGATGGCACGATTTTGGCAGGACCACAAGTGTAACCAGGTCCGGGACCAAGTAATGTGAAGTTCTTAGGAAGCTTGACAGTCTTGTTTGTAGTTCCAGCCAGACCAACACTAACCTGAAACTGTGATACAGCGGATGATGGATCCTGACCCCAAGCTCCAACTACACCGCCTTTGCAACAGTTTGAGAACTGTTGATTGTAAGGGACACCTGGCAAGAGGTCAACGACTGTTGGGGTTTTCTTACAGCAATGAGGTACATTTCCCTTGAACTTGGAACAGTCTCCTTGTTCTGTTGTTTGCGCACCAACCATTGACCAAATCACTTCTTTCTTTGCCCATGCCCAGCCTAATGTCCAACCCGGGTTTTGTATGTGGCGGTACATTTGGAAGTTGTTCATTGTTACCGTTGCCTGCAAATGCATATAGTGTACAGAATGATGAGAGTTTGTGCGAGTAATCAAATGCGCATACACGCACGCACAAGAGTGCAGAGGATTCTTACCACATAGCCATCTGCTGTCCAGGACATGATATCCCATTTGATTGTAATGTTCCCACTGGGATCCAATGGATCATATGCAGCTGTAAAACAAAAACAAAAAATCATAGAATAAGAAAAAGGAAGTTATGGTTTTGCAGATAACGAGCGAAAATGAATAATCAGAACTCACTTGCACTAAGAATGATCATGAAGAAGAAACAGAAGCAGAAGAAGAGCCTCATCTTCTGTAAATTTCCTAAGAAATATCCAAGGAAATTCATTTTAGATAGGGTTCTTTATCCTTAGTTTCTTCTTCTTCAGGAATTTGAAATTGATGTGTTTATGGGATTTAAACAGAAGCTTTTCACAGATTATAGTAGAGTCTTTTTGGTCTGAAGATGGGCTTTACCTACTTGTTGTTGCATTCTCCCAAATTTATTCTTTCTTGTTTACCATAACTTTAAGCAATGTTTATGGTGATTGATAATAAAACAGCAACAGAAACTGACGTGTTCTTGTCCGAACACAACATCTCAACTGTCTTCTCTTTTATAGAAAAGAAAAAGAAACGGAAACCCTAATGATTAAGAGATGAGAAGTGAGAAGGTAACTTGGGGTTGAAAACAAAGAAAAAGTGGGGGCTGACCATGAGTCAACTTCTGACACAAACATATCTCCCAACTTAGCTTACCATCTTACTAAGCTTTCCTGTTTTCTCCTCTAATAACTTTCCCTTCCAAATTTTATTCCCAGTAATTAATAAGACATTCAAATTGCTATATCTTAAATGATTTATGCAGTTTATACCAATTTGAAGAAAATATCAAAATAACGAGGTTCTGTGTTTTCTTTCTTGATAGGTCAACTTGTGTTACTTTTTTTACCCTCAGAGATCAACAAAAGCCTACTACAATTCCATAAATTTGGCAAACAAAAAAAAAACTAAAAGAAGCAGTAATTGTATTCGTGCTATTTATCAGATTGGATATCAGGTAGAATTGTTCTTAACAGTATTATCCGTTGGATCATTAATACGTATAGTCATTAGATGGAAGCAAAGATGGACATTTTGGGATTTGGCCGAAGAAAACTCTCTTAAGAGAGAAGTATGCATAGCCGAATCAAAAGATTCAATAGTAACAAGAACAAAAAAACAATACCAAAAAAAAAAACTCTGCAAAGAATACAATAAACGGCTTTTGAGATGACAAAATGGGTCTTCAAACTAAGAGCTTCTTCGTCAAAGAAATCGTTCAACGGACAGTCAATCCCTGGGTTGCTGATGATGATGATGATGATGATGATGCCTGAGTACCTTCCTCTGTTACCTTGTTTGCTTGAATCGTGCTGATGACATTCTCAATATTGTCCTGCACAAACACAAAACGAGATGAAACAAAATGAACATGGTTTACTATTACATCAGCATTCTCAATATCGCAACCGTGATTTTGTGTTTACCCGCCAAGCTGCAAGCTTTATTCTAAGAGATTGCCATTGCTTTTGTCCAAATTCACGCTCAGCAGAACGGCTGTAAATAATGAAAAGTATGAGTATGTGTGTGGCTTTACACATATAAACCGAAAGAGAAGCGTATAGAACTTGCCTGACAATAACAACTTGGTTCATCTGATCCATCTTACAATCAACCAGTTTTGCGGTTATTGCCTTAACCACCCACAATTCAATCTCCTCGTCATTTACCTGTAGCCCGACAAATTCTATGAGTCTGAGAAGCAATGAAAGAAAAAAGGTTATCAACGTCTCCTGTCTTGTTCAAGCAAAAGAATTCACCTGTAGAGTGTTCTTGATAGAGGCATAAGGTATTTTGCCAGATTCATTTGAGGCCAAATCCACCAGTGACAACAATCTCATCTTCGCCAAACAATCTTCCTCGATAAGCCCTGCGAATACCATCTATGGCTTATTACGCTGAATACTTAAGGCTTCACTAAAGAACCAAGGATTCATCTGGACTTTATGACCGGATAAGAACAGTACCATAGGTTTGCAGAAATCCTGAATTTGCATTTTGGAATTCCATGTATGCATCCAGCCTCTGAGTAAGAAAGATTTTCAGTAGCTGGTAAACTGGTGCGTTGTTAGGATCCTTCTCCAATTGTGCAACGGCTGGCATCTCTAATAAGTCACACTGCAATTTGAAAAAAGAAAATCATGGATTGCAATTCAAATCAAAATACCTCACTGAACAAAAAGCAGTAGCTAACACTTTCAATGACAGTAACAAGTTTAGAGGAATAATTTTACACATTTGAATCAAATATGAACACGATACCTGAAATTTATTGGGAGCCCTGACAAATTCAATAACTGCTCGAACAGCTTCCTCCTTAGCTTCACTCAGGACCTGTGTATCCTCATCGGAGAAAGTCGCCAAATATTTTGTCACAAACTCAAGGGAGTCTTTGGCCAAACTGGAATATTGTTTAAGAAAACGCATGAGGCCATTGGTATACGTAAACAGAGAAGAGAGGAAAGAAACATTGTTGCAGTACCTTTTATTTTCTCTTAGAACATTAGCAATGGCAAGAAATAGTTTCCGCTGATCGTTGATGTCAATATTCCACTCTTTCAAGAAGCTGTCAATCTTCTTAAAGGAAGGCACTATATACTCAGTGACCTTCCCATTCACAGCCAGTTCCAGCGCTTTCATATATACTTGAAAACGAGCATTTGGGTGGTCCAGCAGATTATAAAGATTGAAGAGGCTGTACAGAGAGACAAACAGCAGATGAGAAGAGCGTAATACATAAATGAAACACTATAACATATGGTAAAAGAATCCTACGACAGATTAGCTCAAAGATTCACACGATCATACATTTTCAAAAGCAATGAAGCTTTGTCATTCGGCTGCTGAACAACCTTAGAAGCTATAGCTTTCACCATTTCAAGGACTTCCTCAGGACTTTTCGCATTCTTGACAAGGCTGCAAATTATGGTGTAGGTACACTCAAGATCTGGTAAGAGGCAAACAACATCAAACTTCTGCCAACAAACATACACAGTATTATGGCCGAGAAAGGACTCTAGCAAACAAATGGGCCAGTGTTGTTATGATACAATGATAAAAGACTGACCTTTTTCAGAGATCTTGGATGATACCAAGTCAGCTGAAGTTACCATTAACGTTGCCAAATCCAGCCACCTTCCAGCTACTATAGACTCCTCTGCCTCACTGCATAGTCTAGTAACTTGGGGCTCTGCAGCCTAAGCAAAGAAAACAATCGTTAATTGAACAGCTCCACACTGCGCCAAATTCTTATGAAATCAAGTGAGACTGCAGTATTCAATTAGTCATTGTGGTTAGAACACGAAGCTGTTCAGTTCGAATAATTTCAGCTGGATAAGAGTAGACTATACTTCGCAATAGTCATATGCATCAAAATCCAAAATAACCGCCAAATTTTCCAATTGAAAACATCTAATTTCCGCATATATTCCCAGAAAAAAAAAACAAACTTTAGCGATTTCGAATTCAATATATATATATATATATATGCATTGGAACGTCCAAAATAATCAATCCTTTGCACATGTTTATGATCCAGATACAAGGGCTCTACCTCGGGACCTGCATCGGCCCAGGCAAGCTGGGAAGTGAAACGGACAATGGCGAGCGAAGGATCTTCTTCGGAGGTGGGAACAATTGTAGTCATTTTTCTGCTGTGGTTCGAATCTCTGGTTCTTTTCTCGACCTAATCCTAAATCCGTAAGAGAGAAATTCTTCAGCAGCAGGGCAGAGCAGAGGGACAAAGGAACAAATGAAAACCCTAATCAACGCTACATCTTTTTCGGTTAAGATTTAAACCGAATCCGGTCCAACAATTAAACAAGGAGGTAAAAAAAACGACTTTTTGTCCATCCAACGGCTATTCGTGCACTAACATTAACGTATAAAATCGAACGGTCATGAGTAACAAGAGTCCACTCCTATTATTTGGCGATCCAGTGAGCAAGGTTTGTCAATGTTTTTTTTGGTTCTTACTGAAAACTTAGAAACACGTTCTCGAGATCTTTAGACTTCAAGAGCCATAAATTGACAAATCTTTGTTTGAAAACACACAAGAAACGGCCAAATCCATAACTTTCCTCATGAACACAAATATCGATCACCAGTTTCAAGGATAGGAAATAAAGTTACAATTTTTACACTTTTTTTTTCAACGGATCAAATGCAGATATCGATCGTCGTGGAAGATACAAAATCATTTGCCAGATCCAGAAGGACCAGATCCAAACAAGTAACCCAGAGAAGATCCTCCACCTGGTGCAGCATGAACCTTCGTAGATGGTCGGTCCTGTTTTCTCAAAAACCAAAACAGAACATTGTGTTACTTAACTCTGTTTCGAATTCTGATTCTCCATACAACTTTTAAACTCAAGAGATCTTGTATTAATACCGTGAGGAAGTTGCCACAGTTTTGTCCCTCTGTTCTGAAGTAGTTATTAGGACTTCCTCTTACACCAGCTGACATCTGTTTCTTCTCCTCCTCCTCCGTCTTGTTTTTATCTCCGGTGGTGGTGGTGGTGGTCGCGGTGGGATTGTTGGGTTTGGGAACAGACTCGCCAGATCCAAAAAGATAACCAAGAGAGCTCTCTCCGCCGCCACTGTTAACTCCTCTAGCTTTCCCCATTTTCCGGCGAGAAAACTCCGCCGCCGATACTTGAAATCCTAACAGTGTTTAACATTAGATTAAAGAAGAATATAGATCAATTATATGAATTTAGATAGTTTTGAACCATCAAAGACACATAGGAGAGAGTAGATTCGTGATCTTCGTAATAACCTTTTTCTGGTTTTTGTTTCCTCTTCTTCTACGATTGGCCGCAAGTCAAGGCAGAGGAACAAGGAGATACACACATGTTACATATATATACACGTGTAAGATAATGTGTGGTGGGATAACATGAAGTTATGGTAGGCACGTGTGGGGTTAAGTCGTTGGTGCATCACTTATAAATTTATACCGGTTTTAGGATCAAACCGGTTTTTTCTGTTGGGTGAAAGTGATGAAACTATAAAAGAGAAAGTACTACAAGTAAAAGAGAGACTCTGCTTGGTAAACCGTTCAGTTGATTTAATGATTATACAATTTTTTGAAGTTAATATTTTTGTTTTCCCTGTGTCTTTAGATAACTTCTTCACCTCATGAGAGCTTGATCCTCTAGACATGGTAGGAGTGATTACATTGGAGAATTGACCACTTAGTCATCAGTTACTGCCAGTATTTTGTTAATGATGTTAGTTTAATGTTTTTCCAATTGGAATGAATGTTAGTCAAATCAATAATTTTGACAATTTTTTAGTTTGTTGTAAAGCCGTCTGTAGCCATGGTTATATACGTAGTATTAAAATTGATTTATATCTTTTAAAAAGGCTAGAATCTCCAGAATAACAATGACAACCCACAAAATACATATGTCATGTACATTGTAGGTAACGAATAGAGGCAGACCATTATGCAAGATGTCTATATATTATTATTATGTTCTTATAGATCTTATACTAGTCTTCCCTAACATTTCTCGTCCATCACATGATGATTTTGCATATCCTAATGGGAGTTCACAGCTAAGAAGAAGAATGTACAATCAATAATTATGTTATCTACATTGACAAACAACAAATATTTTATCAAAAAATATGACCAACAAAATCATATATATATATATATATATATACATATAGTTAAGGAAGATTCTAAACTATCTTGACTCTTTTCTACAATAATCTTGAACCGCTTATTTGTGAAAGCTTAAGAGTATCTTGGCAACGGGAAAGAGTTCACCTTTCTAACTCGTTTTTTGGGAAGCTTGAAGTGACTCTCTTCAACAGTTTCTGAAACTAACATTGCGGGTAAACCCTAGAGATAGAGGCTTAGGTAGGTGGAATCTGCAAATTAGAGCCTCTACAGGTCCCTCTAACATTTCAACGACTTTCCTCTTTGATGGACGATCAGATGGATCTGTTTGAATACACTATAAACCCACCAGAAAAAGTGTTGGCTGTGTTGAAATGGGCTTAGCTATAGAAAAAGTAAAAGGGAGCTTATGTTATAAAGAATACAAAAGGTAAGCCCAACCTACTTGAGCTTCTTTAAGTTTATTGGCCTATTCGCTATAACTCTCTCATGATTTGTTTATTTTATTTTTAATGTTTGTTTTTTTCTTGTAACTTTTGGAAGTAGAAATTCGAAGCTTATCAAGTTAGTGCGAGCTTTTCGGAATTACTCTCTTTTTTGTCAACTTTGCCTGAATATCTTCCACTTTTTCTTTTTTTAGTTTCTGATAAATAAACCCAAAAAGAGGATAAAAAAAGCTCCTCAAAACTCTGACAAAGGAGCTAACCACAATACTTGAAAGCGTTGCCAGAGAACCCATGACTTCAGGGACCATAACAATATGTACGATCATCATCATGATCTTGATCATGACCATCATCATCATCATCCTACGGACGAGATTTTCTCGTTGACTTAGATTTATAAGTGACGTTGAAGGATGGCAATGGACATGTGAAATACTGAAGAAACACCCTCACTTTTACACCCTCACCTGCTGCTACATTGATGAAAGAAAATATATTGTTTTTTTTTTTCTGATAGTGCTGTTTTAAAAACAATACATTTAAGTTTTATTTCTATGGATAAATAAATTCAAGATGACATGACTTGATTTCGATGTAAGTTAAAGATAAGATATCGAGGTTAATAAAAATGGCATCATGAGTCATAACTACATTATGTTTTATAATAATCATTTAATTAGCGTCAACACTTACGATCACCATTTGATGTAGTATTATTTGCATCTTATATACATATATATATATATATATATATATTTAACTGAGTGTGAACGACTTTTAGTGGCCTTATTTATCAAAGTAAGAGTTTGAATCTTTTTTTTAACACTAAGAGCAGCTCCAACGCTGAACTCGACGTAATGGGGTTTTTGGATTTTTTTATTAATGTTTTGAGATATCATTTTTTTATTAATTATTTTGAGATATCATTCTTATTTGTGGACCAACCAAAAATGTCCATGTCATCTTGAACCCCAAATAAATGGACTCTTCAAACTCTTCAGGAAGAGACTGACTGTTTCAAACTTGAGCTTTTTAATATTATTTAAATCCAAAAAATTGATGAACCCCACTTTTAAACCCTGCGTTGGAGCTGGTCTAAGAGTTTGAATCTTTGAATCGAAAATATAATTTAACTAACATCGTTTTGTAGAGTTGAATATACATTTGAGAGTGAAAAAGATAAATAACAGGAGAAAGAGTTGCATCATTTTGGCTGAGAAAAGCATATGGTGCTTACATGGTTTCCATGCTCTCAGTTTATCAATGTTTTCAATGTGATTGATTGTTTATACTATTTTTATTGTTACTATGTTTCCAGTTCCGTCACATGTGTTCAAATAATATTTTTTTTGGGAATTTAAATGAGTAAATTAATTGAAAACTAGAGGAGATGAACTAAAAAGTTCGGAAGGTACAGCATACTTGTGCGCTTTTGAATTAGCTTATGGATGCAGCAGATAAAAAGGGAAAGCCCATATGATTGGAACAACTTAACCAAATAAAATGAACGACTGACTATCTAAACTCCATCTGTCTCCAGAGTCGAGCACAGGCTAATGAAAAATATGCTTCAAAGCCAGAGAAGTTAAATAATTTTTTGGAGCTAATGTTTTAGAGTTTAAGCTAGTCCAAATGGTTTGTGAATAGGTGAAAACACGTCTGGTTAGAAGTTTGTCTGGGTTCAATTCTTCTCAAGCGCATATTTGTCATTTTTTTCTTCTTTTTGCCAATTATTTATGGGATAACCTGCATTAAAAAGAGTTTTAAAAGGCCAATTTTTTTTTCTCGCTTGTAGTTAGAGAAATCTCCGACACGGCTGACTGTCTCATAATATAAGGTGTTTTAAATTTTTAATTTTGCTTTATAACATAGGATGTTCTCTATTTTTAGGCAAATTTTAATTTTGTTGTACTACTTTATAACCAATTGTATTCATTAATTTTTGAAAAGAAAAAAAAACTATCTTCATTTTTGTGCTTTTTTGCTAAAAAAAAATCTTAGATTACAAAACAGAGAGTATTATTTAAGCTTTCTATTGCCATCAACTCGTTATATATATTATTCGATGATTTGCGTATTAGATAACCACACATGAAGGTAAATGTCTTAATGGACAGTCCGTAGAACGATGTCTAGACACGCAATTAAACTTCTAATCCTAACCTTGATATACAGAATTAAGATTACTTTTAAAATAGGAAGAGTTAATTTCCTTCAAAACAAAAAAAAAAAAAAGAACGAAGAGTTAATCTTATGGGACGACAATTCTGTAAGAAAACTGGTTCGTACATTAATACAGAACACCAATAACTTATGCTGTGAATGTGATGGATTTTATATAATTAAATACTTATGCTGTGAATTAAAATCTATAACACACCCATTTTAAGCTTTTTAAGCAGATCAAAATCCAGCAAATAAAATCTAAAAAGTGGAAAGATTGCTATAATCATTATAGAATCCTTCATAGTCTCATAGACCGAAAAATGTAGATCACATCGTTGGTTTGATTAAAATATCTGATCTAATCTTAGTTAGTTACGAGCAATATCATGGTTTGATTTTCGTACTTTCCAATGAGGCATTCTGCGTAGAAAGAGTTTGGTAGTAGTGGGCAGATTAGGATTATATGCTTAGGGAGTATCAAAGTGATCATGTTTTTTAATTAGCCACTAGATCCTCTCACCAAAACAACCTTCAGTGCTGGCTCGTATTTTAACCAACTGCTTTGATATTATAAGTTTTTGAGTATATACGAAGGAAGCACCAAATTGCCATGTGCATATATATGATGAGAACTATTATCTAATACATTAAAATGTAATGTAGATGCCAAAACTTGCATGCTTTGAATTGGTAATTTGTTTCTTGACTTTTCTTATTTTCCATTTTAATCCATACACCATACCATTAATAGTGTACCTAATAGTAATGGCTTGGTTCAACTTCCAACCAATGTTCATTGATAACACACTTTTTAGTAAATGTTTTATAGTATATTTTTTATGATTTTTTCCAAATTAAGTGTCATTTTAGATTTCTAATACAAATTTTTAGAAATTATTTCAGTTTTAATCCTAATTAGGTAGATAAAATTTAAAAATATATCAGCAGAAAAAATATAAAAAATAGCCTTTCGTCTTGCCACAAAAAAAAAAAGAAAAAAAAAAGCCTTTCGTTCCTTAGGGAACATGAAAATACTCCCGGCGATGTCTATTATCTATGTTCCATGAGTTGACCTAATTGATGTGTATAGCGAAACAATATGTACGTTATATGAAAGATTGCTTTTATATTAGTAATGCCTAAAAAGTTAGGGATAAATCATAAATATTTAAGAAACAGTCTTACGAATCGCATTTCTATGACAGAATTTATGACTTTGTCTGCCATTTGCATACACATGTATAACGAAATTAACAACATTTTTCCCTAGTATATTTAGCTTTAATTAATTCATTTCAACTATTAACTTTTTAAGTAATTACACTTTCTCTAATTCGTTAAATTAGCTGTCTTGCATTTTTCTTACGTACTCTGATAGTTTGATACCTACATCTAAATGGTTTTCATTTTTCACACGTTTAGTTTTTACATACCCAATACTAACATTATTCTATCATATATGTTCAGTCTAGATTAAATTAAGAAATGATATGGAAAATTGTATAGAACTATACTGTTTTGGTTAAACAAATTTTTTCTCAAAAAAAAAAAAATTCTATCACAAATTTTACATGAATATACAGTGTAAGTACACATTACATAAATGATTTGTGCGTGTAGTGTTTCTTGTCAAAATCAAAGAGAAAAGAAACCTACACTTAAAATTAATGGTGAAACTCAACAAATGTTGAAAGGGTGGGTGATAATCATGTGCCAATAATTGAATTAAAATGAATAATGAGACTTGTCACAAAAGAAACCACACTACGAGGTCTGATTTTATTTGAACGTAATCACTAACAATAATATTCGTATGCTATTTCAAATCAAAGTTGATTTTTGCTTCATGTGATCATGTTTCCCTTCTATTTTCTGTTGCACTTGCCTATCGTTTCCCACTACTTTTCTTTTTGTTTCCATTTCGTAGGTTTACCCTATATAAACACTTTTCATCTCTTAAATTCAGTGTAAATACGTAGCATAGATCAAACATTCGTACGGATAATGGATATATATATTGTTGTTATATATTTTTCTTGATTCTTGTTATATGTTGACAAAAAAAAATTGTTGTTATATTTCATTGGTCATGAACATATGTGGACTTTAAAGAATTTGATTGATTCTGATGAATGGGTTCAACTTACATGATGTCATAGTCATAGACGATACATGCATGGCGTGATTGATGTGTGATACATATGTACCGTTTTGGGAATTAAGGGTCAATGCAAAAAGTCAACTTGGAAAAGCACATTACCGAAACAAAACAAGGTCCATGTTCAACTTCTTAGTTCGACGTTCGTACTCTCTTTTTCACGCATTCTCAAGTTTCTAAAACACATCAAGATCTTTGGGAACGACAAATATCTTTCATATATAAAGGTTAAGTAATTTTGCATATGTCTGCGTTTTTATTTCAACGACAAAATGAAAATCGATTAAGTATACACCAACTCATAGAGGATTAATAATCTTATTTATTTGTATGGTATAGAAAATAGTTTTTTTTTAAGAAATGATAATTACAAGTTACGTTTATATCATTTTATCAATAGATGTATGTATGTATATATTTTTAATTTATATATACCATATAAAATAAAATGCATAAATATGAATAGTTTTGAATCTTTAACAAATAAAATGAGTAGTTTATTACTAACATGCGCCTCCATATGTTTTTACTTTTTACAGATGACACGAGAATTGTGATGTATGTTCCGTCAATTCACTATTCTGCTAATGATAATTAATATAAACTTTTTTTAATTAATATAAACTTTACCATCATATGTGGTAAGTTTTATTTTAATTTAAAATATGTCATTCGTTGACATAAACACATTAATTATGTCATTATATTCTTCAATCTTTTTAATATTTTCATGATTTTGTTATTTCGATTACAAAGGTTAAACTCGTCCGACCTTAATCTTTTCAGAAACAGAACCGATACGTCTTATTAGTTGCAGTAACTTATAAACTCGTATATTTCTGCATTCCAATCCAAATAACCGGTTAAATCACTATAAATCAAAGAAAGAACCTGAAACACGCTTAGTAACGACTAGGATGATGATTCTTGATTCGCAACTCTCACTAATTGCCCATGTGCAGCATATTCCTTGGTTACTTCCAAGACCACAGCTTAATTTCTTAAAAATGATAAAATAAATCAAATCATTATAATACAAAACAAATAAATAAGTTCACAAACCCCACCTTGTTCACAGCACATAGTTGAACAAAAGCACGTGATCCGCCCAAAAGGTGTTTAACTAGTACATCGCATGACATAAACTCTCAAATCAATGTATTAAACTCTAAATAAAACAAAAACCAAAAAGACATTATTCTACCTCATAATAGAAGCTTAAGTTCCTCAAATTAAAGTTCATTATTATGCCTTATATAATGATACATTATTCGAAATATAAAAAATATATATCTGGTCGTTTATAACTTACATGTGCACATTTTCAAATCTAAATATGATTTATGATTTAACGGAAACATTATTATAACTCACTAGGCTATGATATATGTAGTTCACTTTAAATGTATAAAAAAAGATATGTAATTCGAAAGAATCAGAATTATGATAACATGACTCTTTAAAATATTAGTATTCCATTTCCAGAATTAAATTATATTTTTGTGAAGCCCAAAAAAAAATTCTTTTGTAAGACCCACCAATCTAAGACCATGCAAACTTTCTTCCAGTGCACCAATCCACTTTATTCCTCCTATACAATTAACTGTAATTGTTTTTGGCCATTAGTTTCCTCTCTTATTTATTAGGTTTTTCTCTTTATATATCTACATTTAAAAAAAAAAAAAAATTTCTGCTGTCTGTCTCTGACAAACTCCACATGCATATGTAAAAGGGCACCAAAGACTTCTGAGACCCACCCACATTATGTTGTCCACATGGATGTGTAAGGAAACCTCTTTTTTTTTTCATTTCTTATTGCCTTTCTCTGTTCAATAATCAAAATTTATATTAGTGATTCTATCATCTAATTTGTGTTTATAGAAATGAATAAGAGTAGGATGTAAAAAAAAGTGTGGATATATTCACCATTGGTTACCAAAAAAAAGCCACAGATTCAAATAAATAAATGAAAAAATTCTCGGATTATCGTATAAACCCACAAAGATAAGGGATTATCCAATATCATTTGTCTTACTAAATTAAAAAGAAAAAAAAAAGAATTTAGTTTTGTCTGTGCTTTCATGTGCATCACTTTCATCAAGATGCATAAAAAATAGATACCTCATTATTCCCAAGCAGATTTTTTTCAGTGCTTCGTCATAAATTTTTATTTTAAAATTATTAAAATATTAAATAATTCAATTACATTCTCTTACATGTATAAATCTACGGATACACACGTATACATGTGTACACGCATGTGTATATACATTTCATAACGGATGTTTATATATGCTTCAAAAGCTTCTCCATATAATTGTAGGGAGAGCTCTTTGCCTTTTACAGACTCATTTCTCTGAAACATCACAAACAAAAAAAAACTTTTTTTTCTTCTCTTCTTTCTTCTTCAAGGAACCCTCCAAGAGAACAAACACAGAGAAACCTAATATCTTGTCTGGTCATAACTTCACAAGTAGCTTTACCTTTGTCTTAATGCTGGGTTATTCTTTGTCCTCTTGTCTCTTCTTCTTCTTCTTCTCCCTCTTCCTCCTCTGAGACACTAAACAAAGGTTTTCAAGAACTGATATGAGAGAATCCCAGAGTTCCATTGTTTTTTAGAGTCAAAACCTTCTGAGACCAGAGCTAATAAGAAGAAGAAGATGTCGGCGAAGCTTTTGTATAACTTGTCGGATGAGAATCCAAATCTGAATAAACAGTTTGGATGTATGAATGGGATCTTTCAGGTATTTTACCGGCAACATTATCCGGCGAGACGTGTTGCCGGCGCCGGAGATGAGCTCAAGTCTCTGCCTTCATGTAACATTTCTCTCCCTTCTCTGTCTTAAGGCTTTCCTTGCAATGTCATCATATCCATTAAAACCTGAAGAAAAAGTTTCAGAGAAAAGTTCTTCAACATAAGACGTTGTTTTTGTATTCTAGTTTCTGACTAAGATCCTAAATCTAAGATTCAGGACCACAAATGAAAGAAACCAAAGCTTTAGAACATGACTTGTCTATAGATGGTCATAGTGTCTAAGTTCGCTATACTTATCTATAGGTTTATATCTAACGCAAGTACGCAACTAAGTATTGGTTAAAAGCTAAATTTGAGTTGGGATTTTTTGGCAGGCAAAGCAAGTGACAGTGTTGGTGATACCAATATTTCAACGGACAGCAAGGAAACGGTAAGAATCTGTATCCAGCAGAGATATGATAATTTCCACGGAAGAAAATGGATCTAAAAAATGATTTTAACTGGAATTGCAGGAGAAGAGTAAGAAGAAGAAGAAGGCTGCAAAGGAGAAACAGAGGGGAGCCTCCTCTGAATCGTCCTCGAGGCTGTCATTTTCTTCTTCACCATGCTCCTCGAGCTTCTCATCTGCAGATATCAGCACCACGACATCTCAGTTCGAACAACCCGGCTTGATTCAAACGAATAATGGTGAGAATCCGGTAAGAGAACCAACCTACGGGTCGCCAAGGTTGGGCGGTTTAATGATGCCGAGTGATTTAAGAGAGCTTGTGAGAAGCTCCATTCATAAGGAGACAAGAACCAGAGATGAAGAAGAAAACTTGTCTCAGCAGCCTAAATCAGCCAGAGCTAATGTGTCTCTTCTCAAAGAATCATCACCATCTCGGAATTCTAATGAATGGAGCGAAGGACGCAGAGTAGTGAAGCTGAAAGACAGTCCTCGGTTCTCTTATGATGAGAGAGAGGCGAGAAAAACAGGCGCCAAGTTGAAAGAGACACCAAGGTTGTCGTTAGACAGTAGATCAAATTCATTTAGGAGCGCAAGATCTAGCTGTTCACCAGAGCCGCAAGAGTTTGTAACGGGTCACAGAAGAACAACATCGAGTGTCGTTGCCAAACTAATGGGTCTTGAAGTCATTCCAGACGAGTCTGTGAACGATCAGAACAGAGGGAACCAGAACCGCTTCTGTGACTCCCCAAGGCCAACCTCTCGAGCGGAAGCAGATCTACAAAGATCAAGAAATTCTGATTCAGTCAAGAAGATGATGCCTGCTAAGTTTCCAATGAAAGCAGCCCCATGGTCTCAAGTGGATGGTGCCAAGACCCAAGGTATAGCAGCTGACGCTGCTACTACACTGACAGTTTATGGTGAGATACAGAAGCGGCTTTCGCAGCTTGAATTCAAGAAGTCTGAGAAAGATCTCAGAGCTCTAAAGCAAATACTTGAAGCAATGGAGAAGACGCAACAGTTGATAAGCAAAGATGATGACAACAACAGTCTGAGTTCAACCAACTTTATGCAGAGAGCTGATCAGCCCATTCCATCTGCAACAACAAGCCCGTCGTCCAAGAATTTAAGATCTTCCTCCATCGTGGTTATGAAAGCAGCGGAGGCTGCAGTCTTCAAAGAGACAGGAAATTGTGGTTCCACCTCTTTCTCGCCACGGAGTGTTGCTTTACCAAATGTCAAGGTCGCAAACCTGAGGCAAACCCAGAAAGTCACTCAGAGGAAGCAGAGCGGCATGGATGTGACACCGAGGCCGGGCTTTTACAAGGGCCAGACAGATTCTGCAACGAAAAACACTACTACTAGACCTTTACAATCGAAAAGCGACATGATGAGGTCAGGAAAGAGCCAGAAGCCTAGTGTGAGCCCAAGAACACAGCCAAAGAAGCTCGCGTTCGAGAAGCAGTCTCGACCAACGTCTCCAAAACCAGAGCCAAACAAGATCCAGAGACAACAACTCAGTAGGCAACAGACAGAGTCAGCTTCCCCAAGAAGAAAACCAGGGATAAAATCTCGCGTTCAGCAGCAATCCGAAGACCATTTCAGTGACGAAACCAGTGACTTGAGAAGTCTAAGATCTGACAGCAACATAAGTTTGACCTCTAACCTTGACATCGAAGGTACAAGTAGATATAAATATGAGAGGAATAACGACATCACCGAGCAGCACACCCCAAAACAAAGGGTACAAGCTTTTCTTCTATCTCAAATTCACGACACAAGTTGTTCACTACTACATGTCTCACTGAATCTCATCTGTTTATCAATGCAGAGTCCAGAGTTGGGAATGAGGTCGTTGCCAAAACCTCTCAAAATTACAGTGGAGCAGCCCAGCCCGGTTTCAGTTCTTGATGTAGCCTTCGACGAAGATGAGTCACCATCCCCTGTGAGGAAGATATCCATTGTCTTCAAAGGTGAGTCACTGAGAAATTTTTAAATGCAATTTTTCTCCGAGATATGATCATTGGTATTGAACTCGTTACATTTATCGAAACTACATATATCCAAAACAGATTGCCAGTTTTGATTGGTTAAAGTTCTCACCTTTACTATTTCTCTTGCCACAGAGGACGATAATCTAGGTTCTGAAGAGTCCCAGTGGATGAACAAGCAGCGCAACATATGTAGATCGATTGTGTGGCCTGAGAATAACGCGAGTAAGCAGCCTGATGCCGAACCTATTATGGGTTTCATGGATGAAGGTGTTGAATTCAAAAATGGTGACGACAAGTACATCTCAGAGATACTGCTGGCATCAGGGCTTCTAAGAGATATCGACTACAGCATGATAAGCATTCAGCTGCACCAAGCACACCTACCAATCAACCCGAGCCTTTTCTTTGTCCTAGAACAGAACAAGACAAGCAATCTGAGTCTACAGGACGACAAACACAAAGCCAGAGGATTTGGACAACAACAGACAGCGAACCTGATAGACAGAAGCAGGAGGAAGCTCGTATTTGACACCATCAACGAGATCTTAGCTCGCAGATTCGCTGCAGAAGGATGTACAAAGCAACCATCCATGATATCATCGATCAGGCCGCTGAGGACAACTGAAAAAAGTTCAAGAGGGAAAGAACTTCTGCAAACTCTGTGTTCAGAGATTGATCAATTACAAGATAAAGCAAAGTGTATCTTGGATGAAGACGATGAAGACCTCATTTGGGAGGACCTGCAAAGCCAAGGCATGAACTGGAAGGAGATTGAAGGAGAGACACCGGGGTTAGTGTTAGACATTGAGAGGCTAATCTTCAAGGACTTGATTAGTGAAGTTGTGACAAGCGAAGTTGCAGCTTTTCCAAAAATGCTCAGTGGGCAACCCGGGCAGCTTTTCCATAGCTAGTATGCATTATTAATCATCACTTAGAATTGTAAATGAAGGAATCAAAATCATCGATTTTACAGAGTAGAGAACATTTGGTTTCTTAGTTCTCTGAACCTTTTCTTGTGTTCTCTTCTTAGTTGTTTATGTAAAAACTCAACTCAGGATAAAGCTCATGATGTTGTATTAAGATGATTATTTCAGAAAACCTCAATTAATGTGAAGACCCGACACCACTTCTTTTCCAACAATTCCGAAATAAGTTTGATTTACTAACTTTGTAACGCCTACAGGAAAATCGATAGTCACTAGAAATGAGGATATTTTATCTCCATTTGAAAAAGAATGTTTCACCAGCAAATGATGCTAAAGACCAAACATGATTCTCTTCCTCCAGCAGTTTGAGTCAGTAAAAAATCTCTTTTCCCTAACGAGTCACGTGTTCAATTGCAAACTATCACTAAACTCAAGATGCATAGATATTCCGTCTACAAATTCTAATTGACAAAATACCTATTTTACATCTGTGTCAATAGTTTCCCGCTTTTCTTCGCGTTCTACCTTCTTCTCGCTCTTGTTGTCTCCATCCTCTTCAAACCAACCCTTTTCCTCTAAGCTCGGCTTTACCTTCCAACACATAGAGGCCTTTCGAGTCCCAATCTTGAAACGAAGCAAAGCTCGTTGTGTTCTTGCACCATCTTTTTTCTCTCCATCCTCTGTTTCAGCTAAAATGGTCTTCTCGTTGATCACATTAGATGGAGCATCTGCCTCAAGGGGTCGAATATGATGGCTCTTGTTCATTTGTTTCTCAGGAACGTGGCTAATGCTAACTTCTTCATTCGGAAGCTCCGACAGGCAAAACACCCGTGGCACGTTCTTCTCTCCAACCCAAACAGGTGCCGCAAGAAATGGGTTGCCTTCCGGTTCCTCTGTTGGTTTCTGAACATCTATTTGATCCATAGATTTCTGAACTTTTAACCTATCAACGTCGACAGACTCCTGCATGTTCGCCAAAGACGGTCCATATTCTTTACTTCGCATATCTCCTTCTATTTTGTCAACATTAGTCTCCTCCAACCCGTTAGACACCTTGGTTTCGGGAAAAGCAGGAAGCCAAACTGGAATATGCTCATCTGGTGGCTCTACTCCAATCTCAGAGAAGCTAGGAGCTGGTCTTTTCCCTTTGTTGAAAGGGAAACGGGGAAGAGAATAAACGAACGGCGTTTCCTCCGCTTCACCTGTATAACGAATAATATCCTTGACCACACCAGAATCAGCAAGACAATGCTCAACATCAGGGGCACCGTCGAAACCCAATCCAGATCCCAAATCCTCCAGTGCTTGAACAATGTCCAGAGCATTACCTTCTACTCTACCAGCCATATTAGCATAGAACTGCGTAGTCTTCCCAATGCTTTGAATGTATTGGATCACTACGTCGGTTAGTGTTTCGAGCGCAGACTCTTGGAAAGAACTGAATCTCGCACCTTCGCGTGCCTGTGATTCCTGATAAGTGCTAATCTCGACTCCCTCGCATATCTGAGCCACGGCCATTCTAGCTAGGGCGTACGCAAAATCATTGCCACGAAAAAGATTTCTTTTCCCGTGTAATTCTCTCCGCTGACTTCCACCCTCCCCACCTCCATTGGTCATATTCAACCCTTATTACAACTTTGCACAGCGTAAAATGTAGAACCATTTCTTGAATCAACTCAAGATGCGCATTCCTTTGAGATCAGAAATATTGTTAATTCATTCCCACACGAGTTCTCCTCTCGGTACCTTAAAGCGCAAAAGAAGGGAACAAAATCAGAATCGACATCGAATTGAAATAAAAATTGAGTTATAAGAACCCGTTTGGCCAATACAGGTAACGAAAACTAAACTTGAATAAAGATCAATTCTTCCCCAAAAAAAACCACTACTCTCCCCAGCAAAACCCTAGAAAGTTCACGACATAAGAGCGCACCAATTAAAGAGAATTCGATAAACGGAATTGAAATGCTTACCGGAGAGTAAGCCTTCCCCATTGTCAAAACGCCGGTGCAGCAGAATCAACGAGGAAGAAGGGTCGGACGGAGTCGGAACCCAGGGGCGAAAAAACTAGAGAAGGAGCGAAATTGGAAGAAATTTAGGGCTTGCGGAGGAACCAAGACACCCAAATCGAAGTGGAAAGGCGCCAAATTCAAGGGCTGAGAGAGCGATTAAACCCAGCTTAAACCCCTCGATCCAGAGAGAGAGACAGATATTGAAAGTGTGAGTTTTTCGTCCTTACTTATAAGCGGAAGCAGATGATTAAAGGAAAGAGAGAATGATAACTTCACGACCGAGCAGATAGAGATCCCGTCACAAATCTCCATCCTCTGACACGTGTCTTTTTCCTTTTTTTAGTTAAAATACATTTTTTCGCTCCAGTGATACTAATTAGCAAGATCCATTCCATATATATATATATATATTTTTTTTTTTTTCTGTTTGAAAAACTCCGTAAATCTTACTCGTGTGATGAAGTCACATGCAATAATTTATCCATAAGAACAAACTGAATTCATATGATTATTTTTCTTTTGTTTAGATGTTAATTTATCGTTAAGTTTAGACGTTACGCTGAAAATAAATTATGAATAAACCTTCTAAAGTAATAGAATGGGAAAAAACAATTTTAAAAATTTTAAAGGACCAAAATTTCTGTTTTCTTATCAATCAACAAATTAAAATTGTCCTTAAATTAATTTATTAGCTAAATTGACAAAATGCTGAATACATATACTGGGAAGGCTTGGTTGGCTTGGCTATATGATAGTAAACATCGAACGGCCTTGAATTAAACACCAAACCCATATTGTAACTTGTAGTGTAAGTTGTGTAACAAGTTAGACCATGCCTATAGGCTACAGAGATAACCTTCTGTTTTTTTTTGTGTATCTTTCATTCTTCAGTCTCTTGACTGATCTAATCACACGTTAAAATGGACCAAAAAAGCAAGAGAACCAGCGGTTCCGAAAAGCTTTTTGCGATTGCGTTTCAGAGGCTTGCTTTGAAAACGACGACTTCCTTTGTGGCGGTAGGTGATTCGGCGTATGAGTTGATGGGATGAAGTAAAATTGTGGCTGCGAACGCGGCTGATGAGACAGTTCCAGCCGCTTATCAAAAAAGTTCCGTCTGGATTCCATAGTCGGCGTTTTGACACTTCCATCTTCATTATGCAGTCTGTCATTATAGAACCAAACAAAGATGAATTTTTGATTCAGATTATAAGAATTAGGGAAATGTTTTCTTGATGTGCAAGCATAAGGATTGAACACAGAGCAGATTTGTACATTGGGAATGTGAAAGAAGAGATACTGTTGTTGCTCCTGTCTGAACGACAACAAATGCTTGGATCGTCTTGTATAATTTCCTTAACATCTTCTACTTCTTCTTGTTCTTCATCTTGTTTAACGGATGCAACTGAAATTTTGTGTTCTTCTCCTTTGATGTCATCATCACACTCAGAGTCTTGTGATTCCATAACCGGGAGAAGGGAAACAACCGAGTTTGTTTCGGGTATTTGGCTAACCAATTCGTTCGATCTATGTGTTTCATCCAATTTTAACGCATCTGCTAACCAAATGATTTCATGTTCTCGATAGAGACTAACATTCTCCATGTATAGGTTAAAACTCGATGCGTCAGAGACTACACTCCAATCGATTGAGCCAACCGGTTTACGAAAGAGAGTCGAGGAAGGAATTCGGTTTGTGTTGTAACCAGTTTCTGTGTCCATGTCTTCGATATGATTCTGATATAAAAAAGACCAAATACAAAAATTGTCAGATTTAGAGCAGTAGAAAACTAGAGTGTTGTAATTGATTGCTGTATCTTATATATTTGCCATTGTGATGAAGATAACCTGGAAAATAAGAAGCTTAAGAAATAATCTAAAAAGTGTTTTGTGCTTTCGCTTGTGTGGTAAAAACAAAATAAGATTTATAGAAGGTTTTTTCTTTTTCTTGTTAGTTGCTGTTGTTGTTTGTTAACTATTAAAGTTGAAGGCATTAGTTTATGGCGTTTGTTAAATGCGCCGGAACGTTTAAGGACATATGTAAGCAATTAGTTTGTAGTTAACGAAGTTTAGTAATGAGGTTAATGTGTTTGTGTGTGTGTGTATGAAGATAAACTGATCAATAATTAATTTATCCTGTTCTGTTACTATTCCACTATTTTTAGCAAAAAGACGGTAAGCTCGAGAAAAATCATTAGTATTGGACCTATTGATGGAGAGTTTGAATAATTTAATCAACAAACGTCAAAAAAGGAAGAAGGTAAATCTAACAGAAATTCAATGCTACTTAAATTTATACATTTTATAATGAGAAAATTCCTCAAACTAATCTTTAAGGTTAATGAAATGACAAACATAGCCTAACATATTGAGGGGCTTACTAGACTAACCTTACAAAGTTGGTTTAAGTCCATTTTATCCAGATGTTGAATATTATTACGAAAATGCCATTATGATTTTTTTTTATAATTTTTTTTTCGAAAAAACTTTAATTTTGAAAAAAACTTTTCAAAAAATCGAAATTTTTTTTGACGAAAAAAAACATTTTTTTTAAACGAAAAAAGCAAAAAAAAAAAAAAATACAAAACTAAAAACTAAAAAAAAAGAAACCCTAATTCAGCCGTTTTTTTTTCTCTCATGGAGCTGCTCTTCTTCTTAATCTTTTCATTCCTCTCTTGCTCTCCTCTTTATCTTTTCTTTTGTTTTGTTAAATTTTGTTGTATGAATATGTATTATTTATGAACTTCAAAGCTTCAATGTTTCATATCGAGAAAAACACAACTAGTTCTACCGATTTTTTGTATCAAGAAGCCTCCAACGTTTCCAAGCTCGGAGATCTAGATCTTCCCATGGTTTCTACAATTCATTCTGCTATTATGTGAGTTTTTTTTTCATTTTTTCGAATTCTTTGATTTTTTTCTAGATCTGGGTTTTTGGATCTAATATCAACGATAAACTATGGAGATGTGGCGGTTGGCGGTGACTCTTAAGCAACATTCTCGCTGCGTCGCGCACAACCGCAGTGGATAGACGTTGTTTCGATGGAATGGTGATGTTGTGGAGGTTGTCGGCGGCATAAATTTTTTTTTTTCAGGTACGTTTGGTAGATATATTTGGAAATCGATTTTGTATCTTTTTGGTTGTAAAGTTCATAATGTGTGATGGTAGATTTATTTGAAAAACGGTATGTAGTTTGGTAGATTATTAGTTATTTGATGGTAGATATATTTAGAAAACGAAATGTGGTTTGGTAGATTTATTAGTTATTTGATGGTAAAATTATTTTAAAAAACGATGTCATTTGGTAGATTTATTAGTCATCTAATGATAGACTTATTTGTAAAACGATGTGATTTGGTAGATTTATTAGTCATTTAATGGTAACTTATTTGAAAAATGATATGTGTTTGGTAGATTTATTAGTTATTTATGGTAGATTTATCAGTCGTATATATTTGAATTTTATATATGAATAGCAATATTTGTTTATTTTTTTCTGACAGATTATGGGCTTTGCCATGGTGAACAAATCTTTGAAGGGATATCCAGCACCGATCCGACATGTTTTACTATGAATTGTAGATTTACATTTGATAGATTTGTTTTGTATATCTATATTTGAATTTGTAAAAATGATAATTAGATTTTGAATGATAATATTTTTGTTTTCAAATTATATTTGTCGTAAAACTTTGATCCAGACATTTCACATTTTTATCACATTTGCTAGTAATGTTATTATTCAATTTAATTTATTTCTTTACTTTCACTATGATGTATATCATAACTGAAATCATTTGACATTGTGATGTTGTAAAAGTTTATGTAAATAGAGTTAAATGTAACAAATATTCAAAAATAAAAATCAAAAGATCATAAGTTAAGAGATGGTTATTACAAATATGACATATATGTTCAAAGTTAATATGAAAAGCAAAGTTATCTTAGAGAAAAGATATATCATAGAAATAATATTCATGTTATAAATTTTTGATCATTTATTATGGGATCTATATCGTAAAGACCAATACTCATCTGTGATTGAATCACAGTTAACCGACATAATCTTAGCAAACTCATGCAAAGAAAACGTCAATGGTAACAAAACCAAGTCAAATATAACCATGGAACAAGTCTACCATATGTACGAAACCTGTTTAACATACAACATTCCAAAACAAGTATACCAAACCGCTGGTTTTTTCGTAGATAAGAGAATATATTTAGGACAAAAAAGTAATTTCAATCCAAAAAGTCAAATGTCTGCCAAACATTAACAACTAAGTCTACCTCAAGCATGAAAAATAACTCTACCATATAAACAAGTCTACCATAAGCATGTCATATGTCTACCAGATCAAGGTTATCTCTGTAAATACCAAACTTAATTAATCTACCACATTATTATTTCAAGAAGTCTACCATACGGTCGATAAGTCTACCAAATTACATAAACTCTACTAAACATACAAACAAATCTACCAACATCTTGTAAGTCTACTTCATGTCATTATTAATCTACCACAAATAAGAATGAAATTTATTTAAAATATAAGTCTACCATAAAACAAACATATCTACCACAAAACAAATAAATCTACCAACAGTTTTTAAGTTTACCTCATGTAACATATAATCTACCACTCACCGGAATGAATTTTAAGTGAAATAAGTCTACCACAAGTCAAACAAATCTACTACAATAGCGAAAACTCTACCAACTATATATAACTCTACCATTAAACAGATATATCTACCGCACGTATTGACAACTTTTTTCACATAAATCTACCGCTAAAGGAAATAAGTCTACCAACTCAGAAAATAAATCTACTTCATTATCAATAAATCTACCGAAAAAGTCAACTATGCAAGAAAGTCAACGCTTTTTTTAACAAGTCTACCAAAACTTTTGACAAGTCTGCCATTCATAACAACAAATCTACCGAAACATAATAAATCTACTTCTCATCGTCAAAACTCTACAAAAAAAAATCTACCAACAGTTAAAAACTCTACCAACTCTTGAATAAATCTACCATCGCCCTAATAACTCTACCAACAAAATTTCTGCGTTGACCAAATTTTCATAAGTCTACTGTCATTGCTTGGTAGAGTTATTAATTTTTGAGCGCATAAATCTGCCTACGTGACATTAAAAAAGTAATGGCATTTTCGTAATAAGGTTTTTTTCAACAAAGGTGAAAAGAGTGTTTTGGGTATGTTAGGTTAGTTTTGTAAAAAAAATAAAAATGCGTCGAATAAGTAATATAGATACTTTCTAAGGTTAGTGTAGTAATCCTCCCTTTTATAATTGATTCTTTTCTTTTCAAAAAAGTTTAATAATATTCGATTCAGATTATTAACCAACTTCTTTGGTCTCTTTTGACACAGTTAAATTTCGGATTTAGTTTCTGATTCATATTCGGTTCAGTTTTTACTTTAAAAAACTAGAAAAATAATTGTTTTTAATTAGTGTTATAATTCTTAATAAAAAATTAAATATATTTGATTCAGTTAAGGTTCTCTCAGATTTGATTAAATTCAGATAGTTATGGTTATTTTTATTTTTTGTCGCCACTAAATCATTTTATTGGTTTACAATTTACATGTTAATATTTATTTTTCTGTCGAAAGGTTTTTTACATATAGTATAAATAGAAGCAAAATAAAGAAAACAAAAAGTAAGATAGGCCTTACGAGGGCCCATCTTTGAGATTCAAAGACTTTGGGCCCAAAATTGATCTGATCTCAGTCGTCGAACCGCAAATTGCCCCTGGTTTGAGTACACTCGGTTCGAATCAGCCCGGACAGAGCTAAAGGAGGTTAGTTTCGTAATAATTTCCTTAAACCCTGCTCAGTGATTTTAGTTTCACAATACTCTTCTCCTCGAGTCAGAACCCTAATTTATCTCCGTGTTCTTCTTCTTATTCTGGTTGCTCTGTAACAAGCGATTGGAGAAGTTAGAGGCGAAAATGGATGTTGAAGGAGAAGATGCAGCTAAGGTAATCCACGTGAAGTTCGTGACGAAGCTTGACTCTCCGTTCGAAGCTCCTGTCAGACCCGTCGTTATCCCTTCCAATGTCACTCGTCTCGGTCTATCAACCATTGTCAACTCTCTTCTCACTCTCGGTAGACTTTTCTCTCCCTCTCTATCTTGTACCTTGATGATTTTTTTAGGGGGTTCAGTTTCGATTGCTGCTGCTTTTTGGTCTTATGTTATAAATTTGTGAAATCCAAAATGTATTTATGGGATGCTGGTCTCATTCTCATGCGAGAGTGTGTTAGGTCTGTTTCAGGCATTTGCTTTTACTTATGGATTCGAGCGTACTTGAGAACATCTATAAGTGATTACCTGAATTTATGTAATTTGCATTCTGAGGTTCATTTTTTAAGGTATATAAGTGATATCTTTGGATGAACAGAGAACACTGAGCCGTTTGATTTTCTGATCGATGGGGAGCTTATTCGAATGTCACTCGGAGAGTTTCTTCTGGCAAAGGGAATATCGGCGGTAATGTCTTCAATACTAATCATCCACTAAACACATAAACTTTTTCATATCGTGAGGCACAGCAAATTTATCTTGGAAACATATAGTTAACTTTGATTGTTGGTTGCTGCAGGAACGAACTCTTGAAATCGAATACATAAGGGCTGTGACTCCACGAAAGGAGGAAAATCCCTCATTGCATGATGACTGGGTCAGTGCGGTTGATGGTTCTTCTCCCAGGTAATGTTGTTTATCTCCACTTCATTACTTGATAAGGTAGAATGGCGTTATAAGTTGACGTCTTTTCCGATTTTTTCTTTTTATTTTACACCAGTAATTTGATTTAAAAAAACGTATTCAATCATTTGCGTTACCACCTTTTGGTTGATGCCATATGGAAAATCATAGAACTGTTTAACGGGTTAATGTACTCGATTGCCTTATCATTGTTGTTGGGATTATTCTTCACCTCTTCGTTCTGTGGGTTTTGCTTTAAGTTAAACAAATTTGGGTCAGCCAGTGACTGTTATGATGTTAAAGGATTAATATAATAATTTGTTCTTGTTTGTAATCGTTGTGTAAGTGGTTGTCCTAAACTCAGTTGTTGTCATTTGCAGGTTCATTTTGACGGGCTGTTGTGATGGCTTAGGAAGGTAATCAATTGACTCATTTATTATATCTTGTATGCTTCTGTTTATTGTATTGCTGTCAACATTTGCAAGAATCTGAGCTTTTTTTTTTGTTTTTCTTCTGATAAGGTTATGGAGCTCTAGTGGATCGTGTACACACGTTTTAGAAGGCCACTCTGGGGCAATCTCCTCTGTTGCTTTTGTTAACTCCAATGGTATGAGCATAGCATGAGAAATCTTTACTATGCCTGTTTGTTACTAGCAAATGATATTATCAAGAAGGATTTTGCCTTTCGCTCATAGGTCACTTCCTTACCTTATCTAGTTTATTTTTGTTGGGTTGATTCGTGGATCTAGGTGCAGAAACTGTTACTGTAGCCACTGCTTCGAAAGATCGGACATTGAGATTGTTTAAGGTAAACATGGATAATATATAACCAACGGTTTTAATTTTCCGGTCAACTAAAGTCATCTCTTTCTTTATAAAGGTTGATACAGCTGAATCTGTTGACTCTACTACAAGAGTTAGGGCTTACAAGATATTGCGTGGGCACAAGGCGTCAGTGCAAAGCGTTGTAGCTCAGAAATCCGGGGACATGGTTTGCTATTACCCCTTGCGCTTACTTTGTGTATTGCAAGTGAAACTACTTTGTATTTCATCGTGCTCATCTGCTGTTTTATATAATATAGGTCTGCTCGAGTTCATGGGATTCAACAATCAGTTTATGGCACACAAATGATTCTGCATCAGAAGGCGAGTCATTTGCAGTGAAGAAAAGAAAAGGGAATAATCAGGCCGAGGAATTCCAATCAGAGGTACCCGCAATTAAGCCTGGATGATATGGAAACTCATTTAAAAATGCACAATCTGCTCTTCAAATTAAGAGGAAGAGAGGGATGTACTCAGCTGAAGTATCTGATAACAGTTACGACATTGAATTTCTTACAGGGAGAGGCGGAGACTACATTTGTTGGCCACACACAGTGTGTCTCATCAGTTGTTTGGCCAGAGCATGATGTAATTTATTCCGCTTCATGGGACCATTCCGTAAGGAGATGGGATGTTCCGACAGGGAAAGATTCTTTGAACTTGGTAGGCCTTCTCACTCTCCTGTTCTATCTCATAAAATTCAGGCGCACAACCCTCCCTGTCGTTGCTGAAAAATCAGCTGTTGTGTCCGTCGAATTATAGCCGGTTTGTTTCTGTCAAATTGTAGTTCTGTGGAAAAGCTCTCAACACGTTAGATGTTGGCGGTGAAGGTTCTGCACTTGTAGCTGCTGGTGGCTCAGATCCAATCCTTAGAGTATGGGATCCTCGTAAGCCAGGTGAGAAATCTATATATGAACACACGCCGGATCAAAATATCTAAGCAGAGACCGGGTTTTTATTACATGGTTGATAAACTCTCTTCAATTACTCTGTAGGAACATCTGCTCCTGTGTTTCAGTTCTCTTCCCATTCATCATGGATTTCCGCCTGTAAATGGCACAAAAGCTCTTGGTTTCACTTGCTCTCCGCTTCCTATGACGGCAAAATCATGCTCTGGGATCTCAGAACCGCTGTAATTACTCACACACACACACACTCACTCTTTTCCTTTATTACTCGCCGGTTTATCCGCTTTGACACTAATTTCATTCCTCCATGTGCAGTGGCCTTTGTCAATTATCGACACACACAAGGATAAGGTAGAGTAACACACAATCTTATCTTCTATCTTCGACTCTTCTTTTTCGTTCTTTTCTACGTTACTGAAACGGTGTTAATAAAACTCGGTTTTAAAGGTTTTATCTGCTGACTGGTGGAAAGGAGAGAGCGTAGTCAGCGGAGGAGCAGACTCTAACCTTCGAATTTCTTCCGGAATCTCAATTTGTTAAAAGGTCTGAAAATCCGAAAATCTTTCAACCATTTCTTTTCTTATATGAAATGTGGAACGAAACTATACTCGGTTTCTTCAAAGGTCTGAAATCTGAACTCTTTCGACCATTTTTTTTCTTAGATGAAATGTGGAACTCAGAAACGCCAAGATCATTAACGATTCTCGATCCTGGAATGAGAGACTGTTGTAAGTTCTGCTCGAGAAAGATTACTGCTTTTAAGGTTTCGTATGTTATTCATATTTCGAAATTTTTGAATCTTAATTTTATTTTTATTGTTTAATACCGATAGTTAAAGAAAGTTGTATTTGCTTATTTTGTCTGCCAGATTGAATACCATTTTTGTTATGCTACGTTTGGTAAGGGGAAATAAATTGCATCAACAATTAAAAAAAGATTTGCTTTTAGCTTTTCTTAGTAAAAGATGCAAAATAGTTTGGAAATAACATTTTTAGAACCTGCAGAGAGAAGAAAAAAATAAAGAAAAAAATCACGCGTTCATTAAAGCGCGTGGGATAAATTATCTCAGAACCAATTTCCACCCACTTTAATCAAGCTAAACGATTCGTAGTTATCTAGGTCAACTTTCTCTTTTAAATCCACATCGTACGATCCTCAACTCACCATCATCTTGGCCGTTGAATATACAAAGTGCATCCAATATCTAATACACGTTGTGCACGCTATTGCTACCCTTTTTACTGAGCCAAACTCCGAACCTGAGGTTCGTTTCCTTGTCACGCATTTATTATAACTTTTTATTTATCATTTTTATTTCTGGAAATCAGTTTTCTCTCTCTTTATTTCTTTCACACTGTATTTTTTTCTTGCTGTAGTATCGAAACTCTGTCTTCGGCCTCTTGTCCGAAAATTTTACATCTTGGAAGAATCAGAAATTTCTCAGTCTACTGTTCATAGAAAGAGAGGAAAAATAGTCTCAGAACAGTGTGTTTTTCTTTGGGCGAATTCTGCAGCGTCAAGCCTAGGGGAGAAGAAGAGAAGCTTGAAAAGAGGAGGGAAAGAAATAAATAAGAATTCTTTTGTATTGGTGGCAAATTGAGCCGTGTTGAGGTTTGCGGTTCCAGTGAAGAAGAACCCTAGACGATTCTCAGCTTCAATCACGATTTTTCCTTCTGGTAATTCTAAGTTTCTCATGAATAATCTGTCAAATTAACTTTAGTTTGATTGATTCTGGTTCATCGTTCTAGCTCTAGGTCCTGAAAATCTGATGTTTCTTTGCTTTAAATTTAGTAGTTGTGTTAGTGTTTTAAGTTATTTTTTTATTCAGGATTCTTCCCCCAATTTACTGCCTTTGATTGTCATTTTTTGAGTAGATTAGTCTATTAAGTTTTGCATTCCTTTACTGAGATGACACCTCTTGAATACTGTTTCTGTTACAGATTTTGATGGATCTATCGTCTTCGGAGAGGGATCAGCTGTTGATGGGGTTAGAAGTTTAATGCCCGTGAACGGAATTGAACAAAGGATTCTGCAATTTATCGGAATTTCAAGATTTATTCTTTAGCTGATATTTGATAACTACAGAGCGTGGAGCAACGTTGAGTTCCAAATCTAAAGACAAAAGGTAAGTACCTATTTTTATGGTTTTTGCTTTTGGATTGATGATTTGGTACGTTCTGTAAGTTAATTGTTGAATTTAACCGATGCAGTACCAAGCCACGGAGCTGCTCTAGAAATCTGTGTGTGAATTGTCCAGCAAATCAAAATGTTTCCTTGCTTGATCAACAGTATTTGCACGGGATGCAAAACCAACCAGGGTTGTTATGTGAAAGCTTAGGCTATAACTAACTATACACTACAAGCCCAGGTGGTTCGTCTGTTTTCAAGTTTCCATCAAGATAACTGAAGCTTCTAGTGGTTATTTATGTTTCCAAACAAAGCCTCAAGAGAACTTCCCTGTCCACCAGCAAATATTTGCACAACATAGCCCTATGCAGCAGTCTGGTTACGATGAGATGCAGTTGTTGCAGCAGCAGGTGATGCTCAAGCAACTACATGCTCTTCAAATGCAGCAGCAGAACTTTTTAAACCCTTATTCATCAACAGTTCAGAAGCAAGCTAATAATAGCGGGCTGCAGTTTCCACCTCTTCTTGATGAAATGCCTCTAAATGATTCTTCACAAGGATATCTAAACTGGGCGCAAGGGAATGCATTCCCAGGTCAACAAGGAACGCTCGATAAAACCATGTTTTCGGTGGGTCTTGGTTCTCAGCAGCCTGATCTCTCTCTGTACGGTACTCCGGTTGCTAACACAAGAGGTAATATAGGTCAAAAGCCTCCCATCCAAGTCATGTATCAGGATCCCGGCAGTCTAGCAGCTAGGCTTCCTAGTGGTCAATCACAGAAATCTTTGATGCAATCATCAGATTTTAGTTACCCCTTCTTTAAAAGTCAGTATGATTTATCTCCACCGCAAGCATCTTTACATAATGGAGCATTTATGTCAAATCTTGGAGTTCGAGGTATGTCCGAGGCAGGTTCTTTCCAAGGTCTGAGTAATGGAATTCACTCCGGAAATCTCCTTTCTCAACAATTTGACACTTCATCAAAAAATTCTAGTAGGAGGCAGGAGGAACAAGCAAGTTGGTCTTCGTTTCAGCAGAAGGGTACAAAGCAATCTCAGGGTTTGGTTCCTCTTGACCCACTAGAAGAGAAGATTTTGTTCAACATGGAAGATAGTAGTATTTCTGAGATTGCTTCTGGAGTGTTCGGTGACAAATTTGACAGTGTGAATATCTCCAGCCCTTTCCCTTCTATGCAGAGTGGGAGCTGGAGCGCTCTAATGCAAACTGCTGTTGCAGAAGCTTCAAGCAGCGATACTGGTCTTCAGGAGGAGTTTAGCGGCTTAACATATCAGAATATGGAACTACCTGCGGATATTAACGACATATCTAATTTCCTGGACAGTGATAAGCAACAGGCTGGTGGTGTGAATAACAATACCTTGCATGGCTCTGCGTCGTTAAACTCTAGCTTCCCTGGGTTTCAGGTGCCTTCAGATCAGCTGGGATCAGGTGTCTTTCAAGATGATAGTACTCTTGATTCTACTCAGAGGTCCTCGAACGTGACTGGTCATTGGATGGATTTTAATCCTCAACCGAAGATATCTTTTGAAAATGTATCTACGGGTAATATGTATCTGCAGTCCTCCGGGATGCTTGATCAGCTGCAATCTCAGACAGGCAATCATCGCTCCATTACAGCTGATTCATCTGCAAGTCAGTTAGCCGGCATGTCTTCAACTGACCAAGGTGGAAAATGGTTGAATGTGCCCCGTCAGCTCGGAAAACCAGGGATTTTCCCGCAGCATATACAACAGAATGATCTTGCTACAGTGTCTGTGTCCCAAATGCAGATGATCAATCCATTTGTAGCTTCTCAACCTGACAACGCAACATTTCCAGGAGTTAATTTGGATGCTGGCCTTGGAGGTCACACCTTTAGTCAGACTAGATCACCCCAACAAGGTACCAATCAGCAGTTTAATGTGTGGATGGACTTACCAACTCGCCAACATCCTTTGGATCAAGAATCACTCAAGGTTCCCTTGAGTTCAACATCACCCGTGGAGATATCAGGAAGTGATGTCACAACCTCGCAAAAGGCGCAACGTATGTCGCCCACAGCATATAATATGCCACAGAAGTTTGGTTTGCCTCAAGAACAAGGAGCTGCTGCGAAGAATATCTCTGATTTTACTGCCTCCAACAAAGATTCTAACAAATTGCAGGGGGAGAATAACATGGATTATGGTACATGTTTGAAGTCAATGTCACAGCTTGAGTCATGTGCGTCCGATGACCCAAAGATGGAACAAAATGTTTGTTCCAGTGGAAAGCAGCCCACCCTAGCTAGTGGCATGGTACGTTGCCAACTTAATCTCCCCGCTTCAGCTCCCGTGTGGTTCAAGCAGATGGGAGCCTATAGAAATGACCAGATGCAACCCGTACATGACTCTCAGGAGACTCGCGATCAGTTGCTTCAGCAATTTGAGCCTTTAAACACAATGAACAAACACGTGGAGATAATCGCAACAAAGAAACGAAAACTTATGAGAACAAAGCAGTTGAGTTGGCATGAAGAAGTCTCTAATGCATCCCAAAGGGACCACTCAATCAGGTTCATTCCATACTATTTAGATCTCTTGACTTTTCCCTTTTGTTTTCGCATTCGATTAACTTAAAAGATAAATTCTTTCTGCAGTGGGGCAGAACAAGAATGGGCCAGAGTAACTAACCTGTTAGTTGAGAAGGTATATTACCTCACAGAAACTGGTTATAGTATTGATATGTGATTTTATCTCCATATCCTGAATATTCTATTTGCTTTCTGTTGTAGGCCGAGTATGGTACTCAGACCTTTGAATTTGCACCGCCATTGCACCGTTCAAAGAGAAGACTTGTTCTAACCTCACAGCTTATGCAGCAGCTATTTGATCCTCCACCGTCATTCATATTTTCAGCTGCATCGTCAAGAAGCTATGACTTTTTGTTCTTCTTCATTGCTAGAGCAACTCTTGGTGATGCTTGCAGCCTAACCCACAAGGGAGAAACTGTGTTGCCGTCATCGTCATCTGAAGTTGAGAAGTGAGTGTTATACTGATATAATCGCGTTTCACTTTCTTTATACTAACTTTACCCACAGTTTTTAATTTCTTTACTGAGATCCTGTAAACTCTTTATCCCGGAATATCTTGACAGCATACCAGAAAAGACTGAGAATTGTGAGAGAAAGGATGTGCAACATTCTGAAGTTGCTAAGAAATTAATAGATAAAGCAGAGAAACTCAAGGAAAGCTTCGAAAGGTATGAAACTACTTTAGCAGCTGCTCTATCTTCTCATAACATTTCACTTTAATGTTACACATCTCTCTCAATGATAACAACACAATAGTTGTAAGAATATGTTACCTCATTACTGTTATAGAGACCTTTTCCAATTCCTTTGATGCAGACTGGAGAAAACGCCATCAGTGGCAGACATAAAATTCGACATCGCGGATTCGGAAAGATTCTCTGTTATCAACCGTTTCGCGAGGTTTCACAGCAAGGGCTCAGTCTCCGGAAACCCTTCACAATCCACTCTTCTAAAACCGATACCACAGAGATATGTTGCAATGGGACCCTTGCCTCGGTACCTACCAGAGGGAGTACAATGCCTTTCGTTATGATTCTGCGTTTCGAAACTAATCATTGCTATGCATATAACCAATCATCCCAGAGAAGAAAATACAGTATCTGATCTCTCTATTTTGCTAGTATTATTTGCCTCCCCGGCACGCAAGAAAATATCGAAAAACAACCATCCTCGGATTAGCGAATAACACAACAGCTTAGCTATGCTCCTGCTGCTGTTCTTTTCCAAGGGAAGTAAATATTGTTCTATTGTGACTGTGTGTGTGTGCGTGTGTGTTTTTTTTATCTGGGTTGAAAAGATCAAGAATCTGGGATAATGCAATAAGTATCAGGTCTCTGCGGGAAGAATAGGATGATCCTTTTAGTTACAGATATGTCTGTTTTTGTGTTAGTTTTAACTTTTAAGTTAGTTTGGAAGCTAGAATCTCATCAATACATATGGACAATGGCATTGCCCTTTAATATATCTTTATTTTTCAGAATCTCCATTCTCTCTCTTTTCTTCTTGCTCTTCTCTGTCACTTTCCTTTCAGGTTTAAAACTCTTATAAGCTCTTCGAAGTAACATTGAAGCCTGCAATAAAACAACTCTTAATAGAGGTATGTTCTTAGCTAAATGTTTTTGTGCTTCTTTTAATGAAATTAAGGACCAAAAATTTAAATCTAGAGGCATAGATGTGTTTACAGGATGTCTGTATACGTACACAGACACACACACGCATATACATGTACGCACATTTGCTTGTTACTCATTCAAATTCCATTATAGATGGAGTATTATATATGGACCAAAATAAAGGTAATGTTATGATAACAAGATGAGAAAATAAAATCTTTATGTGCAAATTTTTGTCGGATTCTTCCAAATTTGTGGGAGCTTATTGTCTGATAGTTGAAGTGACACGTGAGCTTAGAGAAGATCCTTATTAGTAATGACGAAGAAAACTGTCTTCAATGTCAGTATCTTGAGTTTGTTGGAAAGTGATTGTGTAAGACGACAAAAGTACAGTTTTTTGCTGACCACAATGATCAGAAGTCAGAAGATGACATATAACTATTGGCATTGGACATGCAATATAATATAAACTATATAATACAAAAAATGCGTATGAAAGATAGTTTTAAGTAATAAAATACCCCCACAAGGCCATAACTATATTTTAAAGTTTTAGAGATAACAATGATTTTTGTTCAAAAGTACATTAAAAGAAATGAATTTTCCAACTAGAAATTACTCTTGCCAGCAAAAGTTTGATTAAACTGCCAATTAGGTGGAGCAACATTATCAAACTTCAAACGTTTCCCATCACTGACAGCAACCGAAAACGACAAACTCTGTCCGGTTAACACCGTACCGGTATCCCAAACCTGTCCCCAGTTCCTCCTCATCTGAATCCAACCGGTCTTCGAACCTTTCACCTTAACCTCGGTCACAACACCAGCACGTCCAACGTTGAAAACAAGAACCATCAAGAAATAAGGATTTCCGGTTAACCGGAACTTGACACCGCCTTGTTTTTTGGGGCATAAAACTCGCCTGTATTGCACCGGAACGATCCCGGCTTTGTACTTAGCGAACTTGAGAAACATCGGTAGCGAAAGATCGAAATGTTTCTGCGGTGGATTGCACCAAACACCTACGGTTTTGGTGTAGTTTGGTGGGCAGAAATTGGTGGCTGTCACGCGTATAGTTCCGGCTCCTTTGATGCACCATTGTGGATCGTTGACGCATCGAAGCTCGAAGCATGCACCGCACGTGGCTCCGTCTTTGAACAAAACCGTGCTTAGAGCCGTCGTCTCTAAACCGTAGCCTTGCTCGAATAGATTTTGGTACCCACATGCTCCTTCTGGTTACGTTGGTTGATACATAAAAATACATGTATGGTTTAGACTTCGTTGAAATACCATATTTTCTACTAATAATAAACAGAACTGCATGCATTTCTTTTAACAATTTCAAAATGATGTCATTGAGTAAATGATTGTATATAATACGATTCAGCACAAATTGAGTTGCATGACATAAGTTAAATTATAACCAACAAAAAAGGTTTTAAAATCCAACTCATTGATTTATAAAACAAATCCCACAAAAAAAAAATCAATTTTTGTTTCTAAAACATATATGTTAAATTTTGAATCAGTACTCACTTGCATTTCTTGCAAATGAAAAAAAAGGAACCATAGATAAATAGACACACACACACACACACAGATATTAATTCGATGAATAAAAAAACATACGCATGGTTTCTTCGCCCTTCAAACCACCGTAAAATGTGGCGTGAGCATCCTCCCATCCGTTTTCATCACTAATGGCGGTATCAGTGCTTCTTAGTCGGTGGCCCATGGCGGTCAAGGTGGTCAATAAGGCTATAACCACCGTAAATTTACGAGCCATGTATGTAGCCAACATAACAAATTTCACCCAAAAAAATCAAAAGTTATTAGTATATATAGAGATGATGATGAAACAAAGGAAAATACTCCATAATCAGGTATTTATACGACAAAAAGAGGGGTAACGTGAAAAGTAGTCTAAGTAGAAACCAATTAATTATTATTTTGAAAAATCTAAAAAGAAAAAGGCGTTGCACACTTGTTCTAAATTTAGCATACGTTCTTAAATTTTAGATTTATGGTTTTGTGTTTGATAGGGTACTAAAAAACATATGTACATATAACTAATCGTGTTTTCTATTGTTCATTAATTTTGGATTTCTTAAATCAAAATCAAAGTGTGAATGTTGAACCATTTTTGTTTACTTTTATGGTTTGTTTTATTAGAGCTCTCTTGAATGAATATATATATATATATATGTAATACTTTTTGCTTTAAGATTCAAATTGTAAATGTATTAATGGTTCGTGGTTTTAATCATCTTTGTTTTTTTGTCAAAACATCTTTTTCTTGGTAAAGGTAGGGTCTTCATAATCATCTTAATAATATATGCACAGATAACAGGATTTTATATGTAAACAAATATATTAAGCACAGATTTTCTTGAATTTATTTTTGCGTTAAATTTCACATAAGGAGTGAAACTGCTTACGTAACAGCAAAAGTTAGAGATGGACGGTGGCATTGGATAATTTGGAAATATAATTTCTTCACAGCGAAATCCCGATAACGAACTTTAACTGACACAGAAGAAAACATACTCTTTTTATTTTCTGAGCAATTAAAACATTCCTTGTTTGTTGCAGACTTGCAGTGCATGTCGCTGTTGACTGTAGAAAGTAACTTTTGCTATAACAGTCAATAAATATATCCCACATAGGCGCATATTAAACAAAAAAATGAAGAAGAAGAAGAGGACAATAATCAAGTACACTTGTACATCAGTACATCAGACTTCAGAGGATCTATGTAATATTATGGCTAATTTACTCGAACTCTACTTTTTACAAACCCCATAACTGCCGTGCAAAAATACCACATAACTTTTTGGGTTTGTTTTCCTTGGACAATTGTAGTTAAACCATATATATATATATATATATATATATATATATATGAATCTTTCTTTTCGGTCAGACGTTTCTGTATCTATAAATAACAGTATTTTATAATTTGCAACTTGTTAAAGCAGGTAATCAAAATCTGTATATAATGGACTACCAATCTTATCATAGTCAATATAATATACATACATATATACTTTCAACAATGTAAAAGATAGTATGTTGGATGTGATTTTCGGCTAATTGGAGAAAACCAATTCAATCAACGAACGACGTGTGAATGCATCGCGCGCCAACTTAATTGCATTCGTAATAATACCAAACTCTTTCCGAACCACAACAATCGATATATAGACCCAAACGCTAATCGGCATGAGTGACTCTAGAGTTGTAATCGTTTGCTTCTTCTAAGGCTTTCACATGGACATGTATCACTGGATGGATCCCATACATTAACTACTACTTTTTTTTTTTCTTTTTTTTCTTTGAACATTAAACACTAGTGGATACTAAAAATAGACGCTAGTCGCGAGGCCACTTCACGATACAGCTTCATCCGACAGATATATCGCACCATACAATAAAGCTACTCGGACGCATTGAAACATATATAGCATATAACAAAAGAATAATCATATTGAGATGTAGTTTTGAACATCCTATTATATAAAACCTTGCTAAAAAACATTATGTTTATATTTTCATTGATATTAAATAAATTATGGTAAAAAGAACTAGCAAGTCCATTCATACAATAGTAAAATACACATATGATATGTATGATATTTCAAATAGATCATAAACTCAAATATCTTTAACAAAATTTGGTATAAAAAAAACTAGAAAATGTGTATATATTTGTATTTGAGAATAGTGTATATCTGGTTTAAACTATATAATTATGATGTAAGGAAAACATCATCAGTTCATCATCAATGCAAGCCGTATGTAGACATGTGTAAATATTGTAATGTATACATTTGCATACGAACCGTGAAAAATTAACAAAAACTTGATGTAGTTTAATGTCCAAATTAATAATACTGTAAAAAGGAAATTTACATATGGTGCAAGTAGTGGTAATTGAGAGGGATAAATTGAATAATGATGAGATCGAAGGACTAGGTTTTTTCCACTTATTTTCATTGGTATTTCTCTTCTATTATAATGAGTACCGAATTTCAGCGAAACCATTTTATTTTATTTTTCCAGTTATTTCGTGGACTCGAATAGAATTTAGATTAATATCGTAACTAAATTTTAATAGTAGATTGCAATCTAAATTTTATCCATCTTTTCTTTAAATGTGTCAACTATTTGCACTTATAGTTAAACTATTAATTAGGGGCAATATTTGTTTTCTACTTTCGAGCCAGGCCTGCATCACTGAGGTTAAAATTAAATATCGTAATCCGGAGGGGAGAAATCCAGAACTACCCTTGCTTACTTATCGGCTGATAACTGCTAATCAGGTAATAGTCGTGGGTATAACGGTCATTGAAGAGGTGAGAAATAACCTTAAATCATTTTAATGTAAAAGGAGGAAAATTGCAGAGGAAGATGTCTCTTGCTTTTCCCCGCCAATTGCATCTCCCCAATTTCTTCTCCCCTAATTTCAATCTAGGTCTCAATCCTCTCTTATGACTGATATACGTACTTCAAATTCCCCTCAAATTTCCCCGTCAATTCTCGGAAGTTCTTCGAAATCTGATATCTGGAAACCCTAATTTTTGAATCCGTGTGTACACTTCGATCCGAAGATGAGCAATCCAAGCAGTTCCGGATGGGGCTCAAGCTCGAGTTTGACTCAGTTCGGAATCGGTTTGGCCAATACAGTGCAGTCGGAGGTTGCTCCTCACTTGCCGCTACCGTCGTTACCCATTTTCTGCGGCGCGACGGAACCTGGGGAGTTCAAGCTCTTCGATGAGGTTAACCAAGGTAGTAGCGGCAACAGGTCATTGAATCGCACTGAGATTCTCTCGCAATCCTGTAGAATCGCTAGCCTGCTTGAAGAAACTGACGTTTCTTACCTGTAAGTGATCTGTCTCGTCTCCTCCCTTGACCCTTTCACTTCTCGTTTTTGGCAACTATAATTCGTGACTGGAAATCAGAAACTAGTTAGAGCTCTTCCTCAATTGGACTTGTGAAATGCTCTGCAAAGGGTTGAGAATCTTATATATCAAAATCTGTTGCGTTGCTAATATTGTAAGTAGATTATCCCGCGTGTGAGATTTAGAAGCTACCAGATCAGCTACTTTACGAAACGCAGTCGTGGCTGCAGTGAATCATCTGTTGTTTTGTTGGATGATATCGTATATTTCAGTGATATAAAGAGGTTTGATGATTAGATAGGTTCACGTCTCAGGTTTTGGCAATTTTTTGTGCTGCTGAAGCGAGCAGTAACATTTGGTTATGTGCTGCGTAAATTTACGGCTAACCTTACGTGATTCTGAGATTTAGATTGTGCTTCTTTCTTTCGAAAGCTTGGTAGAGCAGCCGTGTTCCCCTCTAGCGTAGCTTGGTTTGTTTTAGGTCTGTGGAAAATATTATGATGGATAGCGTTTCTGTTCCGAGACCATGATTGTAGAGGGCACTAACTTATTTCTCTCTGTAATCATCTTGCAGGGATCTTAGAAACGAAGCTAGGGCGCTCAGTTGTAATTCTGAGGAGCCTTTTCAGTTATATGACCAAGTTCTACGATTCAAACCTAGAGCATTTGATATTGTTACCCCTGGTAAATGAAGCCTTCTGTTCTTGTCCCTTTTTTGGCTAAAATGTGGAGTGCTACAGATTTGAGGAAAGTTTTAGAATATTTGGTCCGCTTTTAAGATGCCTTTAATGCTTGATACTAGCAGTATCTTCCTTCTTTTTTCACCCACTCAGGTGGTAGCGAACCTATATTCTACGCTCCACTTGTGCTGAGCTTTAATAGTCGTGTGGTTGCTCTGGGGAAACTCGTTATTGCGCCAGTCTATGATATATTTAATATGTATCTGTTTACTATTTATTAAAACTTTCAAGTTTATCAGGTCCGACCTACGATCCAGTCTTTATCAATGAAGAACCTAAAAAGAGAAAATCTGAGCCAAGTATTCCTGTCAAGATTCAACGACAGACAGATCATCATTTAGCTAGGAATATCCAGCCTGATCCTGTGAAAAGGGTCTTACGATCAAATCATATTGAAGATCATAGTTGGCAGGCTGAACCTTTGACAAACCAGTTACCGAGAGATGATATTGCAATTCATGACTCTCGGCCTGAAACGATCAGCATGAATGTAAGGCCATTATCATAAGCTTCCTCTACAGTAGTTTTATTCTGTGCCGTAGACATAATTGAATTGAAGTGCAGGAATCTTCTGCTTCCAAAAAGCCAAAGGGCAAGAAGAGACGTAAAGATGACCTGTCTTCAGTTCAACCAGATCCATCTGTGCTTCAAGGTCTGTTTGTCTTCTTTTCCTTGTTTTCTTTGCAGTTACCCCTACCCTCTGAATAATTTGTAGTTTTCTAACTCTTGTTTAGAGTCCATCGTAAAAAGCTTTTGTGAGATGTTGGAGGACTTCTGTAGCAGAGCTGAAGTCCCTGGTGATGATAGGGATGAAGCAGAGTGGTCATCACTGCCTGTTAATGACGTTCGCGTTCTTGTGAATGAATTGATGACTATACGGTCAAAAATGCTCTTGCATATGGTACCTGTTGATATTCTATCGAGGTTATTGCACACTCTGGATCATCAGATACATAGGGCAGAAGGCTTGTCCATTAATAGTGAGCATGTGAGTAATTTTGTATTTGGCTCACTCTATTTTGCGCCTCTCTTGCTTTATAGGGGATTGTTTCCATGTTGCTCTCGATGCATGGACTATTTTATCGTACATTTTAGCTTTCAATGAAAATTATTTCTCTCTGCTTGAAGTATATTTTCTTGGAATTGCACGAATGCATTAATGATTAGTTCATTTACTTTGTATCAAATTACTACGTTTAGTATTATAAAATTGGTGAATTCTTGTTTTTCTTTTTAGCTAACATTTCCTGTCCAAAAACATTTCAGTCAGATTCAGATTCTGTTTTGTTGGTTCTCGGTGCCCTTGAGTCAATCCATGCATCGCTTGCAGTGATGGCTAACAGTGATATGCCAAAGCAGCTCTACAAGGAAGAGGTGATTGCTTCATTAGTGTTGTTTTCCCTGAAGTCTGTTTATGCTTATGCTTCTCTGCACACTGCTACCATTTAATCATGTTTAACTTACTCATTTCTTTATTTTTTGTTTATCTTTAAATCAGGTAATTGAGAGAATTTTAGAGTTTTCTCGGCACCAAATGATGGCTGTTATGTCTGCTTATGATCCATCATACCGCACCGCAAGTAAACCGGCAGATAATGTGGCATTTGAAGGTTGTTTTCCGATATACTTTGGAAGTTGGATTTGCTATGCATTTTTGGTTCCAATGCATGGCATGTCATTCCCAATATCTAAAACTTAGTTTTATTGTAGTTTGTAAGCACAAGATTGTGCCTTGCGACATGCTTTGCTGTTTTTTTTTTTTTTTTTTTCATTCTCATTCATCTTCCAGTTGCTTCACAAGGTATGTTCTAATTACACAAATCTGACATTATATGCCACATGCATTTGTAGGTGATGATGATGATGATGATCCCGATCCTGACATGGGCTCAGCCAGCAAAAGGCGGCGCACAGGAAAAAGTGGCAAAGTGAAGAAGTCAGGAGTGAACAGGTTTATTGATTGATACCCATTCTTTTGTGGTTTTAACTGCACACATTTTCCCATCTGATATCTCTGTTTCGTAGGATATCTGGAGCAGTGAATACTGCACTTCAGAAACTGTGCACTATTCTTGGTTTACTCAAGGACCTGTTGTTGGTAGAAAGGTTATCTGACAGTTGCATTTTACAACTGTTGAAGACAAGTATTACCACATTTTTGGTGGAAAATATCCAACTTCTGCAACTTAAAGCAATTAGCTTAATTGGTGGTGTAAGACTCTTCACTTACTCCACATCTTTGATGTGTTTTCTGTTTTAAATATCAGTGTCTTTCACGTTTGTAATGTTAAATCTACTTTAATGCAGATATATAATTCATATGCTCAACATCGAACCTATGTGATAGATGAGTTATCTCAATTGCTTTGGAAGTTACCTTCCTCGAAACGAGCATTGAGAGCGTATCTTCTTCCTGATGAAGAACAGAAGCAGATTCAAATGGTCACTGCTTTGCTCATTCAGTTGGTTCACAACAGCACAAGCCTTCCTGAAACCCTGAGACAGGCTTCCAGTGGAAACTCCATACTGGAGACCCCAGTTGATGCTGGTTACCTAACTAAATGTCATGAGGCGGCTACAGAAACATGTTGCCTTTTCTGGACTCGTGTCCTTGAACGTTTTGCCAGTTTGAAGGCTCAGGATGCTTCTGAGATAAAAGTGATGATTGAGAACCTTGTTAATGATTTGCTGACAGCACTGAATCTTCCTGAATATCCATCAGTGTCCCCTATTCTTGAGGTAAATGTAATGTGTAGTAGTGTTTGTAATTATTCAATTTTCTTTCCATTCTAAGAGGTAAGATTTTGCAGGTTCTCTGTGTCATACTGCTGCATAATGCAGGGTTGAAATCAAAAGATGTCTCTGCCCGGTCAATGGCCATGGAACTGCTAGGTACCATTGCTGCAAGGTTGAAAAAAGATGCTGTCCTCTGCAGTAGAGACAGATTCTGGACGTTACTAGAATCAGATAGTGAAACTAGAGTTGACGAAGTTGGCACAAAAGACTGTGCTCTTTGTTTAGGCAAAAGAGCTGGGAACTTATTGGTCTGTCAAATTTGTCAAAGGTGGTTTCATCCTGACTGTTTGGGTTTAAAGGAACTAGACATTTCAAGTCGAAATTGGCACTGTCCGTTTTGCGTATGCAAGAGGCAACTTCTTGTACTGCAATCTTACTGCAAGACGGACACCAAGAGTACTGGTAAGTTGGAGTCAGAAGAAGACTCAAATATGATTACACAGACAGAAGTTGTGCAACAGATGCTCTTGAATTACCTTCAGGATGCAGGATCTGCTGATGATGTGCATACTTTCATTTGCTGGTTTGTTCTTGACCCGTTCCACATGGAATTTGCTATATAGGTGGGTCTTATATGAAAGTTACTTTGTGCAGGTTTTATCTGTGCCTTTGGTATAAAGATGTCCCAAAATCTCAGAAGAAATTCAAATATTACATTGCTAGACTGAAAGCAAAGTCAATAATCCGTAATTCTGGAGCAACTACGTCGTTCTTGACAAGAGATGCTATTAAAAAGATTACATTAGCTCTGGGACTGCATAATTCCTTTTCCAGAGGATTTGATAAGATTCTACACATGCTCCTGGTTTGTGAAAGGTTTTGTATGCATCTTTATTTTTTTGGAGTTTCCGTCTTTCTTCTAACTGTGTTAATTTTTCAGGCTAGTTTAAGAGAGAACTCTCCCATTATTAGGGCCAAAGCTATGCGAGCAGTAAGTGAGCAAAGTGTGCAAACACGTTATTATTTCCGTTTGTGGGTAAAACCAGAATTCAGTTATGCTATTCTAGCAAAATGATAAGACATTCTCTGATTTTGACCATAACAGGTTAGTACAATTGTTGATTCTGATCCAGAGGTATTGTGTGATAAGCGTGTTCAGTTGGCTGTTGAAGGAAGGTTTTGTGATTCTGCAATATCTGTTAGAGAAGCAGCACTGGAACTTGTTGGTAGGTACATTGCATCACATCCTGATGTTGGTTTAAAGGTAAATTGACCTTTCCATGTATCATTTTTGTCATATGACACTCCCTATGATTGCTGTTTCTTTGCTGATCTAGTGAATTTATTTTTTCCAGTACTTTGAGAAGGTCGCTGAGAGGATTAAGGATACTGGAGTGAGTGTTCGAAAACGAGCCATCAAGATAATACGTGACATGTGTACTTCAAATCCAAACTTCTCTGAATTTACAAGTGCATGTACTGAGATATTATCTCGTATCAGTGATGATGAATCTAGCATCCAGGTAATCTTTGTAATCAGTATGCATTGCTTTTTGATCTATCTTGTCATCATTCTTGTATCTTATCCTCATTCTTTAGTGTGATATTATGCTTAAATACAAGATCTGTGATAGATATTTGTTCATGCGCAGGATCTTGTGTGCAAAACTTTCTATGAATTTTGGTTTGAGGAACCTCCAGGGCATCATACTCAGTTTGCTAGTGATGCTAGCTCCATTCCAGTCGAAGTGGAAATGAAAACCAATCAAATGGTTGGGTTGTTAAGGAGGACCCCAAATCATCAGCTTCTTGTAACAATTATTAAGCGAGCCCTGGCCCTTGATTTTTTTCCTCAAGCAACTAAAGCTGCTGGTATCAACCCAGTTGCTCTTGCATCAGTGCGCAGGCGCTGCGAGCTGATGTGCAAGTGTTTACTGGAAAAAATATTACAGGTGAACATTAATGCTTCATGTATGTGCATTGAGGGGTTGGTTACAATACCAGTGTTTAACATCGTTTCTTCCGTCAGGTAGAAGAAATGAGCCGTGAAGAAGGAGAAGGGCAAGTGCTTCCTTATGTACTTGTTCTGCATGCTTTTTGTCTCGTGGATCCTGGGCTGTGTACACCGGCGTCAGACCCTACTAAATTTGTTATCACCTTACAGCCATATCTGAAGAGTCAGGTTATATATCCCCAATCTGTTCAAGATTCTCTTAAGTTTTGTAGAGGAATGATTCTGTTGGGAGCTTATCTATGCTTGTTTTCTTTGAAAATTAGTGGTAGTAATCCTGAGAAGATATCAGTTGTGTGAAGGTGTGTCCGCAATAGTATCTCAAACTTTGAACTGTTGCTAATTTGCCTTTCGTCCTGTATTTGTTGCAGGTTGATAGTAGAATAGGAGCACAGTTACTAGAGAGTATTATTTTCATTATAGATTCTGTCCTACCCTTGATCCGCAAGCTGCCGCTTAGTGTGACAGAAGATCTGGAGCAAGATCTAAAGCATATGATCGTTCGGCACTCGTTTCTAACCGTTGTTCACGCTTGCGTTAGGTACCCTCTATTACTCAACTACCATCATTCCTGGTTTTACATCGTCTTCGCTTTCACATGCGTTCATTTTTATTTGGATGATCACATGTCTTCGTGGAAGATGCAGTCGAGGAAAATCGTTCATCTTTTTTTAGGAGACTAGCTCTATTTGATTAGTGCAACCCTTCAAATTCTCAGGTGTCTCTGTTCTGTGAGTAAATTGGCGGGAAAAGGTGTTAGTGTAGTTGAGCATCTTCTTCAGTTCTTTTTTAAACGGCTGGAAGCCCAAGGGTCCGATAACAACCAGGTGGGTTTTCTTTGAAAAGATTAAACAAAATTAAGGCCTTCTTCGAGTCTTGTTTCATGCACATGATTATACAAGTGAATTTTCTGTGGGTCGGTATATTGTACTGTTATGGCTTGCATTTGTGAGTGTAAATTTGGTTGCAGCATTAACTGAATTGGGGTTTTTTCTATTCTCGTTGAACTGGTATTTTGTTTAACCTTGACTAGAGACACAAGTGACTATCATTTTCCTCTTGCTTATAAGATCATAATTCTCTATTGATACTGCTCTTCATTGTGGTTTTACTGCTTACTACTGAATATAGTAATATTCAGTGTTCACATATATCTCACTTAAGAGTGAGTGTTGTCTGAGTTGAGATAATTGATATTCGTTACAAGATAAATCCACCAACGGATTACCCTGAAGCCAAATGGTGAAATTTTCTTGTCTATTTCAGATTGCTGGGCGGTCCCTTTTTTGTCTTGGCTTGCTTATTCGGCATGGAAACTCTCTTATTAGCACCTCAGGTGGCAGGAATTTCAATCTTTCTGGCTGTCTCAATTTGTTCAAACGACATCTCTGCACAGAAGATTTTGCTTTGAAAGTCAGGTCCCTGCAGGTATAGTGCATACAGTGCTAGTTTGTTGCACATTCTCAATATTTTATTATGATAGAATAATAGTGACCACAAACTTCCTGTAGGCTTTAGGTTTTATTCTAATTGCGCGGCCTGATTACATGCTGGAAGAAGACATCGGAAAGATAATCGATAGTACATTATCAGATGAAGCAAACGGGCGTATGAAGGTAAATATTCCCCATCTATGTACGTTTTTCAGTTACTATGGTGTACACGTTTTTTCTTAACGCTTGCATATGGTTACATTCTTTTTATAATGCTGATGATCTAGATGCAAGCATTACAAAACATGTATGAGTACCTTCTTGATGCGGAAAAACAATTGGGATCCGATAAAGCTGGTGATAACACGGTTAACCCAATTGAGCAAGGTGGCCATAATGTACCTGTAGCCGCTGGTGCAGGTGACACCAACATTTGCGGAGGCATTGTGCAGTTGTATTGGGATAAGATATTAGGTAGATGTTTGGACTTCGATGATCAAATCCGCCAGACTGCTCTCAAGGTTTGCCTTTTTTTTTCCATTATAATATATGCTTCTGTCCTTTTGATCAGGTGTGAATTAATAAGAGATATATCTGTTCTGCAGATAGTGGAAGTTGTGCTACGTCAAGGTCTTGTTCATCCTATTACATGTGTTCCTTATCTGATTGCCCTTGAGACAGATCCTCTAGAGGCCAACCAAAAGCTGGCACATCATTTGCTAATGAATATGCATGAGAAGTAATCCTCTGATTGGATTTTACAAAATTATACATTATTCGCTCATCAAGTATCGGCGCACTAACATACGTCGACATTTTCCTCAGGTATCCGGCGTTTTTTGAAAGCCGTCTCGGTGACGGACTTCAAATGTCGTTCATTTTCATGCAATCCATTAGCCAGGTCACTTCAGAATCAAATCAAATTCCTCAGCAAAAGGGTTCGACAAACACGCCGGGGAACGGTCTCACACAAGCTAGACTTGGAGTCTCTAGAATCTACAAGCTTATCCGTGGAAACCGAATTTCTCGGAACAAATTTATGGCTTCTATTGTACGCAAGTTTGATAATCCAACCTGGAGTGGCTCAGTGATAGCCTTTCTGATGTGAGTATGCGCTGCTACAATAAAACTTCACAGTCTCTAGGTGGTAAACTAAACACTAACTTCTCTGTATCTCTTTATAGGTATTGCACTGAAACCCTTGCTTTACTTCCATTCACAACACCTGATGAGCCGCTCTATCTTGTATATTCCATAAACCGAGTTATACAAATCCGGGCTGGTGCAATCGAGTCAAATTTGAAGACTTTGTTACATAAAGATTCCGCAAAGCCTCAGCATGGAAATGGAACGTACCAACAAGATCCGATCCTCGGACATATGCACACGATGGATTTAAACACAAGAATCCAAGAAGAACCAACGCATTGGAATTCGTATGGCCATCCAACTCCAATTGATCTCAACGGAGTAGTATACCAAGATCCGAGGGATCAATTTACTACATATCAAACCCATAATGGGGAAGCAAATGTGCACAAGATGACCTCATCTGATCCGCCCGAATTATCCATCGATGATCAGCAGAAAATTCAGGTAGTCTTCATACCTTTATTCTCCTGTGATGCCTAGGGTATTAAAATCGGTTTCTTTTTGTTTGAAGTTTTCACTTTTTCAATAGGAAGATTGATATCTTTTGTCAACCGAATCTTGAATATTGGTACATTTTGTTTTTCGACTCAGGTTTGTTTCGGTTTCATTTTAATCAGATATATACTCAATTTGTTTTTTTAAAGAAAATATAGATTTCAGTTCGGTTTTTCCTTTCTCTAGGATTTGTTTTCGATTGAGGTTGGTTTCCTTCTTTTAACCAAGCACAGACTTTTTGTTATATAAAAAGAAGATGTTTTAGTTCGTTTTTTTCCGATCTCAAGGATTTGTTTTGTTCTTCTGAATACAGAAAATCTAAAAACCTTACGAAATATGTATTTTTGTTTGTTTTACTTTTACATATGGTTTATCCAAAATGAGCACTCTTGATATCATCGTTGTTTTTTATATAAGGCGTTTTCTGACCATGCCAGACTTTCTTTTGGTTGCTCTTCCAGGTTGATTGCTTATCAGCTATAGCTTTACAACTTCTTTTGAAGCTTAAGAGATACTTAAAAGTCACGTACAGCTTAAACGATGACCGGTGCCAAGTACGGTTCTTGTCTTTCCACTACTCTTTTCCAGATTTAAGTCTCTTTTTTTTTATTTTTTCAAAACTTGCTCACGGAAACGTGATTGTGTTTGGAAAAAAAATATCGCAGGCCTATTCTCCAACGGAACCATTGAAGCCAGGAGATCCTCTGTCCAAACAAAGTGTTGCCTTTGACCTCAGCGAAACTCGCACTGACTTACCTTCAACATATCAAGACTTAGTTGAGAGATATCAGGTTAAAACCCGAACGAGTTTTTCCCACTTATGTTCACACGTCTAAAAATCTTAAATCCCTGGGGGCAGAGAAATCATAATTTCATTCATCTCTTCTCTTGCAGGAGTATAAGAACTCGATGAGAGAAGATACTCTTGACTACACAATTTATTCAACCAACGTCAAGAGGAAACGGCCAACGCCGAGGAAAGGCACAAGATCAGCTAAAAAAGCAGTGGCCTACAATGAAGATGATGGTGATGATGACGATGATGACAGAGGTTGGAATGGAGGAAGAGGAGGAGGTCGTATGACTGCTCGGAGATTAAATTACAGCACCAGAAGTAGCAATAGAAGGTAATGTGAGAGATCATTCCCCTTTGCCTCCTGTTATAGATTACTGTACATAAAGCGGCGCAATTAAAAAGAAGAAAAAAATCAAAAACGCTGTGATTTTTAGGCTCTTAACCAGTGTACAGTACGGTTTCTTACAAAATTAGGAAGACTCGAATGTTAAAAGCTTTTGTTAAGGGAAGAAATACAAAATCTAAGTAGAAGAAGACCAGAATTGGGTAGGGAAGGGTGTATTTTTTTGGTCTAATTTGATCATTACATGGAATTCACTTACTTATTGCTATTATATTGTTTTTTTTTTTTGTCTCTTCTCTCTGTTTCTTTGCCCTATTTTATTTTATAATGTAAGATCGCAATGACATTCATCTTACATATAATATATATATAACAATGAAAGTGGAAGAAAACAACTAGCTCCGAGTACCACTTCACGCGCCAGTTTTATATATGAATGCGACTGTGATATAAATTGTCTCCTTTACGTATGCTATTTTAATATTTTTAACATAGTTTATAAGTATTTACAACCGAAAACCACACCAATCTAACAACACATTACTTGAAACCATATAATCACGTAACATTCTTTAATATTATCAGAAGGCAATACACATTTCTTGATCAAACGATGGAATTTATTCAAAAAGACATGCATACACATTACGTGATTTCAAGAAGAAAGTGACAGTTCGACACAAAAAAAAAATAGGAAGAAAAATAGACAACCGAAACCAAACGCGAAATAATTACTTAATGATTTTCAGCACGTCGGTATAGCTAAGCCAAGACTTTGAGGAGGTTTTGAACCAGCTAAATTGATGCTTCTCCGTTTCATGGTACGATGATAAACAGAGGCTGCATTTAGTTTGTCGTAGTATTATTAACCACAAGTTAATGATCTGAAAACCAATTCAAATAAGAAAAACCGGGATCAACCAGAGAGAGAGATTGGTACCGTGTCAACGCTGACTGGTTTTCCATCTTCAGCCAGTAATTCAGTGATGGTTCCTGACTTCTCAGCCTGTTTTCAACACACAACTTCACAAATTAAAGACTCTGAAAGTTCATAAACCTGATCACAGAAACATATATAATCACAAATTCCACAAATTCCAACTGTAAGTTATCGTGTAATGTCATAAAGAATATCAGACCTCAATCTCGTTCATCAGTTTCATAGCTTCGATAATGCAAACAACTTGACCCTTCTGCACCTTATCTCCAACCTGCAGAGTGCAAAACAGAGAGGACTCACCTCAACTTTAAAAAAAAAAAAGTAATGACTTTCTCACGCGATGATTTCTCGGTAGAGAACTTTCAAATCTTTGATTCGATTTCACACAAGAAACAAAGATGTTTTTTTTTCTCGTGCTTTTGCATCTTCATGTACCTTGACAAAAGGGGGTTCACCCGGTCCAGGAGATCTGTAGAAAGTACCAGCCATAGGACTCTTGAGTGGAGGATGAGAAGAGGAAGGAGCAGTTGCTGGTTTTGCTGTTGCAGGGGATGAGGAGGGAGCAGGAGAAGCCACTGGTTGAGATGGAGGCATTGGAAGGCCCGCCATTGGAGGAGGAGGCATCGAGTGATAAACTGGAGCTGGTGGTGCAGGTTGCTGTAAAGCTTCCTTCTTTCGAATAACAATTTCACAGTCAAGCTGCTTCAGTTCAAGTTCCACTATGTCTCTTGAATCCACAAGCCTGAAAAGGGATAAGATAAAATGTTTGATTAGTTCGTCGAGAGAGACCAAAACTAAAAGGATACAATTGGGACTGGACTTACTTAAGAAGACCAGAGACTTTAGCCATAAAGTCAGAGATCTCGGCGGGTTCAGGAACATTGGTCTTCACATTTCCGTTCAAATACCCACCATTAGGCATTGGGGTCGAGTTAGAGACAACCTTTATGGAAAAAAGTCAGAAAATGAGTAAGAAGGTTTTATATAACTGTAAGGGTAATCAAATAAGTAAGCTTTTACCTCATTGGTTGTCGCACTCAACCTCCACATTGTAGATTGATTCTGCAGAAGACCAAGGAAAACAGAGGGTTATGAATCAGTATAACAAGAGAGCAACTTGATCATCAATCATTGAAACTTGTAATATATACACACCGCACGCACATATCTATATGAATTTGCAAAATATTTTATTGTTACTTTTCTTTTAAAGGCGGTTGAAGATGGAAGACTGTGCATGTAGAGTGAGTTCCATAGTTAATCGAGAGTGTCACAACAAGTCCACTAATCGAAACTTATAAAACACTAAACAGATCATAATTATCCAATCAGTTGCACCAAACAGAATTACCCAATCAGAAAAGTCTAATCTTTTCGTAAAGCCTCAAACTTTATTACGTGGTATAGAGAAGAGAAGCAGAAGAAACCTGAGATACGTTGGAGAGAACGGAGATTCCGTTGGGTTGCGGCTGCCATCGGATTCCAGGAATTGATCCGATTCGCCGGTTTGGAGCAGAGATTTTGGCGAAAGGTACCGACAATGACGCCATTGTTGAGATATGAAAATGCAGTGGACGATGAAACCAAGGAAGCAGGAAGAAGAGAGATATGAGAGACAGATTTTTCTTTTCTTTTTTTCTTTTTGAGTAAAAGAATCTGATTTCGATGCTTACGAGACGAAGGAACCCAATTAAACTTACTTCACCATATTTTTTTGGTTTTTTTTTTTTTTGATAAAGAACTTCACCGAACTTTGTTAGACAACGCTCATTTTGTCCTGTCTGTATGCATGTCTTTTTTTTCTGAATAGTATATTCTGTATATACAATACACACATATATATATATATATATATATATATATATATATTCCAACAGTTTTTAATCGAATCTCTATATTATTATTTACATAAACATTTACATAAATAAACTTTTATTTATAAAATATTATAAAATATTTTACATAAATAAACATTTATTTTATAAAATATTACATAAATAAATATTACTTATAAAATATTTCATAAATAAACTTTAAAAAAAAAACTCAATTAAATATTCTTCCGTAAAAATAGTTAAATATAGAAATCGAAAATTTATTTTAAATATATATAAAAATAAATTAAAAGTATATTTAGTTTATTTACTTATTAAATATTTAAATATAATCTATTATTTTAAATAATAATCAATCAATATATTAAAAAAACTTTTTTATTTTCATATTTAATTAGCATTATTTTCGAAAATTTATTTTTACTATTTTTATAAAAAAACTGAAATATATGTTTTCAAATTTTAAAATTATACTTTTTTACGAGTTGGTAAAAAAATATTTTATTAAATTACATAATAGATGGGTTTGTTCACTTTAAAAATCTTACAGATAATTATTATTAATACATATTATAGAATTCATTAACTAAAAATGATAGTTTAATCTTTAATAAAATATTTATAATTTACTGTTGTATCTAGATTTAGAAATTATTGTAGAATATACCAATATCTAAATTTAATGTGTGGATTTTAATTTGTATTTACATATTAGTAGTTTTAATCTTGGATTTCGTAGGTTTTCAAAAAAATTCTTTTTTTTATAAATAAAAACCAATTTCTTGTCTTTTTTTTTATAAATAAAAACCAATTTCTTGTATCTTAAAATTTTAAAATCTAATGTAGTTAAAATTAAGTAAAAGTGATACAGTTTTAAATATCCCACCGAAATCAAGTAAGATTTTTATGGGAAATGTATGTGTTGAATATACATATACATATATATATATATACAAATATGTATTTATATCTGTGCAATTGAAGAGCTTTCAATCTTTCAAGATGTTGAGCAGCTAATCCTGTGATTTCAGTCAATGTATAAATGGTATATTTATACACCAATCACATATACTTAAAAAGTAAAAAGTATTAAAATGCTTCAATATATATAAACAATCATTTTACTTTCTATAGCTATTAGAAAACAAATTTGATTAAAGAGACAAATGAAGAAATGAAGAGATACATGATGAAAATAGTATATCTAAGAATAATTAAGGATATCTATTATATGATAGTAGTATTCTTGTAAATTTTAGTTTGTTTCACACATAATTTTATTAGGATGAAATTAAATAAATATTTCACTTTCATACACTTAATTGGAATTATGTTATCATAAGAATTAAAAATATCAAATTGGATGTTTAAACACGAGATATCTATTAGATCCTCATAAATTCACAAACATGATATATATTTACAATCGTATGCACTAGTATATCTTGGCGTTTTGATGAACATAGGATTGCAGATACATGTCGTCATTTCGTTCAACCTTATTTGAAAATAATGGCACTCATGAGGCTAGAGAATGTGTATTGCTTAGATAAATAAGTAACACATATAATCAAATAGTAGAATTCACGTCAAGATGATCTACCTTTATACGGCAGGGATTCAGAAAGCCAGCCAGTCCATGTAACCAATTATAAGTAACACATATAATCAGAATTAGCACAATAACTCAATTTGTTTGAAGGAAACAGGAATATGGATCACAAGTTACCCGCAAAACTGCCCTATTTTGAATTGTCACAAAGAAAAGTAGCAATGTTCAGATGACTGGCAGATGGAGAAATATTATGTCTGTATTGTGGATCGTAATCTATGAGAATCTCTTCACCATATTATATTCATCAGCCATAATATCTTTACAACACCAAAAATTTATCAATCCCAACAAACTAAATTAGAACCAAATCTACCATCGAATCCCAAATAGAAACAATGAAAGAACACCTACATCTCTATCTAATGTGGTGAGAACAGCTTCCATAACAAATCCTGACAGAAACTCACAGCTGCTATATGAGTTTTTAGTTATCTTTTTTGTTTTTACTTCTATATACATTTAGTTTCAAACTGATCGAATTTTATATATTTAAGTCTAATTCGAGATTGTTTTCTTTCTCAACTTCGTCAACACATATAATCAAATAATAGAATTTACGTCAAGTATATAAGCTTATATAAAGATAAGGTTGCATACGTTTCTCAAACAAAAGAAAAATTAGAGTCAGGTCTATCGATAAAAAACCTTATAATACATAAAAAATTATAATATTATCGCTCTAATTTGGTACAAAACTTATAATAATTTACATCATCCAAAAAAATAAAAATAATACCAAACAACAAAAATTTTATGAAAAGACATAAATTTTTCTCTCATTCTTTTTTTCGCAAATTCACTAACCAAACCTTATAATAACCAGACTTTTGTTTGCGCCTCCGTCATATGCATATAGGATTGACGTACCGCATGATGCTAGACAGTCAAGTCTTGCGTTCCACAACTATGTCTAGAACTTTCAACCGCGCTGGAGGGAAGCAATTCTTCCGGATCCTTTTTTCCAAGAAACTAGACGTAGGTCGTTTTGGGTTCCTTTGTATAATGAAGTCATCAGATTTACAAAAATAGGAAATTACGTTCCAAATGAGGCTGACAGAATGCAAAGGCCGCCTTTCCTTCTCAAAGGTGATCATGCATTTGGCAAAGATTGTTTCACCGACGGCACAAACTGGAGTTATGAACATTGGGAAAACCTAAGTGATAGTGGTGAGGAAATTGACAGAAATGTCTGCTACTCATGTACCTTCGAATTAGAGGAACATCATCGTACAACTATGCTCCCTTGTGGGCATTTCTTCCACGACAAATGCATTCTGAAATGGCTCTAGGTTTCGAGTAATACTAACTGTCCAGCTTGCCGTTTCTCTATGGGATAGATGGAGAGTATAGAAGTTGTGATGAGTAAGAAAATAAGTGAAGTCAAGTTTGGTGATTATTGTGTGTTGTGTGTTTTAGGAACTGTTTGTGTTTTTTTTTTTGGTAAAAGTTTGTTTTTTCTTTTTTTTTGTTAACTTGGTAAAAGTTTGTTTGTTTAGGATATGTGCTCATGCAATCAGTGATTATTGTGTGTTTTAGGAATTGGTTTTTTTCTTTGGTAAAAGTTTGTGTGTAATTAGGATATGTGATCTTTTATGTAATCAAGTATATTTCTTGGGTGTGTGATGGTAATTAGTAACCCACAATGTTCTTTAATTGGCGACTGTAGCCCCCTTGTTTTCATGTGTGTAAGCGTGCAACATCGTTATTCTTTGGCACTTTCATGTGAGTACATGGGCTATTTTGTTCTACTGAGATAATAAGGGTGAGTTGTATCATTGGATTGAACCAGAAACAAGTCAGGGTATGTGCGGTGATGGTAAACACTACTGAATTAAAAAGGATTCATGAACTAAGTGTTTCAATTGATTATGTTTCAATTTTGTGAGTTTTTGAAGCAGCCTCTCTCTCTCTCTCATATATCTTTGCATATAATAAGAAAAATACCGGATGATTCTCTCTCATATATATCTGGGTCTCTATATATCTTTGTATATAAGAATAAGAAAATATCGGATGAGTGCAAGGCTTTATCTTGGTTGGAGTTTTGTCACTTGTTCAATAGAGTTGGCTGCGTGTGAGGAGTGTTAATTGTCGTTTTAGCTCAACCGGGTCACACGCGGGTCAAGCGTGTAGTGGAACGAGTTTGTTTAGTCTAAAGGTTCGATGGGCTCCAAATTATATCAAACATCCGTTACATTCAGTATTTGGGACTTACAGGAAAATTGGCCCAATACTTTCAATTGAAATTTTACAAACGAATTTTCAAATTAATATCTATCTTTGGTCTGCTGTTGCTTCTTGGAGATTACACAACAAATCGAGTGTCCACGTCAGCCAGGAAAACCGAGCCTAAAATCGTGCCACATTCTATCTTTAACGAGTCAAGCCCTCAAACGAACTACCAATGAGAAATCTCTATTTTTAACACATGTTGTAGAAGAAGCTAACCCTTTATATATTTTTCATTTCTTCCTCGTTTCATTAATTTTGTCGGGTTAGTATGAAAAACCATTAATTATACTCTGTAGCAAATCATGTAAGGGTTTCCTTTTTACCAGCAACAATTGAAGTCTCGTAGATTTTGTTGTGCTAAATTTGATGATAACTTCATGTGTATTCCTTTTTTTATGTTTCATTTTGCTAATAGCTGCGTCTGTCTGTCTTTTACAAGGAGTTAAAGGACTACAATTTCTACGTTCACGTCAATTTGCTTTGTAATACGTTCTAAAATGTTCATTTTGTAATTGGTCCATATTGTCTCTGTGGGCTCCTTTTGGTTGGCTATTTTCCTGCTAAAGTGTTTAACATAGGCTACCTTTTTTTCTTTCCTTTGGGAGCCCAGTGACTGTAATGCCTTAGATTTTATATGAGGTCAAGTGAACGGTTCAACTGATTAAACAAAGATTATGATTTCTTAACAATAAAATCAAAAATTTAGAACCATGTCGGTTTAACTACATTCAAATGCTTCATTGTTTTAGAAAATTGCAACAACCTCCTACTATAATTCTAATGGTATTCATTGCAATCAGGCATGATCGATGATGTTTATGTCGTCCTCTATGTGAGACAGAGTATTGCCATTATTGTCGGGAAAAGATCATCAGACTTCCATAACAACTGACCTGTAGACTTGCGCATCTGTAATTGTTGCACTCCCCCACTTTTGTTTCTCAATGGTACACCTCAAATTATCTTCATCGATGAGCCAAGAAACCAATACTAGCTAGTCAAGCCTCGAAACTGTTTGTATTGTCTCAGCCATGTTCTTTCCACCAATTCCCTCGAGACAATACTCTGATCTTCCCGAAACACACAATACAATGTTGTCCTAATTTTATTCCATTGTTTAATTCATTTATTAATTAGTTGATAGTTTGATAATGTAAAAATTAAAAGTTCGTAAACCATTCAAAAATTTATTAGAAAATGGGCTCTTAGGCCAATGTTTCTTTTATGAAAAATATCAACAAAATGAGATAACCAAATCCTATTCCTCCAAAATTATTTTCATCTACCCAAAATCTCAAGAAGAACAAATGGTCTCTCTACCATCAATATCTAACAGTCTTTTTCGTTCTTGGAATGAATGGCCGATCAAAGTATGGCATTGGTTGCGCTTTTGGGACCAATTCCTTCCTCAACCGTCTAATCTCCTCTTCCTCTGCCATCTGAAAAGAAAAATAAAAACTTAATACATACCATAAACGATGGATCTCAACTAAAAGCAAGGCTCTAATACAGCATCTCATCTTAAACTTTTACCATCTGTTGTCTTTCTCTTTCCATTTTGTATTGCTCAATGAACCTCATCTTCTCGGCAACCTAGAACAATAGTTCACACAGTTTATGATGTGGACTTCAAACCATACACAGAATGTAATGATTGCATTAGCAATGTTTACCTGATTATCAAATTCTGCGCGTTCTACTGCCCGGACATCTGAGTGTAGCGTCAAGTCGACTGGTACTGTGATATCTTTCACATGAGGCTTAACCAGACACTGAACACAGAAAACAACAACATTAGATGCAAGCCTCTTCATATTTAACAAGACATCATTTGCTTACTTAACAAGAAGCAGCATTCTTACCTCAGGTTCATCGGTTGTCCAAGGAAGACCTTGAGCAATGGGGATTCTCATCTTTTCTTCCTCCATCGTCATTTCTTGAAGCTTCTTTGCAAACTCTTCCTCTTTCATTCTACCTCTTTGCTGCAGTGAAACAAAAGACCAGCCAAAACAGTCAGGACTCGATTTCTACCATGAATCCTAAAAATTTCAATATTTTTGATCTAAGAAACTGATACCTCAGTTCTAAGTTTGAACGGCTTCAATGAAGTGACCTTAACCTGCTTCTTCTTTGATCGTCTGCTTCCCATTGTAGTCGATGAGTCCAAGCTCTGCCACATACAGAAATATAAAATGATTACTTCCTAAGCTTTATTGACATACAATGCAAGACAGATAATCATTTCAGCAAACATGAAAAATTAGCGGAAATCACGAGTAATCCAAGACACATACGTTTCTTCTGCTTCTCCTGCCAGCATTTGAATTCCCACTCAAAACACTGAAACATCAGCAGTTCAAACAAGTTCAGAAAACTAACAGTTCAGAACTTAAGTGAGATACTTTAAGTCACCAACGAACTAACCTGCCGTGACTGCTGTCCCAGGACGAAGAAATGGAGGCATTCGGGTCCAACCCGAGATTCTTAGCTGTTAAGACCAATTCAGATGGACAAAACGAAGAGCTCCATGGGTTTTGCTCTTTCTCTACCTTCAAGAACTTAGATTGCTGTCTCGTTCCAGGCAATTCCCACTTCACTGGCTTCTTTATATCCTCTCCGGTTTGGTCCTCTTCTTTCTTGTTCTCTATCTTTGGCGAAAGAGTAAAGCAAGTGAGTTTCTCAAATGCTTCTACAAGATTCATCACTTTACTCGATTCAGGCTTGTCCCTTGGCCTCTTCATTGTAGAAACGCCTATTTTCTCAGATTCTTCTCCTTCTAGTTCATCTACATTTCCAACATTTTGCTTCTCCTCCGATTCACTTCTTTCTTTGAAGAACTCCTCTTGCGATGCACGCAGCGTTTCGTATGCAACACAGACGCACTTCATGTTCCCTTTCTTCCTCTCTCCGCATTTACAATCTATCTCAGCAACAGTCGCCACTGGATCCTTGTTCCCCTTCCTCGAATTCTTCTTCGCCACCACAACAAATCTCCTCTCTCTGATCCGATTCCGGGGAGAGAAAACCGCCTGGCTGGGTTTCGGGTTCGGACTTTGATTATTCTTCTTCGAATTAGCAGATTTCACGAGCGGAGACTTAGCCGGACTAGCGTGTGAAATGTTAGGGTTCGAATTCTCCGACGACCTGAAAGTATCTTGAACCTTGGCCTGAAACTTGCTCCGATCCTTCACCGGAGTCCCCGGTTTCCCGTTCTTCAAAATCAACGACTCCATCAATCAAAGATCAAAAACAGAATCTGGAATCAAAAGAACACTACGAAGACGAACAATAATCGCTCTTGATCTGAAAAATCAACACCAACAAAAATAAAACTGACAAGGAAATGGAGAATTAGTGTTTTTTTCTTTGCTGTGGATTAAAAGATGGAGTCGAAGAAGATAAGATTGGAGGGAAATTGTGACCGTTGCGGCGCTCTTTTGGACGCTCTCCGATAACGGCTAGTCTTTTTGGTGCCCTTTTTTAATTAAATAAACTAAATAAGTAAGAAATCATTTGTTTCCATAATCTTGTCCGTTGGATCAAAGTAATCATAATGCTGAATTTTAATCCATGTTTAATGCCACGTCACATCAAACAGCTTATTCGCTCTAATATCAGCCGTTGGATCAAAGAGATGATAAACGCTCATCGTAAGAGCATGTACATCAGTGAACCCCTAAAAGAGAGGTTCACCAAAATATAATAACATTTTTTTTTGTTTTAGTTTTTTTTTTTTTTAATTCGAAAATTATAATTTTCGACCAATCAGGATGCTTTATTTGGGATGATACCGTCTCTTCAGATTCGTCGGGATGATATTGTCTCTTTAATATTAAGATCTTTTGTCTCAAAAACCGTGCTATGAACCCATTGATCCTCTGATGTATATGCTCTAATAAATCGTGTACAAATCAGATTCTCTGACAACAATTATTTTTGATCTAATATAAGCCGTTAGATCAAGGTGATTGACATGCTGACTTAGTCCACATATACTGCCAGGATAATTTTCAACAATTTTTTTCTATGCTTGTTCGGAATTTTTCATTCATTCACAAACTAGTTATCATCTTGTGGCCAATTACGTTTCAACGTTTGAGATATTTAAATTACTAAAAACATTTGATCATTCTCAATTTCTCAATTTGTCAATTTCTCTTGATCTTGGTTAATGGATCAAAGGTCACTAGAAGCTGCTGCTAAATCTGGAAACATCGATCTGTTATACGAACGAATCCATGAAGATCCATGCGTTCTTGTCAAAATCGATAACGTGCCCTTCGTTGATACTCCTCTCCACGTAGCAGCCGTCGCCGGACAAACAGAGTTCGCCATGGAAATGATGAATTTGAAACCATCTTTTGCTCGGAAACTTAACACCGACGGACTTACGCCGTTACACCTCGCAGTCGATCACAGTCACTTCTGGCTAGTTCTTGAAATAGTTAAGATTGATCCAAGCCTTGTTCGTCTTCAAGGGAGACAAGGTACGTACCCAACTCTTTCTTTAAAAAATAATATATATATATATATATTGTTTTGTCGTCAAATAAATTATGTATATTTAATTTCAGAGATTTTGTTGTTCAATAAACACCAAACAAAACAAATTGAGAGATTTTATTTTACACGACCAAGTTTTGTCGGGTGTTTTCCCCCGGTTCGATTCGATTGAAAAACTTAACTGAGTTGTTTACTTCTTCCAACTACATATATCGCTAAATTTATGTTTATTGTCTAACTACATTTTGAATTTTAAATAATTTATTTTGAAAGAAAGTTTTACACAAGCTCTTTTCTTTCTCGGTTCGACCCGGTTTTTTACAAAAGCTCTTTTACTTATCGGTTCGATCCGGTTTATTCAAATATGAAAGAAAAATAAATAGCCAAGTTAGATTATTTTGTATTTGGTTCAGTTTTTGAAACGATTTTCTCCGAAATTTGGAACAATTTTGATTTGGTATGGGTAAGTGTCATCGGATTGGTAAACCTTGCATATACTCGGTTTAATCAGAACGATAACCGAGTCGTTAATGTCGGTTTTATTTTCCCAAACAAGGTATGACGCCATTGCTACTTGCGGTAAGCAGAGAGAAGATTGATATGATATCAGAATTTTTCTTGATTTGCCCTGAGAGCATCGTGGACGCAAACGTGAACGGAGAGAACGCTCTTCACATCGCTGTGAAGAACAACGAAGACCAAAGAGAAGGATTAAAAGTCCTTAAAGTTCTCATGGGATGGATCCTAAGATTGTGTCAAAAGGATGCAGAGTGGATCGAGGCAAGAGTCATAAACCGAAGAGACAGTGATGGTAACACGCCTTTACATCTTGCTGCGTATGAGAATAATCGGGAAGCTATGAAACTGATGTTAGAGAGTTCCAAGATTAACGTCAACATAGAGAACAAGAACGGTTACACTGTTCTGGACATTGCCTTGGTACAAAGACAACACAATAACAGAGGAGAAATAGAGAGACTGGTTAAGAGACATGGCGGAAAATGTTCGAGTTCTCTTGTAAAGATCAAGACAACATCAGATCTACTCGGCTCGCGGCTAACATGGAGAGAATCGAGACGGACGAGGATGATACGTTCATATTCTTGGATCTCTGAAGAAAGAAGAAACGCTCTTTTAGTGGTCGCCACTCTGATAATCACAGCTACTTATCAGACCGCTCTCCAGCCTCCCGGAGGCGTTTCTGACGGCGGCGGAAGCGGTGGTGGAACGGTCGGTGGGAAAGTGGGTTCTGTGGTTATGGAAGAGGGAAACTTTATCTGGTTATGGTTATGGAACAGTGCGGGTTTCTACTTAGCCTTGGCACTGACGCTACGTTTGTTGAGTTTAGGGCAAGAGAGTATGTTTTGGTATTATCCTCTCATCGTTCCTCTGTTATTTGCTTACAATGTGGCAGGGCGAGTGATCTCACCAAACTCGAGAGCATTCACGATCGGAGACGTGGGTTCGTTCGTGGCTCTTGCGATTTGGGGGTTGGTGGTCTGGTTTTGGGAACGGATACAGTCTAAGCGAAGCAAGGTTCGTGGACCAAAGAGTGTATTGGTGTGGGAAGGTTTCACTACGTTGGATGAAGCTAGAGGTGTTGCGCCTAAGGGGCATTTGATTAAGTGATCTTGATTACGCCTAATAAATACTTTTACTGTTTGTGAGGTCACATGAGTTTCATAGATCGTTATGAGGAATATGCCATTGATGTATAGTTATGGTAAAGTCTGTCATCAACTCTGTTGGAGAACAAGGGCTGTGTCGTAAAATCAGGAAAGTTTGTATTTTGTGATCGAGTTTGATCATAGAGCGATATGTAAAAGTTTATAATCCTAGACTCCTAGTGTAATAGCAGCTAGACAGATAGCAACATGTAAACCAAATGCTTCAGAGAAGTAGTAATTGTGTGAAAAATAAGACTTTTGCTATAAGAAGCTTGTTTTTCCGAGATTACGACTGTCTTTTTGCAAACGTGCCCGTTTTGTTAGTTTTGTCAATCTTGTTAGTTAAATTTTTATTATTATCATTAGTATAATATTCTCTTCCTAACCCAATCGAACCAACATTGTTTACAAATACATTGTCTTTTTTTTTATTATTTATTAAGGCTTTAATTAAACAAATTATTTGTTACTTAGTAATCACGTAAAAAATATACATGAAATTTTGGATTGAGTTGGGTCAGGTCCCCGTCCCCGGTTTAGATCCACTAAGTTTGCTCGAAGGGACTTAAGAGAGGGGCACAAACCCTAGCTAATACTATATGAAAAGAAGCTTCGTAGCCGCATAAAATATATATATAAATTAGGGTTTTTTTTTGTTGATCATTTTGGGGTTTATGGTTTTCGTTTGATCTGTTTTGGACTTTGGTGATTGCAATTAATGGTAGGTTAAACGTTGTATGACTGTTTCGGAAAAATTTCCTTGCGTCCTTCTCAGAGCTTCGTCTTTGCTTAGGCTTCTGGCGAGAGGTGTTCCCGCTCCTCAGGTATCTCTTTTGTATGTACGATTATTAGCTGCTCCTTTTTTTTTTTTTTTTTTGATTTGTCTGTACGTTTTGAAATCATATGCTTATTCATGGATTTTTCTTCACTTTACTTTACAGGCAATTAAAATTCTGAAAGATGACTGGAAATCTACTATCATCAATATCCGAAATTTGGTTGGCAAAAAGGTATAGATTCTACATACCTATGATGGATTGTTACAAATTCTACTACAATACTTGATATGACTTGCTGTGAATTTTTATATTTCGACCGTGAATTTTATGTTTCGACATGATTCCGGCATGCATTGTCAATGCCAGTGAGTCCTAATATATAGACTTTCTTCGTTGCAGGAAATATTTGTTCAAAGGAGGCAGCGGCTTTTGGGTCGTGCCTTGAAGGTGTGTGTGTGAACAACTGTCTGTTTAGAGATTAGTCTTGGTCAATATTTAATGGAGATGTTTAGAGATAGTCTTAGTCATGATTGATTAATTTGTGTACAAACTATTGTATATTCCTATGCTCACTATTTTGTTGTTTCTGTTTTGCTTTGGGGACTAACCAACGTGCTGCTTGCAGAAGCTGGAAATGATAACCAATTGTTACATTCTAGTTCAGGTAATCGTGTGTGTTGTTTTTGCAAATGTCTCTCTAGGTTTTGTTTTTTTGGGTATATATATATTTGACTTTTCCTTTGGGATATTCACAGGGAAGAACTGTACGTAGCTGTGATGGGTTCTTCTTTAGTTGGTATCAGACAAGTCCGAAGCTTTGTGGAACAAAGCATGCAGAGCATGCGGCATCCTTTAGACCTTATAAACGTACGTGCGTATGAAATATTTTCTCTGTTTTTCCTTGGTTCTCTATATATGTGTATTTCACTTGTCAATATATAGACTTAGTTGCTCCTACGCTTGTTTATGCAGGATCTTGTGCTGCATCTCGAGAATCAAACGAAAAAGGAGGAGGAACTTAAAAAAGAAATCCAAAATGAAATGCGCCTACTATTGGGTGCTCGTGGAAAGGCCAGAATCGCAAGGCCTATGTTTTAATCTCGCGTTATAAAAAATATTATTGTTGTTAAAAAAAACTACGACCGATCCCGCCTTTTCTGTTCCATCTAAATCATATATGCAGTATCTTTGGTAGTTTGGACATTTCCTGAATGAGAACTCTTCAACGCTTACATCTTGTTTTTAACGGGAATTGATGTAATACAACGGCATAAACTGGTTTTATAGGTTTCATCATGATTGGAAGTGAGAGTTAGATCAAGGTGATGGCATGCTGACTTAGTCCACATATTTTTTTTTTGTATGCTTGTTCGGAATTTTCCGCACATTCAGAAACTAGTTATCATCTTGTGGCCAATTACGTTTTCAACGTTTGAGATATTTAATTACCAAAAACATTGATCATTCTCATCGTCGTCATTTTGCTGCGTTGTCTCTTGATCTTAGTTAATATGGATCAAAGGTCACTAGCTAGAAGCTGCTGCTAAATCTGGAAACATCCATCTGTTATACGAACTAGTCCATGAAGATCCATGCGTCCTCGTCAAAATCGACAAGGGACCCTCTCTGATACTATGATATATTGATGAGAGTAAGAACACAAAAGTGTTTCAGGAAGAATTATATTATAAGAATAAAGTTACAAATTACATTCTCTTATATAGACATCATTCTCTTATATAGACATATACTAATATTTTAAATCACCAATACTAACTTCTGATTTATGCTAAAATATATTCATGTGTGTTCATATGCTTCAGATTTGTTTTAGTACTGTATTTGACAATATTTTACAAAACAGTTGTTATAAGATATGCGAAGAATATAAAAAATCACCATATCCAACAATTATCTTTAACTACATAAATGACTGGAGTATATATTGCTAAAAGTGAAAGCTGTCCTATAACCCGCATTCGAATTCAAAGTTAGATTAGTAAGAAAATGTGTGAAGACCTAGAAATCATTTATTTTCTGGGTTGTATAGTCATCGAGTTAAAGTAACATGGCAAACCAAATTGAGTTGTGTACAAATCACCTTTCTGGGCACGTGGTCAACGTATGCAAAACAAATTATAATATTCGCTTGTTCTCTATAAGATTAATTTGGTTTCGATTCTGATTTTGATTTATTTTATATAAAAAATCAAACACACTCTTCTTGGTATATTTAATATATAGCTTGAGAAGCACTTCAAAAAGTGTGACTGAGTTTTCAAGCAAAGTGCTATTAGTCTTTTCTCTGAAGATTGTCCGGAAGACTCCACCATACAATCACTTAATTACTGAGACAACTAAGTTTTAATAATAATAGATTAGCATGTACATTATTGACACTAAACACCAACCTTTAGGTTTGGGAAGTATATAGACAGTGATGCACACAAAAACATTAAAACCAATGATGTATATTCGTCAGAATTTATTTTGACCTCTTTATTCACAAATTCCTTTTTCATTCTTTGTATATGTTTTATCTTCATCTTCATATTTCACAAATTAAAATAGTATCACTTGCTTGTAATTTACTTAGAGCCAGGTATAGAATATATTCATGTATGTATTTTATTTGTATTTTTTGGCTTGAAAAGCGTCGATTGCTTAGAGGGAAATATATTTTGATTGATTGTTTATTTTTGTATCAACCAAAAAAAAAAAAAAGAGGAAGTCGAGAAAACAGAAAGCAGAAGGAAGTCCTTATTAAAATAAATAAATTTATCAACACAAAACGGAATCCGTAAGTGTAAACTGAACAATATTCATGTCTAAAATAGGAAAAATAATCAAAGCAAGAAAAATAGATACAATTTAATTACTCGAATGCATATATGGTAAATTTTGTTTGTTGACTTATACGATAGAATCAATTTATGTTGGTCGAAATCCAATCCTTTCATGTATGTCCAATGTTTAACGTGTCTTTAAGACTCGCGGAAACCTGCCAAATATTGTGAGCCCATCGTTTTTTTCTACCTTTCCTTAACATTTAATTTCTAACTGAAAGAAAGTCTTAAGCTTAATTTAATTTCCTTTTAGCAATAAATAAGTAACCAAAACTTTTAAACCGCGTTATTCTTTGACGGTTTCAAGGGCATTTTAGGAATCTCATCACCTATATAAACTCTCTACTCACCCCGCTCTTCTTCTCCATCGTCAGATTTACCGATTAATTCTCTTCACCAAATTCAGCTCCATTTTCTTCGATAGTGTTAGACCAGAGGCTACGTAGCTTGCGAAAGGTATGATCAATTGTATCTAGCTCTCTTAATTCGTGTTTTCTCGATCCAATTTTCTGATTATCACGATCCGATCTCGTTTCGATTTCGATCTGTTTGGCCCGGTTTTCTTTTTTCACATGGATTTGGTTTTGAATGTTTGTGTGTTTCGTCCCAAAAAACACCAAAATTCTGCTTATTTCCTGTTGAGAGTTAAGATTTTTTCTGCATTCAGGTTCGATCTGTGTCGGTGATCCGCTGAGAATTCACGTAATTTCATATCCCATTTACGTTTTCATTTCCTTAAACCGGGTTCTTTTGCATGTACCAGATCTGAGATTTTTTATTCAAATTTCTCATCGTATGTGTATATTGTTCGTCGAATTTCGGCTTCAAACGCCTCATTGTTAAGCATGATCATGACTATTTTGATCTCTGGGTTGATATGAATTCGTAGCTTCACCTGATATGATATTCGGTTCATGTTTACGTTAAATGTATTCTGTGTGCATCTTCTAATTCCTACGAAACCGGATCTGGGTTCCTTTAAAAAAGCGAATCTATCAAAGTTTAGTTCTTGTATATTGTGGATTCTCCTTTTTGGATGTTTTTAGCTTTATTTGCATATCATAGAACGCTTGAATTGCTTGATCTGACATGTTGAGTCACCATTCTCGTTATCCAGTGCAACCTAAATGCAAACATTCGAATTGTTAAGAACTTTTACGCAGCCATATTATTCAGACTTGTGTAATGTATTGAACTTACATCTCTTTGGTGTTTATTTATGGCATTGATTACTGAGAATTCTGTAGTTTGACATTAAGCTCACTTTTTTTTTGTTTTCCCTGGAGGCAATTCAGTTTACAAGCAAAATGGTGAAGATTTGCTGCATTGGAGCTGGATATGTCGGTGGTCCAACCATGGCGGTCATTGCTCTAAAGTGCCCATCTGTTGAAGTAGCCGTTGTTGATATCTCTGTGCCAAGGATCAATGCCTGGAACAGCGATCAGCTCCCGATCTATGAGCCTGGTCTTGATGATGTGGTCAAGCAGTGCCGTGGGAAGAACCTTTTCTTCAGCACCGATGTTGAGAAACACGTGAGAGAGGCTGACATTGTCTTTGTCTCTGTCAACACCCCGACCAAGACCCGTGGTCTTGGAGCAGGCAAAGCTGCGGATCTGACTTACTGGGAGAGCGCGGCACGTATGATCGCTGATGTCTCGGTTTCCGACAAGATCGTTGTCGAGAAATCAACTGTGCCTGTCAAAACCGCAGAGGCAATTGAGAAGATCCTTACACACAACAGCAAAGGAATCAAATTCCAGATTCTCTCCAACCCCGAGTTCCTTGCTGAAGGAACCGCCATTGAAGACCTTTTCCAGCCTGACCGTGTCCTCATCGGTGGTCGGGAAACACCTGAAGGATTTGCAGCAGTCAAGGCCTTGAAAGACGTTTATTCCCAATGGGTCCCTGAAGAGAGAATCCTCACCACCAATCTCTGGTCCGCTGAGCTTTCCAAGCTTGCAGCTAATGCCTTCTTAGCCCAGAGGATCTCATCAGTCAATGCAATGTCTGCTCTCTGTGAAGCAACCGGCGCCAATGTCTCAGAGGTCTCTTACGCTGTCGGTAAAGACTCTCGGATCGGCCCCAAGTTCTTGAACTCTAGTGTCGGATTCGGTGGATCCTGTTTCCAGAAAGACATCCTCAACTTGGTCTACATCTGCGAGTGCAACGGCTTACCTGAAGTCGCTGAATACTGGAAACAAGTCATCAAGATCAACGACTACCAGAAAACTCGATTCGTTAACCGCATTGTCTCTTCCATGTTCAACACAGTCTCCAACAAAAAGATTGCAGTGCTCGGTTTCGCCTTCAAGAAAGACACAGGAGACACGAGAGAGACTCCAGCCATTGATGTCTGCAAAGGTCTGTTAGGTGACAAAGCTCGTATCAGCATCTACGACCCACAAGTCACTGAGGACCAGATCCAAAGAGACTTGACCATGAACAAATTCGACTGGGACCACCCGCTGCATCTCCAGCCCATGAGTCCCACCACCGTGAAGCAAGTCTCAGTCGCTTGGGACGCATACGCTGCGACCAAAGACGCTCACGGTATCTGCATTTTAACCGAGTGGGATGAGTTCAAGAAACTCGACTTCCAGAAGATCTTTGATAACATGCAGAAACCGGCGTTTGTTTTCGACGGTAGAAACGTCGTGGATGCTGAGAAACTCAGGAAGATTGGGTTTATTGTTTACTCCATTGGTAAGCCATTGGACCAGTGGCTCAAGGACATGCCTGCTCTTGCCTAAGACAAGCAAATCTCTTCCTTAGATTTTTTTGTTTGTTTTGTTCTTCCCCGAATCATCATATGAGTTTTTCATATGTTTTTGCTTTTTACTATGTTCTGATCAAATAATTGTCGCTTTTGTTCTTCGTATGAAAGTCCAACAGAGATTTTTAGGTTTGATTTTTGTTGGTAATTATGTACCTTGGGTTACCAAATATTGTAAGCTTTTCAAGTATTATTTCCATTAATATAAAACTTTTCTTTAGTTGAATATCATTGACTCTTTTCTACTTGCGTTTGTTATTTTAGAATTTTTTCGCGAGACACCTTGATAGAAATATTAAATGAATGGTAGGTAATGAGGAAGGATTTATTTAACTCGAGAATATTCTGTTAGTTATTTTTTAATTGGTTGAGGCTCATGCTGCTTGCCACGTGGAAGCTCGGAGTCGAAAGCAAAGTGTCGCTCCCTCTTATTACTAAAATGCCCCTTTCTCCTCGTTCCCTCTTATATTTTCTCAGTTTCTCTCTGTTTCCATTCCTCTCGCTCACTCGTTCACCCGAAAAGTCACAGAAACACAAAAGATTTTTCTTCTCTTCCATATTATTTTTCTTTCATTTTCTTCGATAGCATCTAGTTCTCTCTTCTTTCTTTCCCAGAAAACTGTTACTTCCTCTGTCTCCGACGCTTTCTTTTCTTGGGAATCTGACAAGAAACAGAGCATAATCCTTCTTTTTCTTTGAAAATGTGCTCGTCGTCTCTTTCTTGCGTTTGTTGCCTCCTTCTACTCCTCTACATTGTCTACATGATCATTTCCTTCATCGACTTCTTCTTTATCCGAGTTCCCCATGTTTTTCGCGCCTAATGGAAGAAGAACGTCAAAATCTCCATAAACCCATCTATGGAGTTCCGCGAAATCACAAGAATTCTCAGTCACAGCGAGATCTCTCTTGCTACTACGGTCTAAGGGAAAACCCAAAGAAGAAAACCCAGGAATCTTTTGGATTAGAATCGCCAGAACTGACGAAGAAGATTTTGTTCCGATGCGGAGATTGTGGAAAAGGGTTTCGATACGAGAAGTGTCTTTCGAATCATCAAGAGGGGATGCATTTATCGACGAACCAGAGGGCTTATGAAGAATCGATCAAGAGTCTGTGTAGTAGCTTCGGTCTTGTGAGGAAGAAGAAGAGGTCGAGAGTTATCAGGTACAAGAAGACTCCATTGTCTTGTTCGTTCACTACATTTGTTGAATCGCCTTCTGTTTTCGCTGCGAATGATGAAGAATTAGAAGTGGCAGAGTGTTTGATTCTATTGTCTAAGAGTAGTCCCAAGTTTGTAGTAGACGGACAGAAACTTGTTAGTGAAGCAATGGGTGCAAATCCTGAAACGCGTCGATGTTGTTTGAGCAACAAGAAACCACGAAAAGCTGATGAATTTAAATCTGGGTTTTCAAGTAATGAGCAGAATCTTATGGAAGAAAGGTTTAGTAGATATGAAAGATCGAAAGAACCAGCTGAATTCGAGTCTGGGTTTTCGAGTGATGAGCAGAAACTGGTGCAAGACGAGATTAGTAGTGATGAAACATCAGAGGAGCCAGCGAGTTTCTTGGGAGAAAAGAGTGGATTGGATCAGTGGAAACTGCAGAAATCTTGTGACTTTGAATCTGGGTTTTACAGAACTGAGCTTGGAGTAGGAGATATGGAGTGTTCTGATTCAGATACTGGATCTGATAAGAGGAATGTTGAGCATCAATGCAAGTTGTGCAACAAGGTGTTCTCGTCATATCAAGCTTTAGGTGGTCATCAGACGTTTCATCGGATGAGCAAAAGTAAGAACAAGAAGAATCGCAGAGAGGAATCAGTAGAAGAGCCTGAGGTTGAGTCTGTTACTGAGAAGAAAGAGAAGAAGAGGCACGAGTGTAGCATCTGTTCAAGGAATTTCAGCTCGGTTCATGCTTTAGGTGGTCACAAGAAGTGTCACGGCAAGAGGCAACAGTCGAAAACAGAGCATGAGCATGAGGGTTTGGGGCTACTCAGTGTTGTTCCTGGTACTGATGGAATCAAGTTTTACTGAAGTTCTGTTATTCGAATAGGATTTGATGTTGTAAAGAATTTGATAGTCAAATTCTAGACTTTTGTTTGCTCTGTTATTTTAGATGAGAAAACCCTTTTACTTAGGAGTTTTTAGCAATTTCCTGTGAAATTTGATGGATAAACTGATTGGGATTTTGTTTTACTCTACTTTCTTGTTTATCGCAGTATCTTCACTTTCTGAATCCAAGTTGTAGACTTTTTGCTCTGTTTTTCTTTTCATAGTTTCTTTTAGCAAATTTCCCGGGAAAGTGATGGGTGAAAGTAAAACAATAAAGAAGTTTTTTTCGAGAAAACTCTCAATTTTTTTTAAAAAAAAATTCTTAACTCGGGTTTGATTCCGGTTGGAGTCAATTTTGTTGATTTGAAAAGTCAGAATGGAATGTGTCGGTCGGTCTTGGTATTCAACAAAACTCTTGAGCATATAAATGAAATTAAATAACTACCTTTTGTAATATGCTAAACGAAAACGACAATGAGAATTGTACGGAAATTTCGTAATTAATTTTGGGAAAACCCCTATAGTGTAATTGGACCTACCAGCTAAGACTACATTTACCATACTTGAATTGCTTATCACATTAAATCGAACTTGCGTACAACATCAAATCAACTGTAATTCATGGTGTTTTCATGTATACGACGCCAATTTAGTGTAAGGATTAGTACAAAATATGTGATTATCTTAAGATTTCGGGTGGTCAATTTCTGGATTAAACTGTTCAACTTACTGTGTAACAAATCAAGTTTAATATCGGGTAACAGATAGAACTATTTACATATGTTATATAAATAATGTGAAAAAATGATTCTTTCTATTTATAAAATAATTCGTATGCAAATTCATTACCATTAAAAAAAGATACTATGCGTTACTCAAGACAAGTATCGTGTAATTTTTTATTTTTCAGTTGCATTGATTTGTCGAAACCATATATAAAATGTTAAGTTAATGTATACAATAAATATGTTAGGAAGATGGAGTAAGTGTCTAATTATCTAGAATGAGATATGCCATTTATGTATAAAATGTCTAATAATTTATGTTTATCAATTTAATTGTCAATTTTGAATATTATGTTAAAATAGGGATCAATTTATACTATCAATCATCAATTAAGAGGAAAGATGAAAAAGCAAAACTCTTGCTTAGCCATGAAAATAGGTGGAGACAAATGTATAATTAGCTCTCTATAAAACAATCCCTAAACTCAAGGTCAAGACACCAATTAACTAATACTCATTATTAATTTTAGATCTTGAATAAATTATTATTTTTTTTTTGTTTTTTGTTTTTGTTTGGTTTTGGAATAAATATGTTTAGATCCACCGGCAAAATCACTGAGAACAAAAGCTCGATATTCCTCTCATTTGTTTCTATTTTTTTCTTTCTCTTATTTTTCATTTTTTCATCTTCTTCTTCCTCAGCTCTTTGATTTTGAATCTTGATCTGTGAGAAGACTCTTCAACGTCAGCTTAAAACGTGAATTTGTGGCAAAACCTCTCGTGTTCAATTTGATTGAAGCAATCTCCAGAGGAGGAGGCGGGAATCTCAAATTTTGGATCTTCCAGTGGCGGTCGGAAATCCAATGCGGTCTGCGAGAAGACCACAAGGAAGAAGAATAGCGATTAGGAACGAAACAGAGACGGATTTGGGAGAGACGCAGGACTCTAGATCGAGAATCGGGAGGAAATTGGGATCGGAGAGGCGGAATCTGATCGGATCTGATGTTGGGTTTGGGATTGCGTCCGGCGTCAGGAATTAGGGTTTTGGATTCGGTTTCTGTTGTCACTGTGGTGGTGCTGCACGACCAAGGATGCAGCTTCACATATCGCCTAGCATGAGAAGCATCACGATTTCGAGCAGCAATGAGTTTATTGACTTGATGAAGATCAAGGTCGCAGCTCGTCACATCTCTTACCGAACTCTCTTCCACACCATCTTAATCCTCGCCTTCTTGTTGCCTTTTGTCTTCATCCTAACCGCTGTTGTTACCCTCGAAGGTGTCAACAAGTGCTCCTCCATTGGTACACCTCTTTTGTTTCCTCTTGTTCGATCTTTCATCTTCACTAATTCGTATGTTTCTGTTTTTGTTGTGTTCTTCATCATTACTGCTGCGGATCTCAACCTTTTTTATATTCGGATTAGCAAATTTTATGGATTAGCAAATTTTATGGCTCTTCATTGTGTGTTGTCTTTTTCTTTGCATCTTTAGTGTCCATTGTCCCAAACATCTTACTAGGTTTACGTTTGATCTTACGGCAATGTTTGGGATCGTACTAGGATGGGGCTTAAGTCAACCAAGTTTGGGGATTTTGGAATTTTCTTGTTAGGTCCCCACTAATAAATTTTGTAAGATCTTGGTTCTCAAGTAGCTGTACGACCTCAATTGTTAGCATTGCATATAATTTCCACAATCTATTTCTCACATTTCCCCGTCAATGCATTTTGTTGGATTGTGGAGCTGAGTGACATTTTTGCAAAAATCCCTTTTTTTGTTTGTATGTGTGGAGTAAGAACTACATCTTTCTCTGCTTTACCACATTTGAGCTAAAAACGTCGAGGAAATTTCTCCATATACATTTATTCTATATGATGTTTGAGGATGTCTCGATTCAATACTTTTATATGGTTTAGGAAGTTCATTTACTGAGTTTTTGCATCCAAGATCGGTGTTCATTTCAATTGAATGATCTGCTTTTATGTTTAGGGAGATGGTTATGATGCTTTCATTTAAGTTTCTTCCCTTTTTCTTCTTACTTTCAGATTGTTTAGGGAGGCGGTTAGGTCCACGTCTTCTTGGTAGGGTAGATGATTCGGAGGTGAGTGGTTGCTTTCTTTAGTCTGCTATTTTTCATTATCTTTTTATGTTCTTAAATGATATTTCTTTCCCCCTCATGTTTCTCTTGCTGCAGAGAATAGCTAGAGACTTTTACAGAATTCTAAACGAAGTAAGCACTCAAGAAATTCCAGATGGTTTGAAGCTTCCGGATTCTTATAATCAACTTGTTTCGGATATGAAGAATAACCACTATGATGCAAAAACATTTGCTATTGTGCTGCGAGCCATGGTACGCTTTGTCTAATCTGAAAATGTTTCTCATCCTACATAATGCGCCCTATTGCTCCTGTATCGAATTGTAGACTTTTGTCTTATCTGGAAAATCTGTTACATTTATCTGTGCCTTGAAATTGTCAAATTGTAGACAGTGTTTCTAATCTACTATTGTTAGTTCTTGTTTCTCTCTAAAGTGAGCCATATAAATTGGAAGATTATCTTATGTGATATGTTTGTCTGTCTTGAACAGATGGAGAAGCTCGAACGGGATATTAGGGAATCTAAATTTTCAGAACTTATGAACAAGCACTTTGCAGCAAGTTCTATTCCCAAAGGCATTCATTGTCTCTCTCTAAGACTGACAGATGAATATTCCTCCAATGCTCATGCTCGTAGACAGCTTCCTTCACCAGAGTTTCTCCCTGTTCTTTCAGATAATGCATACCACCATTTTATTCTGTCCACGGACAATATACTGGCAGCATCAGTTGTGGTCTCATCCGCTGTGCAGTCATCTTCAAAACCCGAGAAAATTGTCTTTCACATCATCACAGACAAGAAAACCTACGCGGGTATGCATTCATGGTTTGCGCTCAATTCTGTAGCACCTGCTATTGTGGAAGTTAAAGGTGTTCATCAGTTTGACTGGTTGACGAGAGAGAATGTTCCGGTTTTGGAAGCTGTGGAAAGCCATAATGGTGTCAGGAACTATTACCACGGGAATCATGTCGCTGGGGCAAACCTCACTGAAACAACTCCTCGAACCTTTGCTTCAAAATTGCAGTCTAGAAGTCCAAAATACATTTCTTTGCTCAACCATCTTAGAATATATATACCGGAGGTAAATGTTTTATGCTAAACTTGCAACGTAGCTTTATGCCCCTTTTCTCTGAAATCATATCCCAATTCCCTTTTTTGTTTTGTTTTTTGGAATAGCTTTTCCCGAACTTAGACAAGGTAGTCTTCTTAGACGATGATATCGTTGTCCAGAGAGACTTGACGCCACTTTGGGATGTTGACCTTGGTGGTAAGGTCAATGGAGCAGTAGAAACTTGCCGGGGTGAAGATGAATGGGTGATGTCAAAGCGTTTAAGGAACTACTTCAATTTCTCTCACCCGCTCATCGCAAAGCATTTAGATCCTGAAGAATGCGCTTGGGCATATGGTATGAATGTCTTCGATCTACAAACCTGGAGGAAGACAAATATCAGAGAAACGTATCACTCATGGCTTAGAGAGGTATGAATGTATTCGACCTTACACTCTTTTGTTTTCCTTAGCAGAATCTCAAGTTACCTCACTCTCCTACTCTTGTTTGCTTTTGGTTTTGAGCAGAATCTAAAGTCGAATCTGACAATGTGGAAGCTTGGAACCTTGCCTCCAGCTCTTATCGCGTTTAAGGGCCATGTTCATATAATAGACTCGTCATGGCATATGCTTGGGTTAGGCTATCAGAACAAGACCAACATAGAAAATGTCAGGAAAGCTGCAGTGATCCACTACAATGGCCAGTCAAAGCCATGGCTCGAGATTGGTTTCGAGCATCTCCGGCCATTCTGGACGAAATACGTCAACTACTCGAATGATTTCATCAAGAACTGTCACATCTTGGAGTAGCAAAACCGAAACTTTCAGATGGTATTGAAGGTACAACGGGTGTAAAAGACAGAGGAAGAGATTAGGAAGTAAAAAAGCAGAGATTAAAGACGAGCACTGCAGATTTTACTCACAGTTTAAAGATTCAGAAATTTAGTTTGCCACATACATAAGAAACTTGTTGCAGCGAAGGGGAAAAGCTGCATAAGAGAAAGAGAGATAAAGATTCATTCTTCTGTAAAATAGAAGGTATCCTTTTTGAAATTCTTTTGGTTTCGATTGGGAGACTCCAATTCTTGAATCTTTTATAAGGATGGGAAAGATTGGATTTTTTTTTTTTGGTTTATTAAGGGGTCATGACCAAAAAGGCCAGTTGTTGATAATTGAAGAACAGAACAATTATACATTTGTTGCATTTGTTCCACATTTCTTGTTATATCATTTGCGGTTCGTATATTCTACAAATCTCTTAATTCTGGATTCTGTTTGCATCGATCATAACATCTTCTCCTTAGAAATGTATCTTCTTCCTCAGTTGCATATGCATTTGGAGCTATACTTATTTTTAGCAAAAACATTTGGAGCTATGTTTTGTCAGGTAGAACCATTAAAAATTTAAGATAATTAGACCCCGAAAAAAACTATTGAACAAAAGTTGATGACCTTGCCAATAAACAAAAGAGAAAGCCAAATGCTTTTGAATGTAAAATTTTATAATTTTTCGATTAAAAAAAGAAATTGGGAGATCATTTCGTACAGTGCATTTCGTATCTTGATAATAAATTAAAAATAATAAAATAAATGGGCTCGAATGTAAAGGGTTGAGCATTTTCATTGGCGTATAGATGGGAAGAACGACAGGAAGGAATGGAACATTTGGCTGCAATTGATTCTCAAATCTTCGAGATCTCCTAATTATTTCATATCTCTCTCCCTCTCGCTCTCGCTGGTCTCTTTCTCACTGTGATGTGGAGGTTTCAAGGATCCTTCTGATTCATCAAACTCAAATCAGTCGCGGACCCAAGTAAGAACACCAGTTAGGGCTTATTTTTGTTTTATGATCAGCTAAACCCAATCCGAGTTTTTAGTGGTTTGATATAAGAATTATTCTATTTGATACTTCATTAGTTCATTTGTTGATTGTTTTCATGAGTTTTTTTAAGGAGAAAGTCTTGATTCTTATCTATGATGGAAGATCTTTGCGATTCGTATTGTTTAATCAGTGCTCTTATATTCATTTCCAATATTCAAGATCAACCTTAAATCTATGAGCTTCACGTTTCACAATGAGGCTGAGCTACAGAAAATCTGTTTTTTTCATTTTTTTTTTTTTTTTTCTTTACAGACATTATTAATTCTTCGGTGATGGAAATTTGTTCTTTTGTCACACAATTCTTCCTTTTTTCGATTCGTTGCAGAAAGGAAAGACCCTACGAGCTATATAACATATAGACTTTCCTGGTTCTTTGGAGCTCGATACATAGTCGAGCTCTTGTGAAATCACTGGTGAGGCCAGTTGGTTCTTGGAGATATCATGGCAGAGGTGAAGGAACATTTGGAGATTAAGTTCCGGTTAGCGGATGGTTCAGATATCGGTCCTAAATCGTTTCCTGATGCTACAACCGTTGCAACATTGAAAGAAACTGTTGTTGCTCAATGGCCAAGAGGTTTGTGTGTTCCGGCTTTCTTCTTATGCATTGAGCTTGTAAAGGTTTCCCATTGTTTCGGAGAAAGATGCTGGCTTTGCTTTTACATTGGTTTTTTCACGCTTATTTCCGTGATAAAATCAAAATCTGTTCTCTAAAATGTGAATCATTTGGTCTTTATGAGTTTGAGCAGAAAAGGAGAATGGGCCAAAGACAGTGAAAGATGTGAAATTGATAAGCGCGGGTAGAGTATTGGAGAACAACAAGACTGTTGGAGATTGCAGGAGTCCTGTCTGTAATCTCTCAGGTGCTGTCACCACAATGCATGTTCTCATTCAACCTCAGGTTACTGAAAAAGGTAAAACTTTTTATTATACAAACATCTCTTAGATCATTTGATCAAAATCTTTATCCCTTTTTAATCGCTTCGTTCGTATCTGTCTTTGTATGAGAATCTGAGATCTTTGTTTTGCCAATGTTGATTCTTTGTTTTGCCAATGTTATCAACAGAAAAGACGAAGAAGAAGAAGCCTAAAAACGGTGATCTGAAACAGAACAAATGTGTCTGTTTATGTTTTGGATATCGGTTTTCTTCTTGATCCTTTCTCAATATTTCTTTTCCTATGATTTTTTTTGTTTTTAATCGCTTGAAGGTTTGGCTTCTGATGTAATTCTGATTCGCAACACCGTGCAATCTTAGAAAACATTTCAAATTTGCAGATTAGTGTGAATCGTTAAGAATAATACGGCAGATATAAGCTAATTATCACCGAAGATCTAAACATAATGCGTGTTTTTATGAATCATTGTACGAATTACATACCATTTTGTTGGCTTATTCTTTCTTTAGCACCAGCATAAATCATTCTTCTTTTTTCATGAGCATTGAAAGATTTATGTCTAAATAAAAAAGATATCAATTTTTTTTGTCGTAATAAAAAAGATATAAATAAATCTACATTGGCACCACATAAAAAATATTACACTAAAAGAAAATACAGTTCTATTAAGAAGCTTCTTTGTTGATGAGGACTGCGAAATGATTGAGGAAGTCAGACCAAGAGGTGCTTCCACCATGGACTCTTATTGCTGGGATTTAGCCAAAAATGGGCATTACACGGTCAAGTCCGGGTATTGGGTGGCAGCCAATATCGTCCTCAAAAAGCAGAATCTTCAAGAGCTCAACCAGCCCAGCTTAGACCCGCTATACCAATTTATCTGGAATTTGGACACAAGTCCAAAGGTAAAACACTTCCTGTGGAGATGTCTCTCAAATTGTTTACCTGTTACAGGCAATCTAGCTCATAGGCACCTTCTCAAAAACCCATTTTGTGCTCGATGTCAATCCCAGGATGAAAGTGTCAATCACTTATTATTCCAGTGTCCTTTTGCCAGACTAGTCTGGACGATCTCTCCTATTTCTGAACCACCTGATGCAGCTACGCACAATACTCTCTTCACCAATCTCTACCGAGCTTTAACGGTAAAGGACAATCAGAGCCATCAAAATAATTTACATTGTTATGTCCCCTGGCTTCTATGGAGATTGTGGAAGGTGAGGAATGACTTTATTTTTAAAGGCATATCATGGGAGGCTCATCAGGTTATCAATAAGGCAAAAGAAGACTCTGAGGAATGGGCTCAAAGAAAAGAGGTGATTAAGCTTACTGTGAAACCTCTCTCTGCTTCGGTGTCACGATCCTCTTGGAGACCTCCCCCAGATGGCTGGTTGAAATGTAATGTTGATGGAGCAAGAGATGATAATCATCGCCGAAGCGGTATTGGTTGGATTCTAAGAGATAGCAACGGGGAAGCTTTATGGGCTGGAACTAAGTCATTACCTTTGCTGAAATCAGTGATTGATACAGAAGCTGAAGCTCTGCGCTGGGCCATGGTCTGTATCTCAAATTTAAGCTACAAGAATGTTTTTTTTGAGTCTGATTCGAAGACGTTGGTGGATGCTCTAAAAGATGAGACACCATGGCCGATCATTAGCAGCTACCATCAGGACATACAGCTGATCCTTAGTTCCCCGTATGCATTTAGGATTTGCTTTTATCCTAGAGATGGAAATCGTGTGGCTGATAGAATGGCAAAGGAAGCTTTTTCACTGTTGAATCATGCATCCAAATTGTTTTCTATCATGCCTGATTGTGTTCTATCTTTTATTGAGGAAGAAAAACAGAGTTGTAATTGAGTATTTTTTCATTTGGTTAATGGAAAGTTTGATGTTGAGAAAAAAAAAAGAAAAATACAGTTCTAACGCGCGTACAGTCCACGCTCCATACATGCGAGTGGTTAATTTACGTTACTGTCGTTCTGGGCCGACCTCTTTAGCCCAAGTTTCGGGAAAACAGATTTTATAGTATTATATTTCTTCTCTATTTTGGACGGCTTATATTATTTCTACTTCGGAAAACCATATATTTCCGTGAGCGGACACGTGTCACAAGAAGGACTAAGTGTGCACCTCATCCCGAGGGTTCACGAATCCTCCGGCGTCGTTTAGCACCTTCTACTTTATTATTATTTCCTCGTTCACCTTCTCCTGCTTCTCGCTAAACTACGCGAAGACAAAAAAAAAACAAAACAAATAGAACAGAGAAAGCAAAAGCGTTATCTTTGCTGAATTCTTAAGTAAACATCTCGCCATTTTGGCGAATTTGTGCTAAACTCCCTGTCGTATTTCATCTTCCTTTGTGAATCGCTTGCCGTTTTAAGTCTCCGAGCAAATGGCGACGGCTAAGACGGCTGCCACGGCGGCGTTTAGTGGTGTAGTCGGCGTAGGAACGGAGACTCGAAGGGTTTCTTCTTTTTCTCATCTTCAACCCTCTGTGGCTTTTCCGGCGAAGCCCAACTCCTTCAAAGCTCTGAAATTAAAGCAGAGCGTGAGCCTCACGCGGCGGCCTGAGCATCGGCCGTTCGTTGTCAGATGTGAAGCTTCTTCCAATGGACGGGTAAGTAAAGTCTGAAACTTTAGGTTTTATTTGCACTGTACTTTTAAGTCTTCCTTAGTTTTATGAATCTGGAATCGATATGAACACTCGATGTTGCTAATTGGATTGCTAATTGGGTTATATGTTGATTGCTTCTATAGCTTACGCAGCAAGAATTCACAGAAATGGCGTGGCAATCGATAGTTTCTTCACCAGATGTGGCGAAGGAGAATAAGCAACAGATTGTGGAGACAGAGCACCTAATGAAAGCTCTTTTGGAGCAGAAGAATGGTTTAGCGCGCAGGATTTTCTCTAAGATCGGTGTGGATAACACGAAAGTTCTAGAAGCCACAGAAAAATTCATTCAACGCCAACCAAAGGTAATGGATGTCTCTTCAATGTAATAACGTATGAAGTTTGTTCCTTTTTTTTTGGGATGCTAATGAGAATTTAGTTAGTGACTTCAGGTCTATGGAGAAGCTGCTGGTTCGATGTTGGGGCGGGATTTGGAAGGTCTGTTTCAGAGAGCAAGGCAGTATAAGAAAGACTTAGGAGACTCTTATGTCTCAGTGGAGCATTTAGTTCTTGCTTTTGCTGATGATAAGCGATTTGGGAAACAGTTGTTTAAGGATTTTCAGATATCAGAGAAGAGCTTGAAATCTGCCATTGAATCCATTAGAGGGAAACAATCAGTCATTGACCAAGGTTAGTAACCATTTTTGTGGTTGATAGTTAAAAGAAAAATCATTTGCATATTTAGTGGATAAGAGAGTTAATAATCATGTTTGACAGATCCGGAAGGCAAGTACGAGGCATTGGAGAAGTATGGAAAAGATTTGACAGCAATGGCGAGAGAAGGGAAACTCGATCCTGTGATTGGGAGAGATGATGAGATCCGTAGATGCATTCAGATTCTCTCCAGGAGAACAAAGAACAACCCTGTGTTGATCGGTGAACCAGGTGTTGGTAAAACCGCAATTTCAGAAGGGTAAATTATCATCAAAACACTTAAAATCAGAAATTTAACCATCTATGTATGTAATGCTAAGTTATCACATTTCCACTTCTGAAACAGACTTGCTCAGAGGATTGTGCAAGGGGATGTACCTCAAGCATTGATGAACAGAAAGGTATTCACTATATTCAAACTGTCTTCTCTTTTCTTACAATTTGGTCAACAACTGATTTAATCGTGCTTTGGTTTCTTTTCAGTTGATATCTCTCGATATGGGCGCACTCATTGCTGGAGCAAAGTATCGAGGAGAATTCGAAGATAGGCTAAAGGCTGTACTTAAGGAAGTCACAGACTCAGAAGGCCAAACCATATTGTTCATCGATGAAATCCACACAGTTGTTGGTGCCGGTATGCAACGTCCTTGGACCGTATGGTAACAGTTTATACTTTTTTTTTTCTTTGCAATGATGATAAAAGAAAATTTGGTTTTTTCTTTTCTTTCTTTCAGGTGCGACTAATGGGGCGATGGATGCTGGTAATCTACTGAAACCGATGCTGGGTCGAGGCGAGTTACGTTGTATCGGTGCAACAACGCTTGATGAGTATAGGAAGTACATAGAGAAAGATCCAGCCTTGGAGCGTAGGTTTCAACAGGTTTATGTCGATCAACCCACGGTCGAAGACACTATTTCAATACTCCGTGGTTTGCGGGAAAGGTATGAACTTCATCACGGAGTTCGCATCTCGGATAGTGCCCTAGTCGAAGCTGCTATTCTCTCTGACCGTTACATCAGTGGCCGGTTTCTACCCGATAAAGGTTGATACTTTGTCATTACCATTTTATTATATGATCTTCATTAAGACAATGTTACTAACTGGATTGGTATTTGGTTTTCTAGCAATTGACTTGGTTGATGAAGCGGCAGCTAAACTGAAAATGGAAATCACCTCGAAACCAACAGCTCTTGACGAACTTGACCGTGCGGTGATAAAGCTTGAAATGGAGAGGCTTTCACTCACTAATGATACAGACAAAGCTTCCAGAGAAAGGCTGAATCGAATCGAAACAGAGTTATTGTTACTAAAGGAGAAGCAAGCTGAGTTAACCGAACAGTGGGAGCACGAGAGGTCTGTTATGTCCCGTCTTCAATCGATTAAAGAGGAGATTGATCGGGTTAACCTCGAGATCCAGCAAGCAGAGCGTGAATACGATCTTAACCGTGCAGCAGAGCTCAAATACGGAAGCTTAAACTCGTTGCAGCGACAACTAAACGAAGCAGAGAAAGAGCTGAACGAATACTTAAGCTCTGGGAAATCGATGTTTAGAGAAGAAGTTTTGGGTAGCGATATAGCAGAGATTGTGAGTAAATGGACTGGAATCCCAGTATCAAAGCTTCAGCAATCCGAAAGAGATAAACTTTTACATTTGGAAGAAGAATTGCATAAACGGGTAGTCGGTCAGAATCCAGCAGTAACCGCAGTAGCTGAAGCGATCCAACGATCAAGAGCCGGTCTTTCGGATCCAGGCCGGCCAATAGCTAGTTTCATGTTTATGGGACCAACCGGTGTAGGTAAAACCGAGCTAGCCAAAGCACTTGCTTCTTATCTGTTCAACACAGAAGAAGCTTTAGTGAGAATCGACATGAGTGAGTACTCAGACGAAGGGCAACGCTCTCTATTTGCACCCCTCGGGTAATATGTCGGTTATGAAGAAGGTGGACAGCTAACAGAAACGGTTAGAAGAAGGCCTTACTCTGTCATCCTCTTTGATGAGATTGAGAAAGCTCACGGCGACGTCTTCAATGTGTTCCTCCAAATCTTGGATGATGGGCGTGTCACGGATTCTCAAGGACGTACAGTGAGTTTCACCAATACCGTTATTATTATGACCTCGAACGTTGGTTCGCAGTTTATCCTGAACAACACAGATGATGATGCAAAAGAGCTCGCTTATGAAACGATTAAGCAGAGAGTGATGGATGCTGCAAGATCCATCTTTCGTCCTGAATTCATGAATAGGGTTGATGAGTATATAGTTTTCCAACCTCTTGACCGCGAGCAGATCAACAGGATTGTCCGATTACAGGTACGCTTTTCTTGTCCAGGAAGAATCACAAAATTACCCCCTCAATTTTGTAAAATTATTGTAGTGATGACATGATTAGGATGATAGACGTTGGTGAATAGCTTTACTTCTGAACCGTATGATTCACTTGATTCTAGTTGGGAGATTACTTCTTAAGCCAAAATTGAGAAAGATTTGTTTCAAAATGGATTTGATCAAAGTTGAAGTTTCTTAAAATGAAGATAGAGATCACAGATGAATAACAGTCTTTCTTAAAACCATCCTTGAATAACTCTCTTTCTATGTATACTACAGCTGGCTCGTGTGCAGAAGCGAATTGCAGACAGGAAAATGAAGATAGAGATCACAGATGCTGCAGTGGATCTTCTCGGAAGCCTCGGGTATGATCCTAACTATGGAGCTAGACCTGTGAAGCGTGTGATACAGCAAAACATTGAGAACGAGCTCGCGAAAGGCATCTTGAGAGGAGACTTCAAGGAAGAAGATGGTATTTTGATCGATACAGAGGTCACAGCGTTTTCCAATGGCCAGTTACCTCAGCAAAAGCTCACATTCAAAAAGATCGAGTCAGAAACAGCAGATGCTAAGAAAGAAGAGGACGCTTTCTCAAGACAGAGTAATTGAAAAATGAAGCCTTTTGAAGCTCAAGAAGTTTCAGACTATATAGTAGTACAGAACTTCTAGCGAGTTACTTGTAATAAGCTGATGAGTCATTGTACTGATGTCTCAAAATCCAATGATTATGGAAACTGATGATCATCATAATTTGACTGTATATGAATGTTGAATTTCTGAAGATGCAATAGATTTTAGCAGAAGTACACAAATTGACAAATTTACAGATGTTTCACACATCAATGTTACATTGATTCGAGTTGGTCAGTCGTTTTTGAGGCGAAGGTCCAATTTCACTTCCACCCAACAAAGAATTTCTCCTTTTCAATACGTTTTCTTTAGCAAAGCAATTGTCTGCAAATAGACAAACAAACAAACAAAATTTTGCTGTTGTCAGGTGAAAAAATAGCGTGTCTTGTAATATACCAGTAAGAGTGGGTTATGAAGAATACCTTGTTTCTTCTCAATGTGATTGCTATCTTCGCTTGGATTTGCATCTTCTGAATCAGACAAAGGCGCGAGAGTGCAGATACCAAGCAAATGTCCATTGAGGCAAACGAAATACTCGATGCAGTCTTCATAAGCTTCCAAACGAATACATGCACTCTGAGGTATTATCTTAGCTTGTAGCATGCTCCATAGTCTAGCTTTACAATACGGACAAACCTCGGATGGATGAAAAGGAACCGCCTTGTTGATGATAACTTTCCGGACTTTAGATGTCGGAAATGACTTGAAAATCCCTCGGAACAAACCCACATCACCTTCTTCTCCTTGATCAAGATGCTCGCATGGATCAGATACGTAGAGTACGTCGGTTCTACATTGAGGTGGAAGGAGGCTTCTTCCCAATGTTCTTGAGAACCTTGTTCTGTAAACAAAGTGGCCTGGTATCTGAACCGAGCTATTAAATAGACCGCCTTGTGTACATCCTGAGCAGTAGATGAGAAGCTTCCCAAGTGCTCGCCAGTTACCGTCGATGCAGTGACTACCACTAGATTGCAAATCAAGCATCATTCTTGGGGCACGAGTCTTGCAAAACTCTTTCCATAGAACCCGTTTGGCGAAATCATCAAACCATTTGCATACACAGGAAAGTGTTGCAACTAATTTAGGATTCCAGTTCAGATGTTGGAACACTAATAACAAAACGTCTTCGCTTAGATGGCCTCTCGTGCATTGGCAGCTTGGGGAGTGTGTGCAACGATACTGCTTTGGTAAAATCATTCCCTTTGCGTTTCAATCACCGAAGGAAACACAAAGAGCTTCCAACTGCACAATGAGAAATAAGAGATTCATCAGTTCTCGTAATACTCCAATACACTTGAGCTCTATAGCAAACAGTTTCTCATTTCAAGAAATACATAATAAGCATCTCGGTGCCATACAGGCTCCACAAGAAATGAAACAATCCACTAAACATGGTTCAAGACAAGGCCTCATAACAACCCACTAAACGGAGACTCTCAAGGGAACTGCTTTCAGATTCATTAGTTCTTAACTAGCTAATCTCTCTAGACATCACTGCTTATCAAATAAAACGCCAAGAAATCAAAATAACGAGTCACGCGTTCTCAACCATCAACGCCAAATATCTACGACCAATAAAATCGGAGTCAAACAAGCCCAAGACCTTCGAGGCAACACCAGCAATGTAACTCAGATCTATAAGAACACATCAAGAACAACACTCTATTAGAAAATCTAGCTAATTCGAACCTCAAATCTTCTTCATCTAACCCATTTCTAATCCCAAAAATTCACGATAATAAAACGCCACAAACCGGAACACACAACAAAACGAAGATCTTTGAAAGAGTAAAGGGACCAACTTTACCAGAATAAAACTGTGAGAACTTCAACAAATTGCTAGTAACATGAAGTTTTCTAGAAAGGGCTTCTGCTCCTAATCCAGAAACCGTAAACTAGAACCTGGAAATTAGGGCATTTAAAGGTTGAAAGCAACAAAAAAAAATACAAAAGTAAACAGAAAGAGAAGTTCCACGGAAGCAACGTATGAGGAACCTCGAAAACTTCGAAATAAAACACAGAATCAAGAAGAAGGAAGAGAAAACAAAATGAAAAACTCAGTAGCAGATGATAACAACGAACAATTCGTGGAAACAAATCGATAAGGAAAGAAATCTCAGAGCTTTAATTTTTTTTACTCCATGTAGCAGACGAAGGAAAATTAAATTAAGTCCAGGAATGGTAGAGGGACAGCCTGTGATAGACACAAACGACAATAACCAATAACCATATGACACGTTGGTTAAAGAATCTAGATAGTCAATGGCTTTTAAAGGACGGCGTGGCGTGGGGTCCGGTTTCATGTTTTTCTATTTTCAGCCCCTAGTTTAATGTAACTCAACATATTGTAACCATAGAATCAAAAGCTTATAATATAGGGTATAACCTTTCTTAGTATGTATCCAATCACAAGATTAGTGAACAATCTGATTAATTTGAGGATAATAAGAGAAAAAAACAATTAGAAATTTGATTAGACATGACAACCCCCACAAATTGTAGAATTTTATGAGTCATTACATATACATCTACATTTACATACATACATAAACACCAGTGAAAAGTAGGAAAAGATGATTTAGTTAGAGTTTGTTCTGAGAACAATCATTCATATGTGTTCTGTTGTTGATTTCTTTCCTGGAGAGATATGACAGACTCAAAAGCACCCACCAAAGCCTTAACTTTGCTCTTGCGAGTCTCAACAAGCTGTTTAGCTGTTTCCTCGATTACATTGTTGAACAACAACACTCTTGAACCTCTCTTCTTCTGTGTATCTTGGTGTTTTAGAACAACTTTCAACGATCTGGATTTGTGTTGTTGTTCCTTGTCGTTGCTAAAGCTGGTTCCTTTGGTCTTTAAACTTCTCCGGCCACCGGATTTTGAGGTTTTGTCAGCTCCGGTAACGATTTTTCCTCTCTTGAACTTGAGCTTTCTTGGACTGTTGTCTTGTGATCCAACATCCACAAACTTTCCTATTTTGAATCTCAGTCTCATCGACTTGTCATTTACAACGGATTCTGTTGAGGGAGCTTTGCTTTTTCCTTGCCTTGTTGTGTTATTATCTTCAGAGAAAGACGCATTCTCATCTTCCTCTTCTTGAGAAGATTCATCATCAGCTTCAGTCACATTACACTCAGTTTCGTCTTGGCTCTTTTCGCTCTTTGGATCATCAGTAGGCGAATCCATGACACAACTTTGGTTCTGATCAGATTCAATAGTCTCATTCCCTGTTTTCATCTTAATAACATAGAGAGTTTTCTCTTCAACCAACTCTTTACACTTATCATCCACCAGTTTCCGGGTTTTATTAAGAGGAACGCTACTCAAGCTGTTACTCTCCTTCTTTGTCTTCAAGCTTAGGGGATACCGTTTTGAAGAAACTGTGGCTCTTAAAGACACAACTGCTTTCTTTGGTTCTGCAGCTTTAGATCCGCCATTAATCTTCTTTCTATTCACAGTGCTGCGACGAAGAGCAATCGCTGCTGTTTGTGCAACGGATTTCAGCTTCAAAGCAGTGACACGCTTGTTATGTTCAACCATCTCCAACGCTCTTCTCCGTGACACACCAATCGTTTTGAAAGAGTGTGAAACCGTCTTCTTTCGTTTAGTCGAATCACCTAACCGAGAATCTGAGAAAGATACCGCCTTTTTCCTTGTTCTCTCCGCATTCTGCTTCTTAACATCACAAACTCTGGTGGAAAAGTTTCTAACTTGGCTCATCGCATGATCACACCCACCAGCAGAATCATCAGAACCAGAAGAAGGATTCAACACTGATTTGGTCAATGCCTTCTTCCTCAATGGTGAATCAAAGCTTAGAGTTCCAGAAAAGCTTCTGTTAACCCTTTTTCTGAGAGGTGAGACTCTAGGCTTGTCTTCAGATTCATGTTTTCTTCCGTATTTGCAGACATCATGACAAGAACCAGTCGGAGATCTGAGGTAATTAGGAAGGATCTTCTCTTCACTGTATAGAAAACTCAGTTTTCCAGTAGAAATCCTTCTCCATGATCTGTTTACATCCCGTGAATCAGGCAAACGTACGGTCTCCTCAGCCATTAATCAGCTAGAGAGATTCAAAGATAATTTCTTTAACTACAAATGTTAAGGACAAAGAAACACAAAGAGAGAATGTTTGATTCAGGAAATCAAAGGACTCTAACCTTTTGATGTTCTTAGTTACACATTTAGGCTAGAGAAGATCCTCGACCTGACAGGAAAAATAAAAATACAATCTTAGGCTCTTAGCTAATTACGAATATGCTGAACATTAATCAATCCAGCTTCAATCAACATTATAAATCATCATCATCATGAAAAGACACTGAATTTGTCGATTCTCAAGCTGAGCGGAAATCATTTCTGTTAAAGGTGGCAAAGGGGACTCTTATAGCCAGAAAAAAGTTTCACCTTTTTGTTTATGCAGAGAACTTTCAGGATGTAAAAGACGACATTCATTTTTTCTCTGACGTTTCTGTTTCATACCAATTACCAAGGAGAGAAGAAGTCTGTTTGTTTCGTTTTTGAGTTTCGATTTGGGGATTTTCTCCTGCTCTCCGCATTTTTCGCAGATTTCTTAGGAAAGGGTTATTCGTTTTTTTTTTTCCGACGAGAGTAAATCCTTTTTTTACGGAACTCTTTTCGATTATAGAAAATCGAAAAATAGCACCCTGACACGTGGGTAAATATATAATATATAGCTGTGGTGTGACCACTTCTTTTAATGGGCCGGAATTTCTTAGGCTTACGTGGCCCTTCATGGTATATCTGCCAACAATACATGTATGGGTTTATTTGTATTTTTGTGTCGAGAAAAAAAAAAGAGTTGCGTTGACTGATTTTTTCCTTTAATGGTTTTAAAATAAGAGTTTTAAATCGAATAATAATTTGTGTTGACAAAAAAAAATCGAATAATAATTTGTTTTCTCTTATTATTTTAAAAAATTAATGGAATACAGTATTTTAGATCCATATTCTTCCTCGACCCAGATCAGCATGTGATAAATACATCATTTCGAAACGAAGTTCAAACTAGATTATTTAAGTAATCGGATCATAATAGTTTAGGAAAAAATTACCTACAAAGATAGCTAGCAGTGCATTATTAGACTTAACAATTTGATTTTTATTTTCTTAAACAGGTCGAATTGTAACTCAGTTTATTATGTTTAACTAACCGAACCAATAAATATTTGCTACTCTTTATAGATTTTTTTAGAACTTTGCAAATGAAAGTAAACGTGCCAGAACTGAATTACACACCAAACAAAAAGATGTGAAAACCCCAACCAACAGAAAACTATCGGTTTCACTTTTCAGCTAGGTTTGGTATTTTATAATCAGAGGATCTTAAAACCGAATCGTTCACAAAATCGAAGATTCCGAAAAATATATTTATACAGTTTTTTGGTGAAAATATTTGGTTCCAAAAAAGCCTTAGATCTCCTTCGCGTGAACGAACTCAAAACCAAAAGAAATGTCGTGTTCAAATCGCCAAGGTCAAAATCGATATTTCAGCATTTCTATTTATTGGTATTGAGTCTATCGAAGGAATGTCGACCAACCAGATACAATCGAATCAAATAATGTCACGTTGTATTTTTCCTTTTATGCCACTTTGGTCCCTAATGTTTTTCTTCTTTGCCTGGTTTACATAACTAGACACGAAAAAGACAGAATTATTGCACATGGTTATTTTTTGTCTTCTTTCACTACGCTAGAAAAGTACATTAAACAATATTACTTATGTTCGCTATCATTTTTGAAATGATATTGTTATACCTCATTGGCTTACTAAATCCTTATAATTTTTATAAAATTTATTTTGATATCTTTCAAAAAAGTTATAATACATGTAACTGATTATTATAAACAGAGTTGTCAAACTCAACTAATCTATTTATTTAACATGTTTTTGCAATATACTAAAATATAAATTTAAACCAATTTATATATATATATATATTCAAATACAATAATACAAATTATAAAAAAAAAATATTACAATATTTTATATTTTAGATATATTATTTAAATATATAAAAATTAAAATTAAATAATATTATTTTATTATATAAAAACAAAAAATTTCCATATTTGTTAATAGTTTTGAAATATAATTATATCATCTGCTATCTTACATGCATCAACTATATATCCAATAGAAATGAGACGACTAAAATTATTCTCTACTATCTTCGTTCCATACTTGTTTATTCAATCAATTCCTCTCATACTTAACAGTTAACACTCAGGTGTGTTTTTTTTTTTTACTTCGATTTTTAGAGCCATTGTTTTTATTCATTCAAAAACAAACAAATCAATTGTGTTCGATCAAATGTGTGTGGTCCGTGATTTTGGTCGCCACTCCAATTATAAAATGTATGGTATATGGATTTGTATGACACACAGATTGTGGAAACTTCACTGTCAGGTACATGACTGATATATACCACAAAGAATATAAGCTAACAAATAAATATGAGTAATATGGTAAATCGATAAATGACAGTTTTTTTGTTGCTATAAACATCTAGTAGTATCTGTAAATACCTAATTACGGAATTAGGTTCCGGCGTCTGTCTCTGTTTTTGCTAAAATCATTACAATGGTTTTATCTCAATACATACTTTTGCAATTTTTCTAATAACGTTAATGTAAAAACTATCAATTTTTTAAAAAATCAATCAATTGACCACTGACCACAAATATGTGTGTATATGTATCAGTAGTTTATTAATGTGAAATAATATCAAGATATAACCATGAATGCAACTTCATAGTAGTACTGATGAACAGTGTCAAATCTGAAAAACATTCATGTTACATGGTATATACATAAAAGTCTATGCTCTTATATTCATACACACACGTATGATATTTACAGTTAGAATTATATTATATTTTAGAATATTTTCTATTATATCATAGCAAGTAAAGATGGCTACACTTATCTAGAATTTTCAATGATTTAACAAAAAGAATACATTGATAATAATTGAGATGGGTCCACGTTGGGCCCATAAAGTTGTAATCCTCAGAATATGTACGGAATCCAATTTGTCCAGTGTCTATTGTGGGCCGTTACAACTCTCATACATGACAGCTCACCTCTCCTCGTCATCCCGGTTCGGTGTCCGAATTAGGTACAATTTCGGTTTAAATGTTTGTACCGGAGTCTCCCTAACAATAAACCGAATCCTATTAGAGACATACGTATCACACTCTGCCTTTGCCTATACAATCTCTCTCTCACACACGCTCTCTCTCCCTGCAAATCTTCTCTCTCTCCCATGGTGGTTCCTCTATTTCAATCATGCCCTCTCAGCCCAACTTCATCTTCAGGTATCTATACAATTCCATTTTACCATCGATGCATGTATTTGTTCTGTAATGGCGGTATTCCGCGAAAGCCAGTCGCGAATTTTGAAAATGTCTATTTTGTTTTTGTTTTTTTCTTCTCTGCTGACTCCACAGTGACAAGGTTTCTCTGAGAATAATTTTTTTTTTTCCCGAGAAACGCTTTTCCCGGAGAATTTTCTCGATTTCTGAGCTGTTCTATAGCTTCTAAAGTCGCCATGCAATTCACTAGTAATCGCTAGCTAAATTTTGTTTTTGGGTATGCTCAACGTTTTCCTGGAACGAAATCTGTCTTCAAATGTGAGATGATTGCGAATAATTTTAACAAATAGATCGATTTTCCTGCTAGTCGTTTAGTGTTTACAATTCTAATTTCAGGTGGATTGGACTGTTTTCCGATAAATTCCGTCGGAAAACGCCTGGAATCGAGGAAATCAGCATCGTCCAAAACAACAGTGGGGAATCGAGCAGCGGCGATGATACGCCGGTGTTGAGCTCCGTCGAGTGTTACGCTTGTACACAAGTAGGCGTACCAGCCTTCCACTCAACCAGCTGCGATCAAGCTCACGCGCCGGAGTGGCGTGCTTCTGCCGGCTCTTCCCTAGTCCCGATCCAGGAAGGATCCGCCCCGAACCCGACCCGAACCCGATTCAGACGTCTCAAGGGTCCGTTCGGCGAAGTTCTCGACCCAAGGAGCAAGCGCGTGCAGAGATGGAACCGCGCGTTGCTTATAGCTCGCGGGATGGCTTTAGCGGTGGATCCGCTCTTCTTCTACGCGCTCTCCATCGGCCGAACCACCGGACCGGCGTGTCTCTACATGGACGGCGCGTTCGCGGCGGTGGTCACGGCGGTTCGCACGTGTCTCGACGCTGTTCACCTGTGGCACGTGTGGCTTCAATTCAGACTGGCTTACGTCTCGAGGGAGTCTCTCGTCGTCGGTTGCGGGAAGCTCGTTTGGGATCCACGCGCCATCGCGTCACACTACGCTCGCTCGCTCACTGGCTTCTGGTTCGATGTTATAGTCATCCTCCCTGTTCCACAGGTTGCAAAGCAAACTTTCAAACTTTTCCAATATTATGACTCCATACCTCTTATTGGTATCAACAAAGTGTTACCTTGGATTTGAGATTCAAATGTGAGCTTTGTGTGTTTCTTTCTTTACAGGCTGTGTTTTGGTTAGTCGTGCCGAAGCTGATAAGAGAAGAGAAGGTTAAGCTGATAATGACGATCCTTCTGCTAATCTTCTTGTTCCAGTTCCTCCCCAAGATTTATCACTGCATCTGCTTGATGAGAAGGATGCAGAAGGTCACTGGTTACATTTTTGGGACTATTTGGTGGGGTTTTGCTCTTAATCTCATCGCATATTTCATCGCTTCTCACGTAAGTCCTCTCAAGCTGAAAACCATCTGCTGCAGCAATACACAAAAACAACTTTTAAAACTCTGTGCAACATATCAAATTCTGTGTGTATACAGTCTATACTATATTCCATGCCAAGAAATGATATTAAAGTCGGTCCTTTCATGGAAATTTTGGTGGTTACAGGTCGCTGGGGGATGCTGGTATGTTCTTGCAATACAGCGTGTTGCTTCTTGCATAAGACAACAATGCATGAGGGCCGGGAACTGCAATCTTAGTCTGTCTTGCAAAGAAGAGGTCTGTTACCAATTTGTGTCACCGATTGGATATCCATGCTTATCTGGAAACCTTACCAGTGTGGTCAACAAGCCTATGTGCTTAGATTCTAACGGACCATTCCGATATGGTATCTACGGTTGGGCACTTCCGGTCATCTCCAGCAACTCTCTTGCGGTTAAGATCCTTTACCCTATCTTCTGGGGTCTAATGACTCTCAGGTAGTTTCTTGTTTTCAGAGTTGCTGGTTTTCGTCTTTGATACTTAATACCCTCTAATTGACAAGTACTGATCGCGTTTTACAGCACTTTCGGGAACGATCTTGAGCCCACAAGCAATTGGCTTGAGGTTATGTTCAGCATAGTTATGGTCCTTAGTGGGTTATTACTCTTCACGCTGTTGATCGGAAACATTCAGGTAACTATGCAAGGATAAGTCTTTCCGGATATGATATTGTATTTTGATACAATCATATGATTTTAACAAACCTGTTTACTTTCTTTTGAAGGTGTTTTTGCACGCGGTGATGGCAAAGAAGAGAAAAATGCAGATTCGGTGTAGGGATATGGAATGGTGGATGAAACGTA